GCGGCACACTTGGTGCTCTCTCCAACCCTTTATTTACCCCTGCTGACCCTGCATGCTGGGCCTGCGGCAATACTTCCCCACTATTCCTAGTACTGCGTTCTCGTGGACACCACATTACTGAGTGCAGGGAGAGCTGCTGTACCCAACCCGGATTATTCCACCAGCCTAAAGCTGCCTGGACCGAAACACGGCCTCCGTCTAAACAGTCAACACACGTGTTTACAGCAAACTACTTCCCACAGAGCCAGCCTTCTTGGACCAAATGGAAAACTTCTTACGAACACAATGTAATCACAGCCTAATATGAAGCTTATTTTTCTTAACAAACTAAGTGGGACCTGAACTCTTCACCTAAATAAGAGCGGGAGTCCTTCACGCAGACAGAGCGTTTCTAAAACATTCCTCCCCTCCCTTTCCCCGTCACTCCATGTCTCCTATTCAGTCTGGACAGGAGGACGTTTGGGAACCTCTGTTGGCCAGCTGTCAAGGGGAAGGAGGGGGGCCTCTGTCACTATAAACCAACTTTTCCTTCCAGGTTCACCCAGGCTCGGGTCATCCAGCCTGAGCTGCCTGCATTCAGCCGCCCATTCCCGCTTCCAAAATTACACTTGTACTATTACAACACTGTTAAACAGTAACAAAACTGTGCTGCAGCAACACCATCGAGCCCCAGCAGTGCAGGTTGAGTAGCTTATGAGGAGAATTGATGCCAAAGGGTACCGTGTTCAGTGGAGATCGGCTCTCAGGACAAGCCAGTAACCTCTCCTTGGCCACATCACCTGGTACCATTCACAGATTGAGCTCTGGAAGGATCTGAAGTGTTTCGCAAATGCACCAACCACAACACGTGTTTATTTGATTCATATTTCATTCCTCCGTTGTACAAAATCAGTTTCCTGTAACCCTGAACGTCAAGTTAACCCTTGCAAGCTGCAGTAATTTTTGCTCTGTGCTCTAATGACAGCTGAACAAGCCTCGGTCGGGACCCTCAGCCAACTTTCTCCTTTCCTGTACTTAGATATGCTATATGCTATGTTGAAAAGACAACTGAAATTTGAAGATGGTTAAAAGATAAAAGTGAAATATATATATAAAGTCACATCTGAAGTTAGCTAATGTTAGCAGAATGCTAGCTAGTGGGTTAGCTGTCCTGTGAACTGCACTGCCCATGTGTTTGCCTTCTCGTGCGCCTGCACAATACAAATAAAAAACAGGGACCCACTCATGAAAACATTGCTCCATGTGGCCAGGAACGTCACAGGATACCTTTATGTTCTGGGGGGTGTGAGCAAAGTTTGGCTGCACAGAATGAGCTTATAATCTCTAACCTACTGGTAGGTGGATTTAAGATGTTAAAGTCATTTCTTTTCCCACACTTCTTTGAACTTCTTTGTGTACAGTCATTTGTGCCAAGATATGGTTTGATGTGTTTTCCAGTGTTCTGAATCAGCCCCCAGGTTCGTCAAACTATGTTTTCGGCAGTGGCAGAGCAGTCAAATGCACATATGTTGTTGATAATTAGTGCAGAGTCCTGACTCCAGCTGTGCCGCTGAGAATTCCCGTCTCTCTGAGCACCGACAGAGACACAGTCGCTGACAGATGAAGCACAGCCTGCTCCTGTATGAGAGACTCCACCTCTGTCCCTCGCTCTGTGTCTCACTACATCTGCTTCGCATTAGCTTGTTGCCATGCAGGAAAAAACACAATTCTTTTGTAGTCTGTTCCAGCCAATCAGGAAGTGAATTGGGGGTAGTTTCCTGTTTCCTGTGTTCCCCAGACAGTACGGACTTGGGCCCAGTAGCCCCTTTCGGTTTCCGAAATTCATGTGTTCCTCTAGGAAACTGAGAAGAGTCAATAATGAGTCCCTTCTCTCTCTCTCTTCTACAAATATGTTGCAGATTTTCAGCTCTGAGTCATCATCCAGCTGCAGTCTCATGCCAAAGGACAAGACTTTGATAAAAAAAACAATCTGATGCAAGGGTTACATAGACATTACCAGGAGAAGAGCTCTGTGGGGATCAGACATCGAGTATGACTGCTGCTTGGTAACAAGACAGTGTAAACTCTGCTGTCGTCACTGCTACAGAAGAAGAAGGACTGAGGAAACTCAAGAGCCCAGGCTGGGAAGTGATGACAACTTAAATGTTTCTCATGATCGCCAGTAAACGGTAAATAACAAGACATGGCATATTGATGAAGCTTGTTTCTAGGTGACGTGACGTCATTTGCCGGTGGAGGAATGTAACAAAGTCCTGTCACTCGAGTACTGTACTTAATTACAAATGTCACTTGTACTTTCCTTTGATTTTTACATTTTATACTTTATACTTTTCATATACTATACATTTCAGAGGGGAAAAGCGTACATTTAACTTCACAACATTTATCTGACAACTGTAAGTATACTAGTTACTATGCTTGCAAACAACAATTATTTTTATTATCTATTATTCTGCCGATAATTTCTTGATTAATCGATTACTTGAGTTGTTTAGTCAATAAAATGTCAGAAAATGTCCATTCCAGTATCTCTGAGTCAGAGTCAAATAGTTGTAAGTAATCTTCATATTTGAGAGACTGAAAACATCATGTTAGCTTGAAAAATGACTTAAAGAGCCAGTGTGTAGCATTCAGTAACATCTAGCGGTGAAGTTGCAGATTGCAACTAACTGAACACCTCTCGCATCTGTATTTGACAAATGACAGATACAAACAGCTCATTCTAAGTTAACAAAAACACAACGATTCCTATATTCAGGTGATTATGCACTAATGAAAACATACCTATGACTATTATATTCCATTTCTGCCAATAGCTCTTACACACAGGACCTTTAAACAATCCACTAATCATTGCAGCTCTACTAAATAAGATTTTGGTATAAAACCGTTTGAAGTAATCGGATTTAACCAAGCACAACAGTAAAATGCTACTTACATGTTACTGCATTAGTCGTAATTCTGTAATATATAATATTATAGTATATAGCACTCACAGGGGGCATTTTTCGGCATTCAGTACGTTTGCTTTTAAAACTTTAAGTACATTTTGGTCATGATACTTCTGTACCTTTACTTGCATAACATTTAAGAGTTAAACTTGTGGTTTTACTTATTGTATTGCTATTTTTACAAACAGTTCAGGATCTGAGTAAGCAGGATTGTATTTCGGAAAGACAATTGTAATGGCAATACATTGTCCAGTCATTCAGCGTTCATTCACCGGAATGCAGCGCTGCTGGCTGACTGAACACTCATTCAGAAAATGCAGCAATCTAACAAGGTCTTTCATTACTGTACAACTCTCCCTGGAGTTACAGGTCTGAGCATATTATCTCACAGGGGCTGAGCTATTTGATAAACTCGAGTCAGGGTGGTTCTCTCTCCAGCTGCTTCCCAGGGACACTGCAGCCAATTTTAGCAAGGAGCAGTATATATATATATATAAGTAAGGAGCTTAAAAATACAGCCTAACTTTGTACATCAGCTTAACTGAAACCAGAGTGTTTTTGTCCAATGCAGGCTGGCATCATCACCCAGCACTTCAGTATGTTGGCGTGTTTGTTGTCATTTTTTTCCCCCTCTGCTCATCCCTTCTGTCGCATGTTTGGAGTCAAAACAAACCGGAGAGCACAGCCAGGATGAATAAGGTGCCAGCTGAAAATGAGAGAAGACGGCCCCAAACTTCCCGTATTGACCCGAGATAACAGTTAGAGCGCACAGGGGAAATGATTGTTTGCTCTGAATGTTTTGATGTTAAAAGGGGAAAAAGTATGATGCTGTCAGACAGGCAAGACTGCGGCATTTTAGACTTCTTCCCCAAACAAAATTAACATAATGTTTGCTATAATAAAACCAAAAACAATTAGTCGAATAATCACTTAATCAGTCTGTTGACAGCTAACAACTAATTTGTGCAAATTCTCTGATTCCAGCTATTCAGATATGAAGATTTGCAGTTTTTCTTGGTTTTGTATAAATTTAAAATCTTTTTTCGACTGCTGGTTGGACAAGACAGACGATCTGAAGACGTTAGCTTGGGCTCTGGGAAATTGTGACATTTTTTCCAATTAAGAAAAGAATCAAAAATGAAAATACTGATAAGCTGAAACCCTAACTTTAATACTGTACATGACAAAGGTGTTGTAAAAGTAAGCTCATGGTGACTTAATTTTTCTCTCTTGTTCTGAATATTACTTTCATTATTGTTCTTATTATTATCATTTTATGTAATAATAATACGTTAGGATCACTTTCCATTATTTATTTACCACAGGTTTACTCAAGATCAGGGAAATCCACTTCTTGTACAGGCATGCCAATTTCTGAATTGCATAAAAACACTCTTCCTCTCCACTAAATTCTCCATTACGAACTGTACTCATGGCTCCATTCACAAGATATGCATGCACCACATGTCTCCTACAAATCGAGGGTACCCACTGGACACCAGCTACATATCTAAATATAGAAATCTGGGCTAACAATCAATAGCTACACAGTTAAGCATGAAGCTGTTTGGAGGGGGGGGCAGAGAGAGAAGGGGGGGGGTCGCAATAACATGAATGGGTGGTCGCAGCTAAGGTGTAATAAATATCTATCTGATCTGAATTGTCCAGGGAAAATAAGCATCTGGATATATGCAGCTGTGCAGCCTTTATGTCGCACAGCCTGTTCGGATCACTTCAAGTCTCCATATGTAGACCTCTTAACACTGGTTTCTTATGCCAGCTGCCAAATTCCCATAATTTCCCACAAGTCTTTGAATCTCTCCACGTTTCCCCTCTTTTACATTTTCAGTTTTACAATTTGTGGTTTACAGTCCGTGCGCTGAGAGGAAAGCGTGTGATTTGAATTACAATAACAGCAGGAACAAGACAGATCTGTCCCCCCTTTCCAGTCTCCAGCCCGCACCGCCTGCCTGCCTTGCCTGCCTGGCCCGTTAATATGGAGCCATCCATTGAGGCGCTCAGACTGGGGGTAGGGATTTTTCTTCTTACCTATTTTTATTTTAACGCTCTGGAAAACCCGGAGACCTTCCTCTTCTACCGCCATGCTTTACCCGTGGCTCTTTCCCTTTTGACGACTAGACAAAGACAGTCCTCCACGGTGGTCGGTTCTGGCCTCTCCAGCGCACGGATATTCCAGGGGTTTTGCACATCTATGCTCTCCGGACAGCGATCATACTCCGGTCCGACCACTGCTGCTGCTGACTGGTTGAGAACAAGCGAGCAGATACAGATTCAGTCCCGCAGCAGCAGCAGCAGCAGCAGCGGCGCCAGTGGAGGTGTGGTTCTACATAACTCCACCCACAGAGTGTATGGAGGGGGATCTGTATGGACGGTGATCCGTGCCACAAAGAGAAAGAGGAAGTAGTTTCAGTGAAAGTCCAAGCCACTCTCCTTGACATATATTAATAATAATAATAATAATGATAATAATAATAATAATAACAATAAGTTAAACATAATTTGCAGAAATGCATGATTCTCCAGGTCCAGTGTGTAACACTTAGAAGGATCTATTGGCAGAGATTGAATATAATATTGATAACTATGTGTTCATTAGTGCATAATCACCAGAATGTATCAATCATTGGGTTTTTGTTACCTAAGAATGAGCCATTTCTTATCTACAGACACAGCAGGTCGCCTTCTGTGGAGGCAACCATGTTGACCCACCACGTTTCCACGGTAGCCCAGATCAGACATACCACCACACTCGCTGATGATTCGAGCATTCAGTTATTTCTCTGTATTTTATATTTCTTTTTCCTTTTTTGTGTTGTGTTGTATGGCTGTCTGGGATGGGGGGATATTGTGTGTTGTGCTGTTCTTTGTTTAAACTCAATAAAAAGTTGTAGGTTGTGATGATGTAGGCTATAACAGTCTCAAGATCTCTGCATTGGTCATATCCCTTGAAATGACTGAGGTCTTACGGTACCAACATGGTCCAAGTTGCAAGTACACAAATGCAAACGGCGACGCTTACTCAGCCGGCACAAAACAACCCTGCTAAACAGTGGAGTAAACATCTGTCCTCAAGGGAGTGATATAGAGCTAATTAGAGCGATTTCAGGACCACAGTAAACAAACAAGGCAGTTCACGCTCATGATAAGATTTTATGTTGACATACTCCAGAAGGACACATGAAGTTGTTCTTGTGTAGCTCGTATGCACTGATGCACTTGTGTAGATCATGTGAGCACTTCAGGAAAAACCAAAGGGCCACAATAGCCAATTGCACAAGTCTGAGTGTGGACATGTTGATTCAGTATTCTTTTTTTATTCATACCATCTTTGCAGGTAAAAGTAAATGTCCCCTATACATAGTCCTGCATTCCCCAGTTTAATTTTAATGAACCAATAACAATATTAGGGAAACTAGAAACAAAACAAGCTGCTATCTATAATATGAAAGGGATTTTCACACATTTCTTATGAGTACTGGATGTGCAAATGAAAAATACTAAATGACTCAAACTACCGAAACCAACAGTGAACTTGAAAGCAAGGTAGGCGTAGTCATAGTTCAGATTTACCTGACATATTTTCTTTGCCTCTCTGTCAAAACTCAGTATGTACAGATATGAGTTATGTTGTCTTTGATTTATAATAAAAATGAATCTCACCACTTAATAGTAAAATAAATATTCCCACAAGCAACTTCACATTTCCTAACTTTGGCAGCAGCTAAAAAAGAAATATCAAAAGACCATGTGCCAAGTCCCATCCACTGCCAAACAACAGTGGCCAACAATAGACCTGTCTCAGAGTTGTCATGTTGAAATATTTGACTACCAAATACCCTTAAAAATAGCATGATTATTGTTGCAGATGACCCTATTTCCCCTCTTCCTGTTTCTTATTGGCATTAATCACCCCTCATACAGGACTACAAGTCATGAGGATGGCTAGACTCTGAATTTACAAGATCTAGTTCATAATGTTGATTGATTTAAGAAATATAATTGTAGCTGTTGGCAAAGCTAGCTCACCATGCTCCTATACATCAGCATTTTATTTGCACTCTCCCTCTCTGAGAATTGGCAATGCATCATCTGTGGCACTTCATGGACCCCACATGCAGCAGTATGGGCCTGACTCTATTGGATCTCCACAGATTGCTTCCTACATCAAATGAACTGCAGATGCAAACAGCAACAGAACAACTTTATACTGTCGTTATTGTGGAGCAAATGATCTCTTGCTACTCCCATGACCTGAGCTTTGCATGGTGTAAACCACCAAAGATTTCCCTTACTCCATTGTGTAGAATAATTTGCTTTAAAACCTGAAATGTGTCTGAAATCTTTCAAAGGGAAAGTCAACAAACATCAGCTTTGGTCTAGAGCCTAAATGAATCACCAGCAACCTCTTATCAAACTACCTTGGTGACAGAGAGGCAGAGCAAACGATAACCTGGAAACAACAAACAACCTGGGAAGAATAAGAGGTCCCTGATTTCCTGTTGGCTCTGATCTCAGGCCAGATTTAACAGATGGCAGAATAGACAAGGTGCTGTCCTCCCCAGTGGGAGGGATGTCTGGACAGGATTTAAGATCCATTCAGGTGAAAGGCGCATCATCAGCCCAAACTTGAGCCTATTGGGCCACTCCTCTGAGATTGCTATGACCACATTCCTCAAAATAGCCTGACTCTGGTCTGGAACACTCTACAAACCCAGCTGGCCGAGCCCAACCCAGAAGAGATGTGGGACTAAAGAACAGTTGGACAGCCTCTCGACCAGGAACGACAGTCAGCTGCAGTGCTCCTGCTGCTGGCCAAAGTGTTGGGATTAGCTGTGACTCCTTTAGAACAGCTCTAAATCTAATTAGGTAATATGTCTCATCGCTACCGTGAGCCCATTAGACCCTCCTCAAGGAGAGACATTACAGTCTCCACGCAGCAACAATTGCAATCTGCAATATAGTATTCACAGGGGCCCTTTTCCTGCAGAATGGGTCCTTTTACTTTTTAAACTTTAAAAACGTTTTGCTGATAATACTTTTGTATTGTTACTTAATTTGGAATTCCAATGCGATACTTATAACTAACTAACTTATAACAGAGGGTTTTTTTTACATTGTTGTATTGGAACTGAATACTTCTTCCACCAGTTCAGATCATTAATGCAATACATAATTAACAAATACATTATGATGCATCATTATTGAATGGACTACCAAACAGTATCTAAAGTAGTTCAAATTAGTCCTGCCTGTACCGGCTGCAACATTAAAGTGAAGATTACACATTGATGCATCAATATAGTCCAAAAACATTATATGTCATCCTGAAATGGGCCATTCTGTATAATGAGCACTTTTACTTTTGGTGCTTTAGGTGTATTTTGATTAAATTTTACATTGGTCAAATTTTAACACATTAATTACACTTGTATTGAGGAGTTTTTTCATCACTGGCTGAATGTGCATGTCGTGCCTGTGTATGCTATCAGTGACACAGTTAACCAAATGGTGCCTTTGACTACACAACCTCTAAAACTTCATAGATAATAACCATGGTTTTCTTGCATAGATAACCTCTCAAGAAAAGTTTATTTGAAAGAAAAACTTGATGATGGCACAGGGGAAAACACTAATAATATAGGTCCTTAAGTGTATGTTAGCCACATCCTGCCAGCTGCATGTACAGCTAGAAGCAAGATGGAAGGGCAGTTTGGGGTCCAACCATTTAAAATGGATTCAGCTAAGCCAGTAAATGGAGAACTCTCCCACTGTTTAACTATAACTTTGCATGCACAGATGTAACACCAGTCAAATCACCATAATATAAGACTAAAATGCAAGAGTCACGGGTTGCCACTATCATGACATACCAACCAAAGTAGAGTCTTATCTACAGGCAGAAATGGGAGGAGCAGAATGCAGGTTCTTTTGTAGCTGTATGCACGGCATCACGTAGGGAAATAATGCTTTAAAGACGTTTATGACAGGCATTTATTTCAGTTTAGCAAAAGTGGCTACGCCCTGTGGTAAACCACAAGCCTGCATGTGTAGCTGTATGTGTGTGCGTGTTAATAGTATAAAACAGAGAAGCCCCTCGTATTTTGGAGATCTAACTTATCTCGAGCAAGAAAAAAGTGAACAAGGATATCAACATATGTCTATATATAGACGTACAAGCATGGCATCAAACAGTGTCTGCATATGTTTGCTTGTGTGACAATGCAGAGCCACTGACAGAAAGAGGAAGGGAAGGCAAACGCTGATTAGATTTGTGAAAGGATGCTCACTGTTGTTTTATTTCACACGGGCCAACAACTAGTGCAGGGTTCGAGGGCGTTGGCACACTTAAAATAACTGACTCAACCTCCCTACTGTGGCTTGTGTGTTGTTTTTTTGCAAGCACACGCTGTAACGTACAATGTACATATGAGTATGAATATGTGAGAGAGACAGAGAGTACTGAGTTGAACAGATGGGCAGTGACATGTGCAAAGTTAATCCTGGTATTATGGAAAAAACAAATAATATCTCTATGAATAGAGCATGAATCAAATCTTTGAAGAATGCATGTAATTTGGTGTGTGGAAAACAAAACACCAGCACAAATTTAATGTAACGTCTCTGGGTGCATAGTTATCTTTTATTTTTACATCCAACACACACAATCAGAACGTCCATGATGATCAGATTTGTTATTTGATTATTTCCACCCTCCTCCATTCTCAACAGTGCAACTGTGGATAAAAATACAATAAGCAGAAAAAGAAACTAAACCATGCTGTAGGCTTGAAGTGGAGTTATGGAAAAACTAATGAGCAGCACATGCAAATATGCTGATTGTCCTTTCTCCGTCCTTTCAAATGAAACAGTGAGCCAAACGTTTATCCAGACACAACCTTTTGTTCAGTCTCTTATTGTAAACAGAACAAACTGACTATTTCTGACCTTTAAATTGTAAGATTCAGTTTAAATCTGGAGTCAGAGGTGATCTGTACTTTAGATAATAATAGAAAGAAGAAAGCAAATACTGTACTAAGCAGAGCCGACCTGAGACAGAGGTCAATTACCTAGGGCCATCGGGTTAAGCCCCAAACCAGCAAACTACAGGTCATCCTGACAATAAGAATACATCATTGTTTATGTTTGGTTGCTTTAAAATCCACATAGTTTGAAAGGTTTTATAAGCCAAAGAAGTTAAGAATTGACTCATTAATGGAGGAGTATAAAATAATTAATAAAACAGATATATTAGCATACAAAATTCTACTCAATGGAATCAAACAGGTACAGTGTAACTATAAAGTGCATCTTCTGCTTGTGTTTGGTGCAAGCAGCTATTCTCTTAGCATGAAGACTTGTTTTCATAAACTTTTGACATCAATGTCCATGTTATGTTAACTGCAATATGGTTCAAAATCCATTAATTTTGAATTGTAACAGCAGCACTTCCAACCTTTTCTATGAATGACTTCAGTTTAATATAGTAAGCCATTGAGAGGAAAGAACACCCAGAGTAACAGCAGCATTTACACAACTATCAGTATTATAGCACCACCTAGTGTGCAATTATCACCAGTGAACCAAACTATAAGAATTACAGGATGGAGGTTGTGGTTTTGGGGATATTTTAGTCTTAATTTTTGACCTTTGCCCTAAGAAGAAAGTTTTCAGAGAGTGGTTGGAAATACACAGCAGCGAGGACGTCGTCTGTTGTTTCCGTTAGCCTGAGGAAACTATCCTCAGCCACAGTCAGCAGAAGTACTGAGCTCTGCTACATTAAGAAGCCACAACATTTCAGCCCTGATACAAGTCTGCACTGTATTGAGATTATGTGCTACTGAAGTTGTTTTTGTATTGATACACTATTAACACTGTAAACACGTCCTTGTAGTTGTTGCATTCTTCCAGAAGCCTGCTGGAGTAAAGGGAGCTGAGAGGTGAGTTAGATAAAAAAAAAAAGAGTCAGAATTCATAGCAAATTAGTCCTATTTGAATTAGTCAGGAAGTAGACAGCTTGAACTAAACAAATGATAAAAGTATAATTTTCTCAGCCTATAACAGTACAGTGAAGGAGATGTCAATCAACTACAATCAGTACTGAGAGGACATCTGATCAGTCAGTGAAGTGAATCATCTGAACCACGGGTGTGCTGAGTGCAGGGCCTTTTACAGTATGTAAATGGGTTAGGATGAGGATAAGCCCTCTAGGCTTTTGATTATAAGCTGATTGGATTTCTGTAGATCAAACATCTCCTGATGATTCTCCAAGCTGCTAATGAATTATTTTGTTCTTGAAGTTTAAAGACAGCAGACAGCTCAGCTGACAGTTCATGCAATAGATGTTATAAATAAAACCCCAATGCAAATGCTTGACTCTGGGGCAAAAACATTAGACTGCCCATAGCCCCTGGCTATTAACAAGACCAGATATTGTCACATGGCCCCAAACTTTGTTCAAATGCAGTACCTCCTCTAGATCTCTCTTGTTTCAGTTTGTGTTGTGTTTAGTGTTTAAATGGTCCTTATATCCAAACAATCAGCTTGAGCAAACTGCCACACATAAGCCAGCAAAATAAGGTGATAATATATGAAATATGAAACTGTAATACTTTTAATAATAACTTTTAATAATGGCAAACTAAATATAGATTACAGAGAAATGTGTCCGTGCAATGAGACCCGCACTGCCCCTTTAACCAGCTCTCCTCCCTGTCTCTCCCACCGTCTCTCTCTCTCTCTCTCTCTCTCTCTCTCTCTCTCTCTCTCCCATTTCGCTGCTTTGTTTTCATTGTCGCTCTTGTGATCATGGCTGCTCACTCCACCGAAGAACCGTTCCCCTTCCACGGTCTGCTCCCCAAAAAAGAAACCGGCGCAACGTCTTATCTCACCAGGTTCCCCGAGTACGATGGCCGAGGAGTGCTCATCGCGATCCTCGACACCGGCGTGGATCCCGGGGCCCCCGGCATGCAGGTAACGTCTGACCGGCTGCCTCACGTTAGCTACGAGCTAGTCGGTGTCAGCTAACAAAGCTAAAGGCCCCAATCATTCACTTAATTTGTACACGGCAGCTGCTCGCTTAGGTAGCTTAGCTGACACCAATACATACACACACTGCATCTAAATTGTGACACTTCGCTTTATAGCTTTTAGGACAATATTTTATGTTGACAGCAAACATTTTTCTCCCGCTGTCAAATCGTGTTTCGGTGCTTGTTAGCGTGTTAGCATGCATTTGTCCCCTTCAGTTTTCCTTCTATCTCCTCAGTAGTTAAAGTATGTCCTGTCAGTCCGGTTACATACAGTTTGGCCCTTGCGAACTTAAACTTATATTAATATATTCAGTGGTTAAAGTATGTTAGTTGTCGGTTAGTGAGCCGTAACCAGCTAACTTACACGTTTACTGCCAAGTCACAGTGGGACCTCTCAGTTAACATTAGTTAGATACACAGTATTAAATGAGTTAGTAAGTATGAGCTTATCAATATCTACACGGTTACGTGTGTGTAACGAGATCATTAACGTGACGGTAAATTGAGGTCAACCATTATTTTCCCACCACCTTGACTCAGCCGTGATTGAAAGGGCAGAGACTGAATTTGACCCCTGCAGTGTGTGTGTGTGTGTGTGTGTGTAAACAAATGTGTGTAAAGAGGGAGATTGTTGTTGCATTGGAAGTTTGTTCACTCCTCATGTTTGTAGATTACAAGTTCAGATTCAAAATTATGCTTTATGATTTTTTTTTTGGTTTGTGATGTCCACAGTCATCTCTGGTCAGTGTACCTTACCGGATATGTTACTTTGCATTCTTTTCAGCCTGAATTTCTTAATTGATTGCAAATGTTTTTATTTATTTATTGCTGCTTCTTCAGGTCACACCTGAGGGGAAGCCAAAGATCATCGACATCATCGATACAACAGGCAGCGGTGACGTGAACATGACCACAGTGGCAGAGCCTAAAGATGGGACAATCACTGGCCTTTCTGGTAGAACGCTTAAGGTCAGTACACACCTTTTTGGATATTAAGACTAAAAAAAGATAAATGAATAACAGCTGTTACACAGGGAATATTCCATCACAGGTATTTTATTATGTGTAACGATTTCTCTCATTGATCCAGTATGGTCTGTTTTTTTTTTTAAATCTGGCTTGACCACAGCTTTAGAGCTGCACTTTGATGTATTTTTCTTCGTATTGGTCTCACTCTGTGTCTTTTTATGTCTTTCAGATTCCTCCTGCCTGGGTCAATCCATCAGGGAAGTTTCGCATTGGAGTTAAAAATGGCTATGAGTTCTTCCCTAAGGCTCTCAAAGAAAGAATACAGGTAGGAAGACATGACATTATTACTGTCCTAGGTCTATCACAGGTTTGATTTTGCAACTGCCCCAAACACAAGCTTAGATGTGGTTAAGTCCTTCGTTATGGTTGTATGTCCTATCCATGTTGGTAGCCTCTCTGCTTGGTATAAATGTATTCCTAAAACAAGAACCTATATTGTCAGAATCCTGTAGATAAAATGAAGGAAAATATATTTGCTTGCCATCCTCTGTTGAATTCTTACATTACTTTTTTTTGTTATGGCACTTTTGTCTACTAGAAAGAGCGTAAGGAGAAGATGTGGGACCCACCACACAGATCAGCACTTGCTGAGGTCTCTCGCAAGACGGAAGAGTTTGACCTCTCTCACCCAACACCCTCACAGGTCAGAACTACAAACGTGGATTTCTTTGTGTGCTCATCTGTGTTCGCATGCAGTTGCTAGGCATAGTAATGTAGTGTTCCCTAACCTTCACCCTGCTTCCTCTCATCAGATGGAGAAGTTGCAGAAAGAAGAGCTGCAGAGTCAGTCAGAGCTGCTGGCATCACTAGAAAAGAAGTACAGCGATCCCGGTCCTGTATATGACTGTGTGCTTTGGCACGATGGAGTCACATGGAGGTAAGCCAAACTATTATCCTCTTTATATATTATCTATTAATCTATCTGTCTGTGTCTTTATACATATTGTATTGTTTTAATCTTTACTCTTCACCATCTACCACTTTATTTATCCCTCACATTATCTGTTACTGTTTGTTCTCTTTAGGGCTGTAGTTGACACTTCAGAGTGTGGAGAGCTGTCCCAGTGCACTGTGCTGTGCTCTTACAGAGAGACGCAAGAGTATGCCACGTTAGGAATTGCTGAGATGCTTAACTACTCTGTCAATATTTATGATGAGGGAAACACACTCTGCATCGTCACCAGTGGAGGTAAAATGTCTGAAAGCATGTAATCCATCTCCTCTGAAAGGAAGCCTTCATATACTTCAGTCAGTTAACACAAAAAGATGTTCAGCGTAACAGTGGGTTATGGCAGCTCTGCGAGTTAAGGCTGCATAATGTGTAGAAGTCCACAGTGCATACTTGTGTAACTTGCTGTGTACTTTTTTTTTTTTTTTTTTTTTCCAAAGGGGCTCATGGGACACATGTTGCAAGCATTGCAGCGGGTTACTTCCCAGAGGAACCTGAGCGCAACGGTGTGGCCCCCGGTGCCCAAATCCTCGCTCTGAAGATTGGAGACACCCGACTTAGCACCATGGAAACTGGCACAGGACTCATCCGTGCGGTAGGCCTTGTTGAATATAAATTAGCAGTTTGCCTACTTTTTTTTTTTGTCACCCTTTAATTTTTCATCTCTCCTGTCACTCCTAGATGATTGAAGTCATCAACTACAAGTGTGACCTGGTTAACTATAGCTATGGGGAAGCAACCCACTGGCCCAATTCGGGGTAAGTATTGCACCACGGGGGTGTGATTGTGTGGGTGCCACTTATTTTGAGTGGCACACCTTCACTGATTTTTGTCAATTCGTCTTCCAGGAGGATTTGTGAGGTGATCACAGAGGCAGTGCAGAAGCATAACGTGATGTTTGTTTCGAGTGCGGGAAACAATGGCCCGTGTCTCTCCACGGTCGGCTGCCCGGGGGGAACCACCGGCAGTGTCATAGGTACACACACTGATTTTAAAACTGCCAATCAAGTGCTTATCTTTGAGCTCTACACCTTCAAATGCATGTAACTGATGTATGCAGCCATGATCACACTGGAGATTCACAGCAGGAAAGATAGAAACACAGCATTTGATGTTAAAGCTAATATACCAATAAGCAGTATGTTTTATCATGGACATTCAAATGGCAATGATGGTAAAACTTTTATATGTTGTGAAGCCCTAGTTTTCTTTACACGTTGCTTTAATTCCTGCTCTCTTCTGTTCCTCCTCAGGAGTTGGAGCATATGTGACTCCAGACATGATGGTGGCAGAGTATTCCCTGAGGGAGAAACTGCCTCCCAACCAGTACACCTGGTCGTCCAGGGGCCCCAGTACAGACGGGGCTCTGGGGGTCAGCATCAGTGCCCCTGGCGGCGCCATTGCATCTGTACCCAACTGGACTCTCCGTGGTACCCAGCTGATGAACGGCACATCCATGTCATCTCCTAATGCCTGTGGAGGCATCGCACTAATCCTCTCAGGTGCGTCCAAGCTCATGGACTCATACTGGATCTGGAGATATGTTGCGTTTATGGAAGTGTTCTGATCTGATGCTAGTGTGTGATTTTTATGTGATAAAGGACTGAAGCAGAACGGCATTGTTCCCTCTGTTCCTGCGGTGAGGAGAGCGCTAGAAAACACAGCTCTGAAGGTTGACGACATTGAGGTGTTTGCACAGGGCCATGGAATTATACAGGTAACCTGACTATAGCTGCCATAGGGCATACAGTTCCTTTTCTGTCTCTTCTCATGTAATTGTTATTTTATTTGCACTTTTTGTGTGCCATCCAGTAACATACTCCCTTTCTTCCTCTCAGGTGGACAAGGCATTAGACTACCTCACTCAACACGCCTCTTTACCCACAAGCCACCTAGGCTTCTCAGTAAGTGTGGGAGCACAAAGAGGTATCTACCTCAGGGACCCAGCCCAGATTCTTGCACCCTCAGATCATGGAGTCGGAATTGAACCCATCTTCCCAGAGAACACAGGTACTTTTCATATTGCATTCTTTTCATTGCAGCCATGTTTTGTTTGCTTTTACAATATTTTATTTTAGCGTGTGTTTTTTACGCAATCTGTGTTCTTCTAACGTCCGTCACAGAAAACTCTGAGCGAATCTCCTTGCAGCTACACTTGGCACTCACATGTGCTGCCCCATGGGTCCAGTGCCCCTCCCATCTAGAGCTGATGAACCAGTGTCGCCATGTCAACGTCCGCATCGATCCTGTGGGACTGAGAGAGGGAGTGCACTACACGGAGGTAGGGACAGGATAGGGAAAGAAGAACAGGTAGACATTGTTTCTGAGTCTGTTGATGTTAATTTGGTCACTTTGAACGTATGCTTTTCATTTTCTTTTTTAAGGTATGTGGGTATGATACAGCAGCACCTACCTGTGGCCCCCTATTCAGAGTTCCAATCACAGTTATTATCCCAGCCAAGTAAGTACTTACATCATATTGGCATTTTCTTTACTGTCACTCTTACAGAAAGAGATTTGTGTGTCTGACCACTCTCTCTCTCTTTCTTTTTATCTGACAGAGTGACAGATAGTCGTAATCAGGAGATGTGTTTCACAGATGTCCACTTCAGACCAGGCCAGATCAGACGCCACTTCATCGCTGTTCCTCAGGGAGCCTCCTGGGCAGGTCAGTGTCTTTGTGTGTGTGTGCGTGTGTGTGAGAGATGGGGGGTGTTTCCGTGCAAGTGATATTGACAGTCACTAATGGTACCGTTCCAATTTTTGTTAGATCAAATAAAATGGAAGTGCAGCATTTTTGATAACCTGAACATTTAACTTTATTAAAGTATGTTGCCTTAGATTTCAAGTTGGGCCTCACTTATTTGTTACGTGAGTTCTCAGCATTGCTCAACACAGTTGTTCAGGACCATTTTTGCACTTTGGTTACCTTTTTGTTGGAAACCTTATTTTCTGTGTTTTAAATAATAAAAAAAAAAAGCCACCTCACCCAGTGTCAGTATAGATTGTTCCTCCCACAATCCTCCTGCCTTGCTGATCTTGACTGTTGCTGTTTAACCCCCTTGTCTTCCTCCTCTGCTTTCTGGTTTCACCTCTTGCTTTTTCACCATGATCTAAATTCTCTCTTCTCCCTGTTCTTATATCTTCCCCGCTTCTGTCCTGCAGAGATCACACTGACCTCTCATTCGGGTGATGTGTCGTCAAAGTTTGTTCTCCATGCGGTTCACTTGGTCAAGCAGAAAGCGTACAGAGCTAATGAATTCTACAAGTTCTCTTCGCTGTTGGAAAGAGGCTCATTAACTGAGGCTTTCCCTGTGCTGGTACGTATATTTTGCCAGAGATTCATTCGTTCATTAGTGCCTGGAATGGAAGTCACTTCATTTCGTTGATGCATGATTAAAATTACATGGTGGATTTATGTCTGCGTTTTGTTTTGTCTCCTCTCCAGTCAGGAAGAGTAGTAGAGTTGTGCATTGCACGCTGGTGGGCGAGCCTGGGCGACGTCACTGTGGACTACAGCATCTCGTTCCATGGACTACACACTTCTCCTTCACCCCTGCACATAGTAAGAGGAGAACAGATACGCAGATTCGAAACACTGACAAGTAAACTACAGCCCAGACAGTATCAGTTCTCTGTTTGTAATCCTCATTTTTCTCTGCCAGCATGCCTCGGAGGGAGTGACGAGCTTTGATGTTTCGTCGCCTCTGAGGTACGAGGAGGTGTCCCCCACTATCACCCTCAAGTCTTGGGTTCAGCCTCTCAGGTAAATGCACGCTCACAAATGTATATTTTGTTGTTCCACATCAGTGCCCTTCATTGTTTAACCCATGTTGTTGTTTTTGTTGTTGTTGTTATTATAGGCCTTTAAGTTCAAAGATAAAAGCCCTGGGAATGAGGGACGTTCTGCCTAACAACAGACAACTCTATGAGATTGTGCTCACCTACAGCTTTCACCAGGTACTGTCAGCACCAAAAGCACTCTATATGAGAGGAAAATGCAGATAAAAAAAAACAACAACTTTTATATAATTGTTCTTCTAATAATCTTCTTTTGCCCTGTCCTCAGCCTAAGAGTGGGGAGGTTACCCCCAGCTGTCCATTGCTGTGTGAGCTGCTCTATGAGTCAGAGTTTGACAGTCAGCTCTGGATGCTGTTTGATCAGAACAAGAGATTACTGGGCTCCGGGGACGCCTACCCACACCAGGTACACTGAGCCACAACATATTTTACTTTCCCGGATGCTCACTCACATCTGTAGTTGGTACATTTTCAGGATGTAGGATTAAGAATGAAAGTTCTTGTTGTGCATCAGCTAACACATTTCCCCTCTGTGTGTTTTACTACTCCAGTATTCTCTGAAGCTGGAAAAGGGGGACTACACTGTGCGTCTGCAGGTCCGCCACGAGCAGTCTAGCGAGCTGGAGCGCCTTAAGGACCTGCCGTTTGTGGTTTCTCACCGTCTGTCCACCACACTCAGTCTAGATGTCTTTGAGACACACCGTGCTGCCCTCATGGCCAAGAAGAAGGCAAACTCTGTTACCTTGTGCCCGGGTGCCACACAGCCATTCTATGTCACTGCTTTGCCTGACGACAAGTGAGTCAATTTTGGCGAGGGACTTTTCTCTTGTATGGTACAATCTTATAGAATGATTTATCATGCACAAAACAAAAAAGCCATACTTTGTTAAGGACCAGTGTTCATGTACTTTAAGCAGGGTACCTTAATTTCTTTAATCAGAATAATACTACATATTTCTGGAAATGTATGTTTGGTTAGCAAAAACCTTCCTTGAATAAGTATTTAAATATTTGGTTTATTGTGATGAGATTTTGTTTAATGTTCCTGACTTTATCCCCTCTATTACTGTATTTCTCCCTTTTGTTTCTCCCTTTTTCCAGGATCCCAAAGGGAACGAGTCCAGGATGCTATCTCTCTGGCTCCCTGGTTGTCCCCAAGAGCGAGTATGGCAAGAAAGCAGTGAGTGCCTTTTTTGTTGTTACCCCCTATCTTCCAGAGCAGTAGTCAATCCTGCTCCTCAGGATCTTGGGAGTTTTCAGTCTCCTCTTCTTATCTGGGACGTTTACACATTGTTGTGTGAACACATAAACTACACTGCAGAATACATCTGGTTACCATGGCCACTGTCCCATGAAAATGTGAAATTCACTTCACATGCTGGAAATAAGTTGTGGTCCTGAGGATCAGGGGGGGAGACCAGTGCTCCATTGCTGTTGCTTCTCTGTATTCTATTTTCTGTATAGTTCATTTCTCAACATCACCTTTAGACCTGAGCCGCGCCTGGTCTGCTGCTTCTGACAATGGTTGCTGTCCTTCTGGTTCCTGCATGCCATCTTCTTTCACCTTTTCTCACTCATTTGCCTTTGCCCACGCTTCTGCTATCAGTCCAAAAACACAATTTGATGTTGCTCATGCCATCACCTCTGTCAGATCTTGACACGCTGGATCTGGCTGTTTCTTGTCTCATCATTATGTTAATATTTGTGGTTGCTTACATGATGAGCAACCACTGGAGTCTAGGCCTTATTTTCTCTGTCAGCCTTCAGGGAAAATATTAGCTGGGAATGATGAAGGAAACCAAAAAAAAAACCCCACAAGGGTTGGTTACTAACTGACATTTTCATTTTACATTAGTGCAAATACGATGCCTGGGTTTTGGTACCAGTACCAAAATGATACTCTGAGAAATGTTAACACTTTTTTCAATATAACCTTTTTCTGTTAAACAAAAGAAGGCACATTTCTGAAATGCTGTTTAAACACAAGCAGCCATTCAAGAACCTTTCAAAAATAAAACAGTCTGAAGGGTAACATTTTGTTTAAATTGGTAACCATCTGATAATCAGTATTAGTAAATGAGATCAGGAATCTGAACCACAAGGCTGGATGTTCACATGTGTCTTCAGGGAGAAGTAAATTGCACAAAAGAAAGTTACATCTTCACGTAATTGGCAAAGCTAGTATGTACTTGTTACGTTCTAGTGAGCCCACTCAGAGCTGTATGTGTGTGTGTGCAAAAAAACACAGAAATGAACTTGAATGAAATATTTATTTAAAGAGGGAAAAAAAGGTAACTACATTCTACAATACAATGGCAAATGTTTTCTTTCTGAAGCTTATTCTCACTCTATGGCCTGCAGGTGCTCTTCTTTACATCGCTGTCAAGGGCTGTCTTGTCACACGATATGTCTGAATCCTTCTAACAGCTTTCTTGGCTCAGTGGCCCCAATGCAAAGATCTTCTTGTGAAATGTCAGCACCCAATTACAAATCACTATATTTTTCACTGTTTTTCATATTGTTCATCATTGCATTGCTGCAGATCTTTGTATCGTTGGAGTCTCATACACACAAGAATTTTACTATATCAAATCAAAGCTTCACTGTGAATCCACTTGTTATATTTTACTGTAGTTTTCAGTACTGAGAGAAGATGCAATGCTTAACCCACAGATCTGTTAGGACATGAACACAAGGTAGATTTTTACCACAGTACCGATTATTAAAGTGTGACAGGTAGGTGGAATAGACTCTGAGTCTCTGAGTGAGGATAAAAAAAATAAAATGAAGAAAGAGAGAATCCTTTTTGGTGTGTTTGTGTTGTCTCTTCCTTACTGTGTGTTATTCTGACCACCAGGGGCAGGCCTCTGCAAAACGACAAGGAAAATTTAAAAAGGTACTGGATGAGCTAGAAACACTGTACAACAGAGCGTCCACTGCTCTCATACCATCAGGAAATGGCTTATTCCTTACCTAAAGATGGGATATGTTATATCTATATTAATTATGTCCAAGCATGTCAATACTACTGAAATATGCAACATATAGATATTTACTTTGATGTAGAGTTTTCTGGTGGTCAGTAAAATTATTAATATCTACAACATCAATTGATAATGAGCACTACTTTAAACTTGTATTGGGTATTAAAAGGCATTTTTCTTAAGTGATTTCAAAGAGAGCTAACCAGAAGGAGTTTGGTCACAGGACATGACATGGGTAGGAAGAGGGTGAGAATGTGGGAGGCTGATTCAGAGTAGTAAAAGTAAAACCTTTTTTTTTTTTTTTTTTGTGTTCCTACAGGATATTGTTCCAGTCATCTACCACCTAATTCCTGCTCCCAACAAAACAAAGAACGGAGGGAAAGAGAAGGACAAGGAAGGAGACAAAGAGAAAGACGTGAAGGAGGAGTTTGCAGAAGCTATGAGAGACTTAAAGATTCAGTGGATGACAAAGTGCGCACAGTAGCTCATCCTCATCACATTGCTTGTTTTGCCTTTTTATTGTTTTCATTCTCTCTCAACCATCCATCGTGTTCTCTTTGCTGTTCAGGTTGGACTCCAGCTCCATTTATGATGAACTGAGGGAAAACTACTCGGATTACCTTCCCCTGCACGTGCAAAGACTGCACCAGCTGGACTCTGAAAAGGTAATGCTACCCACCAGAAAGAGAGAAGGGAAATGGATGAAGCTTCAATCCCTGGATCATCATCAACATCTAAACTATGCAATGATCTCTGCTTACAGTCATTTATCAGTCTGGTGTTTTTTGTGTTTAGGAGCGTGTAAAACGTCTCAGAGAGGTGTTATCAGCGGCTGACATTGTCATCTCCAGCATCGACCAGACGGCTTTGGCTGTTTATCTCACCATGAAGACAGACCCTCGGCCTGATGCTGCTTCCATCAAGACGTATGTCATTCTAGAGGATAGTGCTAATAGAAATATGAACTTCACTAAAATCCTTCAATAGCAGGAGAAAAAGTTGGTTAACCACAAAACCTTATAGACTTGCAGTATCTGGACTAGGAAATTCTTAGTCTGTGACATTAGTGAGTTAGTTTTACTGACTACTCTACTTTTGCTACTGTTACACTTCATTTTTGGATTTACCACTATCCAGTAATAGTGCTTGTGGCCACTGTTTGACCTGTGTTACCCTGCGTTTCAGTGACATGGAAAAGCAGAAGTCGTCCCTGCTGGACGCTCTGTGTAGGAAGGGCTGCGCTCTGGCAGACCAGCTCCTGCTGCCCCCTGCGCCGCAGGACGGCGCCATTGCTGTCACCACGGGACAAACGGCAGCAGAGGAGGTTGTGGAACAGGTGGCCAGCAGTTCTGACGACACCCTGCAGAACGTGGCTAAAGCTCTCATGGATACATTTTGGGAGGTGCAGAAGTGGGCGGAGCTAACTGACTCCAAGGTGAGCAAAGTGTTTTTTGAAAATGAAGGAAAGGCCAAACTTTCTCCATTGTAATGAAGGATAATTAGGTTTGTTAAGTATTCTGAAATGAATATATCTGCCATGTGAGATTAAAGGTTTACGTTGGCAATATTCTTATATGTTTGTTATTGTCAGGTCCCATGAAAAGACCAAAACAATGTTTGTCCAGCTTTCAATCAGACTTCCCTGTCCTGTCAGTGGCACTCCCATAATAATGCAAACCTACGCCACCCAATGCACCATTGTGGCTCATTGATGTGTTTTTGATGAACAATAGAGGTCTAATATGCAGAGGAATAAGATGTATCAGGAATCAGTTACTCAAACTACACGTTATTAGGATTAATTCATTGTTGGTTTAGGTTTTACGGGATTTGTTGACAATTACAAAATAAAAAATATTAGTTATTTACTACTCATGTATGTTGTTGTTCTCATCCCCTTACCTGTGGAAATTGCATAATCTATCATAAGGACCACACTTTCTGAAGATCATAACTAAAACGATGTGCTTTCCTCTGCTGTCTCTTCTGAAAATGTGACTTTGGTGGGTATACTGCATGTCAGCTGTACTTCTTCAATAAATGCTGAACTAATATATTTTCTGTCTTCTGTCTTTGCCACTGCTCAGGTGTTGATGTTTTCATACAAACACGCTCTTGTGAACAAGATGTATGGCCGAGCCTTAAAATACGCCTCAAAGATGTTGGAGGAGAAGCCCAGCAAAGAGAACATGAGGAACTGCATCCAGGTATGAGACGGCTGATCGCTGTTTAACGTACAAAAATACTGGCTAGATTTTTTTTTTTTTTTTACTTTTTAGTCCAAAACCTGAGTAGAATTATCTGAAGAATACATTTGTGATTGAACAAGTGTTACTTTGTTCTATTTTGAATCACTGTTCTTTTTTGTTTCCCAGCTCATGCGCCACCTTCGATGGACACACTGCGCCACCTTCAGCGAGAACTGGCTCCCTGTCATGTACCCCGCAGACTACACGCCATTCTAAGAGCACACACACACACACACACACACACACACACACCCGCATGAGCAGCATGGCCAAACACGGCCCATTACATGGTTACTTCGATATCATGTCCCTCAGGGTCCCATGGTCTATGCATCTGGTTTTTCAAAATACCAAAATGAAGGACAACGCTGAGTGTAAATGGTGTGATGTCTTTGACACTTCTTATAAGGCAAATCCTGTCTTTAAATGTGTTGTTGAACATCACATTTATGCTCAAAGTCTTGCCACGGCTTGTTGATACTGTAGCTCAATGCTTTCTTTGCTGGGCGTTGTCCTTTCTTTTGGTGTCATCTTTGAAGGCTTTCACATGCACCCATTCTCAGCTGTCCGGACTCCATATCATACAAAAAAAACTAATTGTTTTGTGTAAATACAGTAGAAGGGCCAGTGTGGACTCCAGGGATGCATCCCAAGTCCCAAAAAAAAAAAAAAAAAAAAAACCCTGTTCCCCCATCTACTCACTTTCAAAAAATCGACAGCAGGAAAAAAAACTGGCCATCATGATACTTCAGTGAGAAGACAGGAGGACTTGCTGCTGCACAATATTCGGACATATGAGGGCACGCAGAGTCTGCCTGATCCCTGAATTGAAAGGGAGGCTTGGACAGAACTTAATATCTTTTTTTCTTTGTGTTTTGGTTGTTCGAGCCAGAGCGGGTTGATAACGTTAACATTTAGTCTCGTCTGTCTTTTTAGGCTCTGACTCATGTGTACACAGTCTCAAAACACAAAACAGTGTTGAGGTGCCTTTCTACATGTACCTTACCTTCTTCTGATGGGATTATAGACCGTAAGCGGGTTTTGACCACCGGAAGTTGCAGAATCAGTAGCTTCAGTCAACACTCAACCACTTGCAGTCATTTCACCCATCAGCCTTTTGGTGTCAAATGTGGATTTATAGCTTGTATCGGTAGTATGATGCTGTACTGTTCACTGTATGCAGGCTGTCAGTGACTTGTCAGGTAATAGGAAGCCACAAACACACTTTCTCGGCTTCTGCTTACGTCCAGAGGTGTTTGCCCACCCACTTCATACTACTGTTTACCTGAGCGGCACATTTGACGACCATCTAACAGACCTCACTAACGTAACAGATGCAGTTGTGGGCAGCGTTAGGATGTTCAGATCAGATTTCATTGTAAAATGGTTACAGTGTTAGACATTTTTCTGCAGCATTCAAAATGTTGCATTTGTACACAGTGTCATAAAATAATGTACATACACATAACATAAAAAATATTAAGATGCAATAGGTATATAATACAAATATTATTCTAATTGATGTATTTTGCATATATGCATGTCTTCTAGGATGTAAGAGAAAAAAAATAGTTTTATTTGGAAGCAGATTTTAGTTTGTTTCAATTTGAAAGATTTTTAATCCCAAACAAGATTCTGACGATATCCACTGTTATTTTCATGAGTGTGTGTCTGTGAATGACTTTACGTGTAATTGTGAGCATATTTGTGTACATGCACATTACTTCACAACCGAACTGAAATTATAGCCATTTAAAGGGGGTTAAGCATGAGTTGTTTTTTCCTTCACTTACCTTTACTGAAAGAAGGACCGTACTGTTTTTTTTTTTTTTTGTTTGTTTGTTTTTCGTTTCATCGGATTTACTACAAATCATATATAGTTCATATCACAGCTAACCATTTGCATATTATTTTGCATTTTGTTATTTTAAGCAAGGTAACCGTTGGTTTGAGTTGTATAAATCCAGACTGAACACCAGGTCTGCATTAAAGGCCTGCAGCACCACATTTATCAATCATCTTTTTATTGAGTGATTGTGTCTTACATAAACACTCTTTTGTCATTATTTCACATGACAGGTTTGTTTGTGCTGTTTTTGTCTGTGCTTTTCTCACTGGTATTATGTGGTACAGGCATATAGAGAACCAATCAGGATTCAGCAATATTTCATTCAAAACATGGTCACAGCTTTGGTGTTATATGTTGTATGTGTGTTGCCCCTGTCCGTTAAATCTGATCAAATCACACCTACGCAGTCTTGATGAAGCAGATTAGCTGCATTTTTAAATGTTAAACTCTTTAAAAAAAATTAAAAAAAAGTAACCATGTTTTTGTTTTTTACAAACTTCTAAAGACTCAAAACCACGTTAGTCATTGCAATGCTTTACTAAAAATGAATGCAGACTTGATGTTCACTGTGATGGATTATAAAACTTAAAAGAGTACTTCACCGATTTAGCTTTGGACTCCTGTTGAACTCACGATGGATCATTGTTGAAATGTGTCACCTAAATTACCTACAATGCAACTCGACCACTGACAGTTCAGATTTGGGTGTGTTGCGCTAGTAGTGGCTACAGAGGTCTCACTTCTGTCTCACTCCCCCAGGTTTTTAAATTTTATCTTTTTTCAGCCCCAACCAACACTGACTCAAAGGACATCACTTGAGTCAATTTATCAGATTTTGGGCAGCTCCTTCTGGAGCCACAAAATGTTATAACTTTTTCACATATGCAGTAGTAGCTAATCCACAATACCTGTAAACAGACGATGTGTAAAATTGGTCGTGTTAACCCTTTTTGTTGTTGTTTTTTTTTTAATGTCGTGGAAATGAATAGGAAACGTGTACAGTCATTGCTTTCCATTCATTTGGTGAAAATATAAACTGCACCACATGCATTTGTAATGGTCAGCAAAAATGTCAGCTATACATAATTTTAGTTGAGCTAAACTTTGCAAAAACACTCGTATGGTCCTTTAAAATATCTCACCTGAATCATGTAACAAACAAGGACATGTGGCTGTTTCTGTCAGTGCATGAGAGGACCATGTCAAAGACATACATATTCACTTTTTACCTTTTATAGTTGTGATTCTCAACCTTTATTGTTTACAGATCTGTAAAACAAGAGGTGTGATTTCCTGTCACAGCCTGTCGTATCAACGTAACCAAAGACTGTTAAGTTGGTTTAATTGTCAAAGGACATATGAAGGCTGAAAATTAAGTAAATTGAATAGAATAATATATTGAATAGAATAAGGAAATAGATTCTCCCTCAAATGATCAAACCCCCCAGTCTGAGAACCACTGATCATCTTTCCTCTGTGTTGTTTTAAGTTCTCTCACGAGTGGAAGGTGCATGCTTAAGAATGTAAAAGCAGCTGCTTTCAAGCCGAAGCCTTTTTCGTCCTCATGGGAGTAAATAATCTTTTCTGGGACGACCATACATACACAACGAATCAGTGGTCACAACTCATGTTTACCCCGGGGTAAGAACACCTTGCGGTTCTGTTTTTAGCCTTGTATGCACTTACTGCAGCGGCCTGAGCACAGGCCTCTCCGAGTGCGCAGGGGTTTTTCTGGAGGCAGTTGTGTTTAATTTCTGACTGAATTTGTGCTCATCGTTTTTACTTCATGTTTTCTCCTCCTTTTTTTTGTACTTTTTCTCCTCTTTCCTGTGTTTGGTTCAGACGGATGTTATGTTCAGGGCTCAGCTGTCTACAGTACGCGTTGCCAATGGCCTTAACTATCACAACAGGACTGTACCGTCCATTTCTGGCACCTCTGTTCTCACTCTGCTGGTGTCAGGAAACATTTCAGAAAAGCTTCTTCTGGATGTTGAGTGTTTATATTTATAGTCATAAAATCTAGTAAATGCCAATATTTTACAGAATGTTATGAGATAAGGTTGTATGCTCTTATTAGTATTATTTTATACCCATTCTTCCTCGATGATGTTGGAAAGACCCAAGCTACTGTCACACTATTTTGTGGTCACATGGAGTTAAGTCACAAACAAGGAAAGCAACACTGAATAAAAATGATTTGGAAGAATTCAAGTGTGCCCTGGTCATCACTGGTACAGAAATTTGGTTGTTTTATAAAATTAATTACACATCATTTGAAGAATTACAAGTGAGTGTTTTTTAAAAAAATGTATCACCCTCTACATCTGCAATTGCTGGGCAAGAGTTTGTTCAGAAATGACCAAGTAAAGTACAAGAAGAAGTTAAAAGATAAAGGGTTTTCATTCATTTTTTTTATTAAATGTGTAAAAAAAAATACTGTTCACACACAAAAAACAAGACGTCACACTGTGCAATGGCTGCAAATCTATGTAATACATGAGTTTTCTTTATTCACTGATAAATTGTTGCCTTTAAAGGAGTGAAAAAGGAAATTTGAAAATTACATTTATTAATATGGTTTATCCATTATTACATTTGAGAAGCTGGAACCACCAAATGTTTTGGCATTTGATCTTAAAAAATTAAAAAAACAACTGTCTACTTGACTATAATTAATTAACTAAATGTTTCACTCCCACACAGAGATAATTGATTTGATTATTGAACCTTATGTAGCACAGGCTTTTCAGGCTAAATATAGTGCTTCGTAAGGTAGTAAACATGGTGTCAGACGTGGATAACGTGGAGTGAAAAAGACCATCATATTCTCAATAAGCGAAAGACAACAGCTAAGCTAAAATTCATTTTGTACTGCCTCTACAGGAGGTAACCCCTGTAGTTCTCACAGCTGTAAACAGTGAATAATAAAGAGTTTAAATATGAGCATATTATGTTTTAAATCTGTACATACATGAAGCCAGCAGGGAATAACCTGCTCTAACTCTCTTCTGATGGACAGATTATTAGACAATCAGGCCCTGATGAACATAGAGGTAAAAAGCCCTTCTTTCTACACAGCAGTAATAAAGCCCAAGACCACCAATGGACAGAAGAAAACTGCAAAATTGCAGCTGAAATTCAGTATTTTGTTCAGGCTGGAGATGAAGAGAGGCTGTGTAAACCTTTACCTTTAAATCTTCTAGCCACTATAGAACCAAACTGACACTCTTGATCTTTTATAAATTCATATACAAAAGTTTGCAGGAAACCATCCAAAGAAACCTGTGAGGCATGTTCGATTTTCTTGAAGCTGAGAAACTGTCAAACACATTTAAATGGCTTTACAAATTATTACGTAAACTAAGAATTACACTTTGAGTTATCCATCTACATCTTCTCTGTCTCTCACTCTCTACACGTTGCCATGAAGATCTTCATCTCTCCGTCTTCAGCCAGCAGGCTTGTGTGAAAAGCCTTTTTAAAGTTCTCAGTGAAAGTCAGATCAGTCTCAAACCTGACCTTGTTGGCCCAGATCAGAGTCGTTCCTGGTTTGCAGAAGTGCTTCATGGTGACCAGGAGCTCGTCCAGGAAGTCGTGATGGTAGACCACATCAGCTGCCAGCACGTAGTCGTAGGGATACACTGATGAAGGGTAGGTGCGCTCCAGGTCGTAGCCCCAGGACAGTGCCGCAAACTGGGGCGTGTGTCTGCAATTCCCCCTGGTGTTCCTCATCACATTGGCCCGGAGGTTACCTAACACCTCAGGTAAGTCTGTAGCTGTGACTGAAGCTCCTGAGGATGCAGAAACAGGATATATGTCACCACTATAGCAACAATAACAGTAAAAGGATCATAATGGTGACCTTTGTCAAGGAGTTTGTGGAGCTTTAAGCACCATGTTTTCCAAATAACATCCAAATCAGTTCTATAAAATCCAAACCAGGCTAGTAAAGGAGACCTGCCTCTAACTGCTTTTGAATGTTAAATGCTTGAAGGTTTTACTGTATGCTATATATAGTATAATTAAATACAAAATTACAAGCAATAATTCAAACAAAATTGGCTAAAATCATATAATGCCCAAAAAGACAGGACCAATACAGTGTTTTTACACTCTGTTTACCCACTTTCTGTTATAATTTAATTTTTTATTTTTTTTGTGCTTATGCTCACCCAGCAGACTGGCCACAATGGTTACCAGTCCTGTTCCTGCTCCCAGCTCCAGCACCTCCTTTCCCTGCAGGTTCACCCTCTGCCTGTTGTTGTCTAGGAAGGAGCACAGAGCCAACGCCTGCAGGGCAAAGAGATACAGACCTTTTACTGTGGCCAATGTTGTTGCTGTATCCAACCATTTCTGTAACTGACAATCTTGTACTCACTGCTGGCCACATCACAGCTCCAAAAGAGTCTATGGACTCATAAATGACAATGTCCTGCCCTGCGTAATGGTAGATATCTTTACCAAGGCAAGTGTTAATGCTGGGAACCCAAACTGGTTTAGTGTACTGCTGCACAGGTGTTTGTTCGATGTGCCCTTGTGCTGTGAAGAGAGGATAGATCAAAACTGTAAATTCCACAACATAAAGTGAAAGATAACTTAAATAGCTGTAAACAGAGTTGTATGTGATGCAACACATATCATATCAGTACTCTGGCAGGAACAAGGCATTAAATCCTTTTGTTTGTGAACCAAACAACCTCACCGCAATGATAAAAATTAGTCCCTGCTTCTCTTCCTTATAAGTTCAGATACTCTACACCAGTGGACAAGGGCATCGGCGGTCTGGGTACGCTGAGGACAGTTTATAAATTTTGGCCTCACCACATTTTGGTTTTACTCCATGTGGCTCACATCTCAAATTTAACTCTTGCCACTAACCTTGCCAGCTACATTAAAGTCCCAAAGCTGCTTTTTCACTGAAGGGTAAGCTGCCAAACCACAAGACAGCAGTTTGTAGTTGAGACACACAGAAGTAAAAACCAAAGAGAAAAAAAAAGCTGTCGTACCTTCTTATAATTTGTATCCCTGTTTATGCCAATAATTTGTTCCCCCTTAATCATAAACTATGAAAAACATTACACATTAAAAGGTCGGTTCCCCGAAATGTATATTCTCACTTGCTGAACCTCCAAAGATATAACTAAGTGATGGATACTTTGTGCTGTGTGTCCTTTATTTGTGCTGGATTTTAAATTCCTACCTTTTAAATTCTTGTGCACTTTTATTTCACATTTTGTATTACATTTAATTATATTAATGAAAGTGCTGCTTTGAGCTAAATGTTAACGTCAGCATGCTAACATGGTCACAATGACTTTTTGCTTAGCAGGTATAATGTTTACCATGTTCACCATCTTAATTTAACATGTTAGCATGTTAGAAAAATCATAGGGAGTCATCCTCTGGGGACCGTGAACCAATAGTTGTTGCAATCACTGTACACAAAGTATGGTTGAAATATTTCCGTCTGGAACAAAGTGGAGGATCGACCGTTATCGTCATCCACAGAGCCACGCATTATGCATGGCTACAAATTCCACATCAGCATCTCTTTCCTGAATCAGTTTCCCTGTTACCCTAGATAATCCGCAGACTGTAAACAGTTGTCATCAGAACTACTTTGTACTGAAAAAAAAGTCCCTGCAATGATGAAGTCTCAGCAGATATCTCAAAACCTAAGCAAAGAAAAGATGTTTTCATGGTTAGAGGCAAGTGATAAAAATGCTTTTGGAATTTGGGTGAACTGACCCTTTAAACAGAAGGAACTGGGACTCAGACTCCAGTAATACTGTATCAAATGTATTGACACACAAATGTGCATTTTCACAGATCATGTTGACTCACCTGTAGCTTCTTCATTACTGGCTGAACAACATGAGTCATTGCTCTCCGGTTTATCCTCCTCATCCTCTTTATAGCCGTTATGTTTGAGAACCATTATCTCCTCCATCTCCTCCTCTTCATCAGCCTCAAGCTTGTTTTTTTCTTCCTCGTCATCTCCTCTTTCAGACTCTGACATGTGAGGTTCCTCTCTTACATCATCATTATTTTCTTTTCCTTTACATTTTTCTATATTAACATTGCAAAGCTCGTCATCCTCTTCATCCTCAGCCTCCTCCTTGGATCCTTGGACTTCCATGCCCACATTGGCTTCTCCCTCCTCCTCTTCTCTACATGTTGCCATGAAGATCTTCATCTCTCCGTCTTCAGCCAGCAGGCTTGTGTGAAAAGCCTTTTTAAAGTTCTCAGTGAAAGTCAGATCAGTCTCAAACCTGACCTTGTTGGCCCAGATCAGAGTCGTTCCTGGTTTGCAGAAGTGCTTCATGGTGACCAGGAGCTCGTCCAGGAAGTCGTGATGGTAGACCACATCAGCTGCCAGCACGTAGTCGTAGTGATACACTGATGAAGGGTAGGTGCGCTCCAGGTCGTAGCCCCAGGACAGTGCCGCCAACTGGGGCGTGTGTCTGCAACGCCCCCTGGTGTTCCTGGACAGGTTGACTCTCAGGTTGTTCAGGACCACTGGAAGGTCTGTGGCTGTCACCCAGGCACCTGGAGACAGTCAGAAAAAACATCAAAACTTTCACATCTTTTTCACAATAATAACTTCTCAAGTTAATGGATCTGATAGTACCTGGACCCTAATGCTAGAACTCTACCTTGAATTACCAAAAGCACACATATACTGACATACTGGTACATTCTCATACTAGCATGGCCGTGCAATAGGCCTGTTGTTGAAACCTATACAAGCTAGTACATGTTCTATCTCTATTTTTATTTATTTGTGTGTGCTTTTTATTTATTTTAACTATTTTTTTTGACTCAATGTGTGACCCAGAATTGTTTGTTATTCTTTACCCCCACACCTCTTCTTTGTTTCTGTTTTTTTTTTTTTTGACTGACTCATACTCCTGTGCAAATGGCAAGTAGAGCTGAACTTGAACCTCTTACCAAGGAGCGCTGCTACGACAGACACGAGGCCAGTTCCCGCACCGATCTCCAGGACTGCCTTGTCCACAAGACTGAGCTGTTCACGATGGGTATCCAGGTAGTGGCAGAGAGCCAGAGCCTGGGGGCAGTCAAGATGAGTATGAGGAACAGAGAGGTATGTGTATGTATATGAGGTAAGGTTTGTGGCTCCTCATGCATCACTTGACCAGATAAGAATGTATGAAGTATATGCCTGAGTAGCAAAAGTAAGATATTAGATGGATCTTTGTACATTAAAGATTAGTTCCAGTGGTTATTAAGTATCTCAGACAGGCCTGAGGGCAGAGGTAAATATAGTCTAGGGGCCTCAGAGTGGAGACAGCGGCATGCTGATATACGACAATCCAAGAATCCAGAACGGACACTAACACACACTGTATGTCATATTGTGGTTCAAATGAGGTTGCAAATCTCAAAAAAGGTGCTACTCACCGCCGGCCATATCATGCCTGCATAGGAGTCAAGACCTTCTTCTATGATGATCTCCTGCCCGACATAATGGTAGACCTCTTTATCCAATCTGTAGTAGAAACATGGAGCCCAGGCAGGTTTTTTTTGCTTCTGGACGGCTGATTCATCTGAATGATACAAAAGTGTCAGATTTCTGTGGTCTGAATCGACACAAGACTCTGCTCAGTGTGACTTTAGAAACGTCCTGCTTTTTATTGCACAGTTCATCTTACTTTTTTCCTCTTCTTTATCGTCTTTATCCCAATCTTCCTCCTCTCCCTCCTCCTCCTCATCTTCCTCGTCCTCCTCTTCGGCTCTCATATAACCGGTTTCCGCCACAGAGCGTGGGGGCAAAGTATCCATATAAAATTCTGTGTACTGTTGGACAGACAGGTGTTATCAGTTAGGCATGTGAAAATAGAGAAAATGAATCAAGATCATTAGATATTGAGCTTCAATTAAACTTTTTTTTTTAAACAATGTTATCTTTCTTTTGTAAATTGTAAACATTCATATGTTTTGATAATTTGCATATTCATATGCTACTGTGATTTCAGCCTTTCCCTCCATAATTTTGCTGTGTTTATATAATTACTTATTTTCTTTTTAATCAAACTGCAGTCCTACAGTCTAACCAGCAAAATAAGGCAAAACAAGTCTGGGAGAACACACTCCTCTAATGTGACTATCACATATTAGTTTTTAAACAGAGCACAATGAACATAAATCTTTCAAAGACATTTTTTTATTTACACGGGAAACACTGTTCCAAACCATAACATGCTATCCAAAACTCAAGTACTTACTTACACAAGTAATACAGTGAAAACTTGGTCTACCTGTGACCTTTGACCTACCTGCTGGCTGCTTTATCTTCCAGTGAAAGATCTCAGGAGCAGTCTGACTGCATCCGGAGACCTCTGACTGCAAGGTTATAGAGACTCAGCATCCTGTTGGACACACCCATCATCATCACAAGGGCATGAGGGTATTTTTAGAGCTGTGCCCAGGAGAAATAAACACAAGCAAGATACAAGAGCAGAGCGCACATAGATACAAATACATACGCGCACACACACACCGACACCATCGAAGATGATTGGTGAGAGGGCCAAATGAGTAAGAGCATGACAGGAATGTCATGATACCAACAGCAATGGATCTTTGATTCCAGTCTCGGATATGGACTACCCTGCTGGTGATTCTTGGAAGCCTCCACGGTCTGTAACCTCATACTGGATATAATATAATATAAAATGATATATATATAATATCATATGAATAAAAGTTAAACCTGTAAAACTGGCTGTTGTAGGAACTCTGGTGAATGATTTCCAGCTGCAATAATCAAATAACTTTTTATGATTTTGATTGTGGGTTCAAATCAGTCCAGATATCCCATGTTACACTGGCAATACATCAGTTTTTTTTAATAGTCTACAAATAGTCACAGAGACACACAGAGGCATAAGTCTGCTGAAAATTAGGCCGATGCATGATTTTTTTTTTTTTTTACAGAGAACCCTTGAATGTGTACATCAAAACATTTACAACATAAAAAGCCTCATAAGCTGTTTTAATTTTTTTTTTATCACTGATAAGTTGCAGTCACTTTGTCTGCAATATTTAATCAGAAAGATAAATGAAGATGAAATTAGGTGGAGTCTAGGTCAAAATTACACATGCAGTTTAGAACGTGTCAATGCGGTGCTTACTTGCTTGCTTTTTCTGCAATGGCCTCAATAGCTTCAGCAGAGATGGGCGGTAACAGGATCAGGCTGGCATGCAATCCCTGTGTATCAACCCTCCAAGAAAAGAAGGGGGCTCCTGTAATCTAAACCTCAATTAGACCTCCCTCAGTTGCATTTGAACAGCCTTGAAGTATCACCTGCCAGTTTCAGGTATCGTCAATCTAAATCTACGCACATCCCCAAAACTTGAAATCCATCCAGTACTTCAGGGTGGTTTGACATGTTAATGGGGGAGTTACACAGTGGTGAAGTCATTGCCCAACTGTGTTGTTGCTGTGAAGCCTTCTTTGGATAAAAGATAAGAGTTTTTAAGCTTGATGACAGACAGCATCTATCTCTCAGTGAAAGGTGGTTTGTTATCAACAGGCTGTTGAAAGAGAGACAAAGTTAAAGGATATCTCTACAAGGCCACAGACAGTTTTCAGCTGTTGAGTATTTGTTTGTCTTGACAGTGATACACATCAGCTTAGATAACCTCTCTGTTCCTCTTTAATCCAGCTTTTCACCGTGCCTCTGATTCTGCAGCCAAACAAAACATATCCATCACACGGGCGAACAGACAAGGAATGATTCGGGCAGAAAATGTTGCAGGATTTGGATTCATAAATTAGATATCAGATTTAATAGGTCACATTAATAGCATGCCGCCCTAAGTTACTCTTTCCAACTGTTGAGTTTCCAAAACACGCAAAATTTGTGTGAGACACAGTGGTGTTTATGCTGCTGAAGCAGCACACACTCCCCATTATGGATGTGATCTTTAATTTGACCTTTAATTTGAGTCTTTTGCTGCTGACATTTCACATAAAGAGGCCTCATCTAAGTGTAAACATAAAAAAGTAACACCAACAATAAAAACTTTCTGTATTTTGCAAAGAAATTATGTATTTATTGAATTTGCAAATTGTTGGTTTTCTTAATATGAGACGTTCTTTATAATTACTTTTAAATGTACAGTGTGTGGGACGTAATGCATTTCACATCATTCAGAGGTGATGGACATTGTCTAAAAGTCTAAAAATAATTAATTAAAGTGTGATTACCATTAATAAACATTAATTGTTTAAAAACCATGTTATGTCATGTTTTACTTTGATGTTAGGATGTTACAGATGCTTAGAGTTCACAGTAGAACAGTTTCTGGTAAATAAAACGATAAAATTCTATGAGGCTTTAATATTAAACCTGCAATAAACCTGCAGTTGTGAGTTGTAAGGACTCAGCCTCAGCACACACTGGTTCTTTAAATTGATATGGCTAATTCATTAGCAAACAGTTGCTTATCTACACATCCACCTACTGAGCAACATTTATTTGGAGTTGTGTTTCTGGCCACCCGATGAACACTTTCAGCTCTGTTTTTGGTCTCCACCAACTAACCATCTGTGTCCGACTGCTGTTTGGTGCTGAGCAGGTAGTGTACAGTGGATTTACCAGAGCTCTGTTCTAAAAACAACACTATGAGAGCGGTGAGAGTGAATCATAACAGTAAAGTTGCGGGCCTGACAGCTAAACAATGAGCTGAAACTCACTATAAATCAGAGGGGAGCTGAAGATTTGGGTACAGATTCTCGGTAGGTTCATCACTACAAGTGGCACCTCTCATGTTGTCATATATTTGTCTTTGCTTGTCAGGCTCATCTCTACTTTGTCAGACCTGGCTAAACTTTCACCAGCCTCAGTTTTACTTTAAAGCTTAGCTGTGTTTGCTGTTGACTGTTATTAACGTTGCTGGGTCCAGTCATTCGTTTTCCTCAGAGGATTCTTCCTAAGAGAGTCATCGCTGACGATTCCAACTGTTCCATAAAACCTGATCACATTGTCCATGTGAAGTCCCCCAGCAGAACACCTCCTAAATAAAATCCAAAGGGTCATCAGAAATCCACTGGAAAAATCCAGAGCCATGTTTGCCCAGACTGTCAGTGCTGTGAGCTGACTGGACCAAAACAATATAGTCAGCCAAGACCTTGAGTGTGAGAACGTGCTGCTGATGGATGACAACCAGTTTAAAAAAAAAAAAAAAGGCCGGCGTGTATCCAGGCATACAGAGTTTATTAAAGTTCAGCTAAATGAAATGCAAAACAACAGTCCTGCAATAAATTACATTGAAATGTCACTAGTAGACCAGTAAACACTGTAAATAATAACATTTGTAAAAATGTGGTTCACAGATTCATATTGTTTGACATTTGTGCATGATATCCATGAAAACACATTACAGAAACAATAATTCATCATGTGTTCCCTGTCCATTTAACAGTTCAGGCAGCAGCTTCTCCTTGGTCCTTTGTCCTCCTGTCCTTCCTCCAGGCTCGGTACAGTTTGATACTCAGACTGGGGAGGTTGTACAGCTCCTCCAGCTGGAAGCGCTGCCGAAAGCGATCCACAAAGCTGTTCTCTGGGTCCAGACGAAAGCGCATGGCCCAAAGAATCTCTGTGTTTTCCTGACACAGGTGGTCAAAGGTGTCCATCAGCTCTTCAAGGTAAGGATGGGCATACACCACGTCAGCTGCCAAGATGTAGTCAAAACAATGTGTGGCACGTGGGAAGCGCTGCTCCACATCCTGACCCCAGATAAGCTCTGTGACCTAGAAACAGAGATCATTTAGGGCTGATTTAACAGTAATAAATCAATTTATATTATTATTATTTATTATTTATTTTATTATATTCTATCGTTTATTTCCAAAAGTTTGTTTTTAAAAAAGAAAGTCCACTCATGCATACTCTTAGGTTGTTTTATAGCATGAATCTTTGGTATTAGCTGCACTGGAAATATCATGAAATGACAAAGTAGATTCTGCATTTGGTCCATGACCCAAATGTGCACCGAGAAAAACAAAAACTATTCGACATTTTTGAATATATTTCGGACGTTATTTACCCGACAGTATGAAATATGAATATAAAAACCTACCAGAGGGGTGTACTTGCATCGGCCCTTGGTGTTGCGCATAACATTGTACTGGAGGTTCCCCAACAAATCCGGTAGGTCAGTGGAGGTCACCTTAGCACCTGGAGAGAGACAATGCAGGCTGAGTGTTAAAGGGGATGAGATACAAACAGCAACAGAGAGAGTGAGTGAGTCAAAGAGACTTCAAATCAGTTCAAGTTCAAACAACTAAAGCTCATCAGTGGACTGTTTTGTTTCCGTACCTAACAGGCTGGATACAATGGTGACGAGCCCAGTTCCAGCACCCAATTCCATCACATTTTTGTCTGTCAGGTTGTATTTGTCTCGGTTGGTCTCTAAGAAATGACACAACACCATCGCCTGTTGGGGGACACAAGTTCACAGTTCACTGGTAGGGGTCAAAATAAAGACAAAGTGCAGCTAAATATTGAGATAATGTGTAGGTTTCTGGTGTACCGAGGGCCAGAGTACGGCTCCATAGAGGTCTGTGGACTCTTTGATACGGATCTCCATATCAGAGAAGACGTATCCCTCCCAGGACTCTGGGCCAATGACTGAGGGGCGGAAATTTCGGGACATTATGGCTTTGGCCAGCTCTGCATCCTCTGCAGCACCTGCTTTGACAGCCACAGGAGAGACAGGTGTTGTTTTTTTAAAAAAAATTTATAAAATATTTATATAGAATAAAACAGAATTGACAAATTCACAGCATACATTTGGACATCATAGCAGGAGATGCGCAGGTTTTAATAATCACATCAACAATGGCTAAATTCCATTTAGGTGAGCCAGTTATAAGCCCTGATATTGATATGACTGGCATCATTTACTACACTTTAATGATATGGAGCAATAATCAATGACTCAAGCAGCAACAACAGTACAAGTACCACTCAATTCTCAATTTACCTTAAAAATCATCAGACCTCAATTTAAGTTGAAACACATTGCTGATAGCTTAATATGACTCACCTGTACACCGGGTATGGTACCTGTCATTTAGAGAAGTCAGGGTCTGAATTGTTAGTGAATCTTATCTCATCAACTTACATGTGACATAGCAATTGGTAATTGGATAACACAAACTGTATTTGTAAAGTGGAACAGTCCAACACAGACCAACCAGGGGCAGATTTAGAGGGGCGGCATGGAGTGGCCACCCCAGCTTGGTGTCAAATGCTGTACAATTTAACACATTCATTTAGATTAATCTAAAAAAAATAATGTGTTTAAAACAAATATTAATTTAATGATCTGTTATGGCCACATTTTAGACTAAGTGATAGGCTTAAGTTAGAGTTAAGAGACGTATTTTGAAATAAATAAATGTATTGATTTCTCTGCCACCTATAGATATTTCTATTCAGTGCTTTACTAATGTGCCTCAAAAATGTTTTTTAGTTAAAATATCTTCATTTCAGGTTTTTTTCTAAGCAAATATTGATATATGTGATTGTTTGTGATTAAATCAGTCTATATTTCTGCCTCTCCTTAAAGTCTCCACGCCACCTTCTGGCCACCCCATTACATTTACAGTGAACGCAATGAATACTCCAGATTAATGCAATTTTGTGTGAGCATGAAGCAAAATTTAATTTACCTCCAGTGTAAAGGACTGGAAACAGAAATCTCATTGACAAATATCTTTAAACTTGGCAAATGACACATACCTGACTGGCTGGAGTAAGAAAACATGTTTTTTTTTGTAATTTGGGTGAACCAATCCTTTAACAACTGCACCACCTATGCTCTCAAAATGTCAGAAAGGAACACACCATGGTAAGACTGCAGGGCTACTGTACAGGTGTTTCTATTATCAAGCAGATTAGTAATCATGTTATTTGTCTTTCATATCACATTACAGGCAACATTTGATTCTCTGCTCTATAAATGAATCACATTAAGGCTCATAATGCCCCTTTGATCCTGCTGTTTGTTTGTAACATCATGCCAGTGTGTCAGACTCCAGCTATGTGTCATTGCTAACGGTTACTCACAGCATCTGACACACAACTTTAGTTATGTCACACTGGTTTGGAGAAAAGGTCAGGGGAGCCCACAGAGCCACAATAAAAAGGTTGAGTGAGGTCAGGGAGTGGTCAGGAGCTGGATTTATAGCTTTTGTGTGTGTATAAATATATCTTACATTTGTCATTAACAAGCACAGATGCACTTATTAGCAGGGAATAAATATTTCAGCACAGCCACATCTTGCAAGCTGTCACATTCATTTCATACTTCAAGAGATTTAAATTTTACTGTGCATGCATACTACTGTTTGCTTGTTCTAATAAAACAACTTAATTATTGCTTTTGACATTATAAAGAAAGAGAGATCTTTTCTGTTCTCCAAATTCTCACCTTCTTCTTGGGTGTTGGAGTCCTCCATGGCCTTGGACTGTTGAGTCTCCTTGTCTGAAGGAGTCCAAGCAAGAGGGCAAAAATGGCCAAAACAGAAAAAGTCAACTGTTGCTCTTGGTTTGTGGTCCCAGATTAAGTTCTTTGGATTTAGGTCAATCTGGATCCAGATCTCTAGCAGGTTGTCACCTTCTATGGTTTTAAGTTACACACAAATACAGTATTTTCCAACTTCTTGTCCAACCACCATACAACCCTCAACTCCACCCCATTTCTAGCTGGGCGTGCTTGAGCCCCTCTCTAATGCAGTAAAACTGACGGACAGCAACAGCTGCCCTGTCCGTCTGCTGAACTGGAGCTGCACAGTAACAAAGAAGAGTAATGTATCCTCGATTTCACTAGCCACAAGTCAAATTAGAACTTGCAAGTGATAGAAACATCATGTATTTATTCAGAAACACCAGAATTGCTTTCACATGTACAAAAGCCGTTGTGTTTGTGTGTGTGTTTAAGGGAGAAGGGGGGTGTATGCAGAAACACAAGGCAACTGAAATACAACCTCAAGGAAATTTAAGTGTGGTGCTGAAGACCAGCACCTGTCTCAGTCTTACATCAGCAGGACAAATGACTGAATCTGAGCCAAACTGACATCCCTTTGGAAATATTTCAACTTTTAAACATTAAATGCAAAATATTGTCAGTTCTCTCATAGATATTATCAGTCAGTTATACAAAATACATATTCTATAAAACAGAAAATAATTTTTACACCAATACTCAATTCATGAATGAGTAAATTATTAATTTACCTTATAACTATCAAGTATTATATCACAGGCATTATTTGGGAGTGTGTGACATTTTTGCACTTTTGTAATTAATATTACGTTTGAAGTTCAGCTTATTTTCATCTTCTTCCCCCTTCCCTTTCCTCTCACGCTTCCTCTCCCTCTTGCGCTTTTGGTTCCGCGGCCTCGTCGGCTGCCCTCGAACACAGATCGGGCTGTAACCATAGCAACTTCACCGCTGCCATCGCTGTCCTCACCAGAGGTGCTGCTGCTCCTGCTGGCCCTCTTAGATACAGTCTGAGCAGATTGAGGGATCTTCACTGAGAGAGGCTCCTGGCTCGTGCTGCTCACATCCTTCAGAGACGTAAGAGGAGGTTCAACAATAACCTCCGACCCTAGAAACCCTCCTCCTGCTGCAGACCTCTCCTCTTCCCTCTCTTCTCCTCCTCCTCCTCCTTTCTTTGGACTCTTGCTTGCTGCCTTCCCTTTCTTAGATTTGGATGGGGATGGCATTTCCTCCTCACTGTCCTCCTCTTCCTCCTCTCCTCCTTCCCTCTCCTTTCTCTTCATGCAGGTTACTGCTCGTCGGAGTCGCTGGCTGCGGATCGCCTGCTTTTCCTGCTGCTCCAATCGGAAGAACGAATCGATCCGCAGCTGAGTCTAAACCAGACCAATGAGAGATAAGATGTAAGACTACAAAGTGGTTTCATTCCCTCCATTACCGACTTTTTAAATTTTATACAATCGAACTGAAGACCAAAGAAAGACTAAAGAAAGTGTGCCTGAATAAATCATGTTCCATATATGCTCTCATGAATGGATTACAAATTGTTTTTCAACACAGACTATAAATGTGGATATTGTTACAATATTTTTTTCAGAAGATTGTCAATGTTGAGGCTGCTTTGCTCATGTTTCTATTTGCACTACTACAACTTAAAATGGCAGAACATGGACATTTACACCATTCATCCATTACTTTTAGCTGTTGCTAAGTAGTTCAACCGTTTCCATTACCTTTAGGTGCCAATTTTATCAGTTTATTCAATTTAACAGTAACTTTTTTTTGTCTTTTTTTTTTTTTTTATACGGGTTTACTTGAGTTAATTAGCATTAGTTTTCTACATAACCCCTGGCAATTAACTACAAAAGTGACCCTTGGGGTAAAAGTTGTGAATCCCCGGTTGACACCTGTCTCAGTTACCTGTTGGGTGTTGAGCTGCTTGATCACAGGCTGAAGAGTCTCCTCAGTCCTCCGACTGTTCCAGCCAAAACGGCTCAGACAGAATGTAAAACACTGGTTAAGGAAACTTCACACATTGATGAACATGCACAAACAGGCGCACACACAGGCGCACACACACACACACACACACACAAACAGAAAGGATATTCTTTGATCATGTCGACTTGTGGGCGCCCCCAGCTGAAGGAGCTGTCTGATTGGTCCACAGCAGGCTGCAGGTAAGCCTGAGCCACCGCAGGGCTGGGAAAGCCAGGATGCAGTTTTAGGTCCCTCAGTTTCTTCTTAACCTTTGTTTCCCGAGGATCAGACACCAGACGCTTTTTCTCCTGAGCCTCTGACCACCATTGACTAAGAGGAAAACACCACTAATACGCCTTTAAAAATACTATAGAATACTTTTAATGTGTGTTGTAATGTTTAAGTGTTCAAGCCATGTAAGTGTAAGAAAATATTCATAAATTAGCTTTAACAATACGTTTATTTTACATATGTGTCCTGTATTTGACAGTCACAGTGGAGGGATTGAACATGAATGACATAAAAGTTTTGAAAATTAGTGAAAAAGAGAAAAAAGGGGTGAGCACTTGAAAGCTGAAAAATGTACACGTAGTCAGAAAAAGTGTTTCACAAACACACACACACCTGAACTCTATGAGTGGCTCCAAGCCTGGACCTGGGAACTCATTCAGTATCTCCATGCCAGTCACATATCCGACCCCTGGCACTCCCTCTGTGTAGTCACTGCCCAACAGGTAAGCCAGGTTTATCAGTTTAGTCCTGTCCAGACCTGAGGAAAAGGAGGAAAGAGGGGATGAGAGAGGGGAGTAAAGCCTTGTGCAGTCTGGCTGCTCCACTTGCCGACAGCTCATCAGTCACAACCAACACAAACAGCTGTCTTTGATATGTGCAATATGAACCCATCAGATTAGCACAGTAATGTGTTATCCTCACAGTTTCAACACCTTACGCTTTCATTTCAGCCGGCCCCAAATAGCAAAATAACATCACCTGTAGTTGCATTTATGCAAGTATGAGTATAATACTGAATACTCGGCAGCTGCAAATGATGTTTTACAATCTGAAGTGAAAGTAAGACAAATGTAACAGCAAAATAATCCAATAGAGAGTTTAAATGTGGTCTGGTGATCAAAGTCAACTGAGACTGCTACTAAACAGGACAAGAGGTAATGAATCCTTTATAAGGATCAAACATAAACACTGTAAACCCTTCTCTGGACCTGCTGACACACACACACACCCACACCCACACCCCCACACACCCACACCCACACACACACACACTGACCCAGTTGGTTCTGCAGGTCACTGATTTGGTAGTGTTCGACATATTTGTTCTGGCTGAAGAAGTTCCTGAAGACGTGTCGCCCTCCAAACAGCCACACATCTGAGTCGTCTGTGATGGTCCCGTGTGTCTGATCAGCGCGGTCGAGTGCTGCACACTGAGCCTCAGCCTCCATCGGCGCCACCAGGAACGGCACGCCAAACAGCCGCAGCAGCTCCTGGAATCAAAGAGGATAACAGTCGCAAAAAGACAGACAGAATATCTGCACGCAACAGGGTTATCCTATTATCATGTCATGATGTTTGATTTCTGAATGACATTATTTGCCAGGATTTTAAATTATAACTAGAACCCTTTTATCTTGACAGGCATCCGGCATGTTTCTGTAGTCGTTTGAGAAATACTGTCACACTTAGCAGCATTATCAAAACAGTCAAGGGGGATGAATAAAGATCGGGCAGTTTAGAGGTTAAGTAACAGCAGTAAGTGCTGATTTTATAAAGAAAAAAACGCTCACAGACTCACATTTAAGTCTGTGAATGAGTTGATACCGACTGCATGGCTTTGGAAATGTTTGGCAGAGGCACCACAAAGAAATGTATCCCCCAGTCGGTATTACACCTTCTCTGGGTTGTCATACCTCAGTCTAGTGACAGTGTGTATTTACAATTTTATTTGATACCTACAATAATAAGTCAACTACAAAGGTGACAAATTAAAGGAAAAACCCTTTGAGTAAAGTGTGGGGCGACAAAATTCCCCCAGAACAGTTTCAATGGGACTTGGCATCGATTCTACAAGTCTTTGAAACGCTACTGGAGGGATGAACATCATTCTTCCAAAAGAAATACCTTCATTTGGTGTTTCGATGATTGTGGTGGATAGGGCTGTGCGATATGACGACATTTGTCGTACGTATGGCGATAGAAAAACATGTATCCTATCTATCGTATTATGCTCTATTGTTTATTTCATTGTGACGCAAATAACATTTTTGACTCTCTTTTTTGTCATATGGATGATGGTTTACATTCATCCATGTGGCGCTGATTCAGGCAGGAAATTTTGCATTAAGGCAACACAAACAAAAATGAGAGTGAACGTGACACAGGACGGGGGAATTCTGACAGCCAAGACAAAACAAGGAGCTCGAACCAAAAACAAGGGGCTACTTGTGTTGCATGGATGTGGTTTTGTATAAAAGGTCTGACCAGGAAAGAGTAGATTGCAATTTATGCTGCTGGTCATAGTAAACATAACATAAAAGACTCAAAATGCAATAAAAAAAATAGGCCTTTCTATCTCATCTATACATGCCACCGAGCATGATTGGTAATGCTTATTTGTACTATGCAGTGTAACTGTGTGGAAGCATCCGCACTTATTGAGGTTTTTCCTTTAATTTATTACCAGTCTGGATAGGTTTATCAGTGGTTTATATGTATCTGAATGTGTTGCTGTGATTTCAGCATGTCCTTCATTCACCTGGCTCTCTAGGTACATCTGTCCAGTGACTGTGTTCGCCATCCTCTCCTGCTGCTGTTTCAGCTCCTTCAGGTTGCTCTGCTCCACTTGCAGAGAGCTCTCCAGAGCCTCCAGCTCATCCTGCAGCACAACACACACACACACACACACACACACACACACACACACACACACACACACACACACACACACACTGCATCAGCCCTGTCTCATACACATTAAACTGCTCAGCCTAAAACACAGCTGACCAGTTCAAACATGTCATTGCTATCCACAACACTTACCACATCAAAGTGTTCCCATTCATTGGCGGCTGGAGTTGAACTGGATTCGGTCTCCGTTCCCTCCTTCAGCTCTTTTTCTTCAGTCTTTTTGTCCTCTTCTTCTTCTAAGTTCAAAGCAGCAGCCGGGGCACTGGGAGCCACTGGAAAACTCGCCTTTTCTTCCATCATGGTCCCATCTTCATGGACCTCATCTGGAGATCCTCCCTCTCTAATCATTACAAGTGAATCATCTGCATCCTCCTCTTTGAATTCTTCTTCTGACACCTCGATGAAGCTCTCTGGGAAAACACAAAAGAAAGTTAGTATCTACTGATTTCAGAAACTACGAATGAGTGTGATGTTTACCGACTATTACTGTACCTTCTGACTCACTCCCCTCACTGCGCTCTGACTTCATATCATCTCCATTCTTCTCCTCGAGAGCTTTAATGGACTTGTTACTCCTCTGCTCTATCAACACAGGATGAATGTCAGTCTCTGCACTGACAGATTTCCCACATATCTGAGCAGAGACATTGATGTTTGGACTAGAAGCAACCTGTGATTCTCTTCTCTCCACCTCTTCTTGTTTCTCTGTCTGTCTTCTGCTTCCCGTCTCCTCCTCTGGCTTTGTCTCTCTTTCGTGAGGTTTCTGCAGCGCTGCAACCCGAAGGGCCTTATTTCTCTGACCAATCACATCATCCATCTCATCTTCAGAACTACTAACAAGCAAACCATCTTTTACGTGTAAACTTTGGCCTGTTGGGCTCCCCTTAAAATCAATAGGTAAGGAGATCACAACATCAGGTTCTGTCTCTTCCTCTGAGCTGCTGATGACCACTTGTGGTGGCGCAGGAGGCTTAATATGCGCTTGCAGTTTGGTGGGCAATCTGCTGATTGGAGCCCCATGTTCAGCCGCAGCACCCTCCTCCTCAGTGAGAGCTTGCTGAATTGCCATCAGGGTACGTGGAGACACACTACCATCCTTGTTATCCTGGACCGCCTTCTCCTCGTCCGAGCTGTCGTTCATGGCAGCCTGGATTGCCTCGAGCGTACGAGGCGAGGGTGGTGACGTGTCTCCCTGAGTCGGTTTTGAGACGGAGGGTTTGGAGTCTTCAGAAGAGGGACCTGGCACTTTCTCCTCTTCCTCACAGACAGGACGCCACAGGGGCTCAGGCCGGCCCGCTGCTCGTCTTTGGCTGCCTGACAAAAAGCCCCCAGACCAGGGTGCAGCTGCAGGTCGCCTCTCGGGGGCAGCCTCACCCTTTTTGGAGCCTATGTCAGGAGAAGTGGAGTCAGTCTCTTTTACCAATGAAAAACACCTTTCCACAAATCATGAAACTTTTACCTATGACTACACCAACTGTGAACTTTTGGACATAGCTGCACTGACCTTTAATAAGGATATAGTGGGAACAGTCTTCTGAAACCAGTCGGTGTGACTCTACACTGTGACTCTGCTCTTCCCCATCCTGTTCATAGAGCTGCGGAGCGCTGCCTGCGCTCTGCTGGCTCATCTCTTTCTCCACACCCTTCAGCCGCTGGTTCAGGTGGTTCCTCTGCAGCAGGCCGGCCAGCTGGTACTGGGAAAAGTCTCCTGAGCACTAAGAAGGAGTGAAGAAGAGTCTGTGTTGAAGAGGAAGCGAGGGGCGAGTGTGTGAGTGTGAATAAGAGCAAAACAGTACCTCTGGAGGTTTGTGGTACATGGTCCGACGTCTCTTGGCAAACTCTTTCATGTCTTTGAGTATCTCGTGTTTCATTTCAGGAGGCAAGCTCGCAAACTCCTCTGAGTTGATGTCCACTGAGTTGGGGTCTTCATACTGTTCTCCCTGAGACACAGTGAGCAATCTGGCTTCAAATGTCAATCATCAAACAGGGAATCCGTACAAAGAAAGTCTGGGCAATAAAACAAACACAAAAACATAGCAACCATTTTTGTTGTTGTTTTGTGCATGTCATCATTTTACCTGATACATGTGATAACTGTCAACCGTCTCCTCCCGCTCCGTCTCTTCCTCCTCTTCCGAACTGCAAAAATGAAAACAATGACAATGGCACCAGTATTATAGGTGAAATAACCACATAAAACCATGCATACAGTTAATGTTAACCTGTCGCTGATTAAAGAAAATGAATGAGTTCTGTCAGAAGCCCCCGACTCTCCGAACACATATGAGGAGCTTTTCTATCCTGACCTGCTTTTGTCCTTCTCCTCTGGAGCTGGCAGGGCTGGTAGAACGTACATGTCGTCCACCTCATCTCTCCTCACACTGGAGAGGCTGGGCAGAGGATCCTTACTGTGGAGGGATAGTTCAGACAGAAGAGGGAGACAGATGGGAAAACACAGGAGAAAGCTACTGTTGGGCTGTTATGTGGCTGCAGAGACCGTTTGTGTTTTTAATCGAGTGCTGCTTTTTGAGTGTTTTATTGTCGTGTGGTTGGGTGATTTTACACAAACATACAATTTGTCTGAAACGTGCTATACAATCAAAGTCTGATTTGAAAGTCTGTGTTGTGTTTTCTTTGGCGTCCTTCCTCCTGTACACGTCCTTTACCTGCGGTCTCCAAGTGCAGCTTTGATAGCTTGCCTCTTCAGGAACGTCTTGAGGAGTTTCTCATTAGTCTGTTTGGACTCCCGGCTCAACTCCTCTTTCCTCTGCCTCCTCAGAGCCTGCGGGAGAGCCACAGCCACGTTTAAACAACAGAACAGGCAGGAATCTCACAGGCTGGTTATGTAGATCAGGAAGCACTGGACGTACCAGGGTCTGTTTCTTCAGCAGTGGTGCGTCCCCATCAAACACAAAGACTGGCCTGATGCGGAAGAAGAGCAGCTTGCAGATGCGGTGGAAGAGAGTGAGGAGGTGGGCGTTCTGGACACTGTTGCCTTCACGGTCCCTCACCCCCTTCACTGCCTGGTTCAGCCATATACTGATGTCTGGGGGGGGTAAAGTTCATGGCTTAATGGCTTAACAGAGGACACATCAAAACATCAGACAGAGAGATGAAGGAGAGATGATGAGACCCTACTTAATGAGACAGAGAGATGAAGGAGAGATGATGAGACCCTACTTAATGAGACAGAGAGATGAGAATATAGATACATTGATCAGCACACAATCAGGATACCGATAGCAAGGATCTTTCCCTCCAGGGTCTCAGGGTTGATGGGTTTGCCTGTACTCTCCAGCAGCCTCCAGAGTCCGTGCACTCCCATGGCTCATCCGCACTATGTCAAAAACCATCAACAAGTTAACTCAAGTTATGGTGCACCATACAAATAACATCTCAGCGGCACTTTTCGACGTTTGCTGTAACATTATTTTTTTGTCCGTGGAGAAATATTGACTGCGCATAAAGGTTCCGAGTCATTCAGGTGGGGGGGTCATACTAAATTGTTACACCGACATATTCAGGTGGAAATGCAGCATTCATTTTCTAATCTTTAACGAGTTTCACATTTAATTGCTGCTCATATGAATTCCGGTAGAATACGGCGACCGATTAGAGATCAGTCAATGAGACGGGACGGACCGATCGGTCAGTAGGTTTTTATTCCCCTAGATTAGCCTGTCAGGCTTTCATCTACAACACTTGCCGCTTCGACAAAATGGGCATGTTATAGTTAATATCATATCAATCGGGATAAAGGTGACAATACCGGGTTGGTGTATTAATCTATGCGCAGCAGCGAACAGTGAACCCCCCTGTGGCTTTAGTTTGAAAAGGTTTCTTGACAGGAAGTTCTGCCTGAGAGGCTAAAATCTGGGCAAAAAGCGACCCTCACCCCCCCAGTATGAGAGGCCAACTGTGTCCGGTGGAGACAAAATAAACAGCTTGTGTCTGCGAAGGCTCGGCTCATTGTTACCGGTATGTTATCTAACCACTTCCACTCTGAATCCCACAGTACATTAGTTTTCTCCGTGTAGCTGACAGCGATAACATTACTGTAACTTTGACTGTTAAAACTTTCCGTCGACGCTGCTTGGCAAACGAGTTAGCTCACCGGCTAACACTAGCTACCGTTATCGTGCAACGTTATCAGTAACCTCAGCTGTGAACCCTGACCTTTGACTAGCGGCCTTCTGTGAGTCGCTGTCATAAACACTGAGTGCTACAGATGTTAACAACATAGTACTGTACCCATTGTCAATAGTCACAGGACGAAGAGTCACCTGAGTTTCACCTAAACCACCGACTTCCTTCTCGACGAGCACCACCTCCACCATGACTGCTGCTGTCAGAGGTAATGTATTGTTTCATTAAATTCACAAACACTTTTTTTTTTACTTGTCCTACAGGCTCAGCAAGTTCCAACAAAGTCGAGAAAAGAGTCTGCTTTGTCTGAATGGTTTTATTTAAGACATACAGTACCGATAGCACTCTAACTATATGTTATGTCTTCCTTTACTTTTTATTAATAGACAACTTTCATATAATTTGTCTTAGGTTAGCGTTGATTATTTTAGTATTTGTGCCAATTCAGTACCCGAGTTTCTGTGATAATAACCAAGCCATAGTTTGGTCCACACCTTACATGCTTAATGTTTTCTTAACACAAACAGCTGTACAAGCAGTTGCCTGGATACAATACAGTGTATACCTGGAAAATGTTTGAGTTAAATCAGGAACTACCTGATAATAAAAAGGGTAATGTTTCTGGATTTGACAACAGACACATTATTTTGGCTTTATTATTTCTTCCAGTTTCTGCCAAAGTGCCTATCCGAGGTGCTGGTGATGGCATGGAAACAGAAAAACCGCCGGCCGTCCTGGAGGTAAACACAGATGCCCTGCCATCAGGGTCGTCTGCAGTTACCCTCTTGAAGGTGGCGAGCCCAAAACACAGCCCGAAGTCTACCCATGCGGCTCCCCATGCTGCCCCCCATGCTGCCCCCCAGCCTCTCGGGGTGCTCCACCTGGGCAAGGTGAGTCGAGAGGCCTGCACAGAGGTGGAGGCTGTGAGGATTCTTGTCCCACGTTCAGCTATTAGCCGGAGCAGCCGCGTGGGACCTGTTGAGGGGAAAGGGGAGGCCGGGCAACATGGTGAGGAGCAGGGCTCTCCCCCGCTGCCTCTGGTGGAGGACTGGAGAGGACAGATGGAGAAGCTGCAGAACTCTGAACGCAGGCTGCTGCAGGACAAGGAAGGCCTCTCCAATCAGCTCCGTGTGCAGACAGAGGTAAGGCCTCAAGGAAGTAGATACATTTTATTTAGAGATTTGACATACTAGGCTCTGCACAGTTAGGTTTATTCCTCATTTCAGTTTCAAGTCTTAATAGCTAATATAATGTAATCATGCTCCTTATTGTCCCTTTGAGTCGACTAATATTTATTTATAATATTTTCAGTCATTGAGTGTTGAGTTTTTAAGTAACTTTCATTCATTCCTTGTGCCAGGTGAACCGTGAACTAAAGAAACTGCTGGTGGCGTCGGTGGGGGATGACCTTGAGTACCACTTTGAGCGTATGTCGCGGGAGAAGAACCAGCTGATTCTGGAGAATGAGGCACTAGGCCGGAGTCTGGCACACACCGCGGAGCAGCTGGAGCGAATGAGTATCCAGTGTGATGTTTGGAGGAGCAAGTTTCTGGCCAGCAGGTATGAAATACACAATTCAATTGTGTGACAAAAAAAAATGGTTGGAAATGACAAGGAAAGGTTGAGGAAAGAGAGAGGTTTTATTTTGGGGCACCACCAGCTTGATCTTTTAAGAATTTCAGTGTAGTTTTTTTATTTACAAGGATCAGTAAGAGATGATATAATAACTAGGGGTGTAAGAAAATATCAAAACATATTGTATGGGGATATTTTGTTTTTGCTAGACATCAGTGTTGTAAACATAAACATATTTAATTTGATTCTTAGCAATGCACGGCCCTAGTAATTACTGCAATCACAGTGATTAACACTTGCATCAATGTTGTCTCCTCAGAGTCATGGCAGAGGAGCTGACGAATGCCAGAGCAGCTTTGCAGAGGCAGACCAGAGAAGCACAAGGAGCCATTCAGGATCTGCTGTTGGAGAGAGAGGAGTTCTCCAGGGACATGGTGCTCACTCACAGGTAACATAACCACTCATTTGTAAGGACTATGGTACATTGCAATGGGTCACAACTTGAAAATCCTGAAAATGCGACAAAGGAAGGACACTCAAACGGTTAATTCAATGTGCCGGGACAGCCTGCAGGCTAACGTCGCCCATTTCTAACCTTTGATCCTACCACCAGATAAATAATAGTCAGAGGTCCACTTATGGAATATCCTTATATTGATATTTTTTAAGAAAGTAAATATTCTACTCCATGTTCACTGTCCATTGCATTTGTTAAAAAGAAGGCAACTGTAATGTGTGTAAAATGCATAGAAGACATATCTCTACTAGTTGTATACAGGCCCATATAATATTTCATTAATTAATTTAAACTTACTTGACCAACACTTTATTGTCCCTTTGGTGTCTTTATCACTTAGTTTCTTATGGCTTGTTGAGCTTGATAAAGGGAACATTTATGCTATGAGTAATTTCTGTTCTGTTAGTTCGTTATTATTTGACAGTACATGGATATAGTGTTTTTCACTTCAACAAAAGGTATTGGCCCTTCAAGTGCAGTATTTTGTTAGCATAGTTGATGAGTCTATGTGCTGACTTTGCTTGCTTTTCTGTCGTCAGATCTCTGGAGCAGCTCCTGGTGTCTCTGCAGTGGGGCAGACAGCAGACGTACTACCCCAGTGCACAGCCCCTCAGCACCGGAGAGCTTGCAGCCGCCAATCACAAGCTAGCAGACGCCATCAACTCCCACTTGCTGGGAAACACCAGCAGCAGCGGCGGCATGGTGAAGAGCAGCAGTGCAACGGCTGAGCACCTCTGCAGCACACCTGCCGAGAAGATGGCTGAGAAGGTACGAAGTCTATCTGGTTTCAAATCTGAACTTTTTCTAATATTTGTCATAACATCCAGATGTTTACAAAGAGGTTCTCTGTTTTCTATCTTAGGTGCTGAAGATTTTAGATCCAATTTCCTGTTCAGAAAACAAGGTAGATCCTCCACTCAATGACTCACCCTCTTCAAACTTCCTCAGCAATAAGAAGAGCATTGGAAGGTTTCACCCATACACACGCTATGAGAACATTACTTTTAACTGCTGTGAGCGCTGCACTGGAGACATCCTGGTGCTGTAGATATCAAGTAGGGCAAAACGCCCCCCGTCTGACACCAATGCAGCATCAGTTTACTTCAAATGACTCAAGTCTGAACAAGAGTGTACTCTGAAGAATATTGTTGCTCTGTGTTCAGCGACATTTTCTTTTGTTGCGGTCCTGATTTCCACAATTTCAGATAATGGTTTTACATTTTATCAACCTGCTGTTTATTTTGCTGTCTTTAACTTTTGGGGGGGGGGAGCTAAATAAGAAAAGTTGTTTGTTCAGGAATCATGATGTGAAAGTGATGACAACAGTATGCATTTCAGAGCCATTGCAGTCTGGTTTAAACCGTGGAAAGTGTTATTTATTGCTGGAATGTGAGGTCAAGTTGAGTCAGAGTTACATGGTGAAAATACACTGTTAGGCGGTATTCCTATTCAAACTTGAACATTAGGCTAGTGTGTTTTATTTAAAAATAATCCTAAATCCATATGTCAGTGTACAAACAGCCTGTTGTACAAATACCCTCCAGGAAATTAACAAACAACTGATAATAGGGAAATTGCAGAGGCTCACATGTACAATAACAAAAAATAAGTGAGGACACCTCTTATACTGCGGGGGTTTCCCTGTATGATGGTGCTATCGTACTTTATTTATTATTGTTAACATATTTTGTATATTGGCATTATAATATACACAACATTTTTTGGAAGTGGTTTTACGGTACAACGATAGACTGTTAGTGTGCAGCAGTATTGTTCAAAGAAAGCCCTGATGTTACCTGTTTCTCTCACACACAGGTCCCATTATTTAAGTCTGACATTTGAATTTAAAGTTATGTTTGATTTTGTTTTCATTGAATTGTGTCATTTATTTGGCTTTTTTGCTTTATTTAAAAAATATATAAGACTGTTGAAATGACTAGTAATATACTGTGCATGCCTTTTTACAATTTTCTAAAACCAAGCTGTATATTTTGGTTTATTTCATCTGTATGGATAGTTTGCTTTTCGCAGGGTTGGTGACTGTATACTTTACAGTGACCAGCAGATCTTTTGTTTTCTATGTCAGACCAAAATAAAGACCAAAGTAGTTTCTATCTTTTTAAAATGTCTTGTTCTTGTCTTGTGTATAACCCTGCATTGGAACTCAGAAAGTAAGCACCAGTGACTACCTATTAACATTTTATTCACCACTTGTCTCACCTTTTGACATTTCCACAAACAGTGCTTATAAACATGCACTTATTAACCACAAATTTTTACAATTTTTGTTGACTTCACTTATCATCCCTCCATGTCTACCTTCTGTGTGGGCCTTTTCTTCCCTCCATGATGTTCTTAAATGATACTCTGGCTGCAGCTGGTTTGTTTTCTCTGTCACTGGGCAGTCTAGCCATTATGTCTCTCCCAGTGAACCCAGGCTGTTTTGGGGACCTGGGAAAACTTTGGCCCTCATTTTTAAATGTATGTTCACCAGATGATATCGACCACCTGCCACCATCCTCTCTTGGTCTATAATTTGTGACTCTCCTGGGTTTGGTAATCTCTTTTTGTGCCTGTTGGTGGTGGAATCCATCATGCTTTCTCGTAGGCACAAACTTGAACGCCTCTTCCCATTTCCCAGTCTCCTTGATAGTGAGCAATATGCGCATCATCTGGTCCAGAGTCAGATTTTTGGCTCCCGTCTCCCAGCGGAGGAACTGATCCAGTGGCAAACGGGCTGTGGCCAGCTTCAGACGCTTGGCGTTGGCCAACGTCAACCCTCGCTGAATGGACCGGTCCACCAGACCCCCGATGATGTAGACTTTGGAGTGGTCAAATTTGTGGAGAATATTGGGGGAATCTGCTGTGAGGTACACGAGCTGTTCACGGGGGAAAAGGTCGACATGCTGGCGATCAGTGGCGGTGATGAACAGGCGCTCCCAGGTCTCTGCACCGTACCGTTTGAGCAGCTCCTTCTGGAAAGTCTCGTCTGGCTGCAGGTTGCAGAAGTGGAGGTGGAAGGGCTCAGTGGCACGCCGGTTCCATCCTTCTACCTCCATCAGCTGGTCCGTTGTGTTCTCTATCTCCCGCTTGCTCATGTTGGACTCAAAGCTCATGTCAAAAACCAGCGGCTGACCAAACAGCATTGCCTGGGCGCTGCTCCAGGCCAGCAGCTTGTCCAGGGAGCGATGCCAGTACCTGAGGAGGAATGTGTTTTTCATCATTGGTCGTCTCTGATCATCCCCTTCCTCTGCATCGCTGTGCCTTCCGGTACTCGCCTCTAATGAGGCTGTCCTTGCTTCCCTCATCCGTTGCCGCTTCTCCTTATTTGCAGTTTTGTGGCGCTCCTTGATGCACAGGTGCTTCAGGTAATTCTTCTTGGAGGACTTGCTGGTGAGCTCTGCCAGTGTCTGAATCTGTTCATCAGTCATCTCTTGAGGTACAAGCTTCCCAGCTTGGCGCCACATCGCAACCATATCCCGAGTTGCCGCCAGAGGAGAACCGTCTTTTAACTCGCTTCCTGGTTCTTTGCAGTTATCATCATCACTTGCTTCTTCTTCATCATCTTCTTCTTCATTGACTTCTCTCTGTCCTGATGCTGCTGCTTGGGATTTCATTACGGATTTCCATTTCTCCAGATCTATTGTCTGTATTTCCTCTGATTCGTCTTTTTGTGGCTCCAAGGCATCTGTCCACACTGGTGTCCCGGTACTGAAGTGGCCAGCAGGGACGTCTAGTCGGTGATGACAAGTGCTGCTGACTGTTAGAAAGCTTGAGGCCTTTCTCTGGGTGACACAAGATGCCACAAGAGAACTGCATTTCCAAAGTTCATAAAAACCCTTGCCAGTGAAGAGGCGTAACATCGCGATAAACTCCTTTTTAAACTGAAGCTGTGTCAAAAGTACAACAAGCAGATACGGTGGATTGTCACGTCGTCTTGAAGAACATCAACAGAGGAACAGGTGTTGTCAGTGCGGTTCGTTCCGTCTCCCACTCTCATGAAATGAGGTTTTAATATGTTACAAGTAACATCTGCATCTTGTTAAATATCCGAAACGGTGTCTTACTTATCGCTGCATTGTTTTCAAGTTGTGTTCACTTGTCGCGGCGACCATGCTCGTCAAATAGCAAAGGGGGGAAGGTCACGTTGTTACACGGTGTCACACTATAATGTGTCGTAGTGGAACCTCACCACTTGGCATGACACAGCTTATCTGTTGCCCAGTGTCTTTCCAGCTGAGCGCATCAAAACAATTCAACTCACGAAATTGTATTTCTGCTCCACGACGTGTCGATAAAACTATAAATTGTAGGAGTTAACGTAGTTTTACGCTTACGTTAATTCCACAGTCGTAGTTTCCAGCCGGAGTTTTTTTCCCCCAGCGTCGCACAGCAAAAATGACGTAACATCCTCTTTCTAGCAAAACAGGGGAAGCTAATTTGTTAGCCTCGAAAATGAGTTTGTTTTTGCCAAAGTTAATGTGCAAAAAAGACATCGATGAAGTTATCAAAGGCGTAGCAGAAAAAGTGGTAGTTCTGCGGTTTGGGAGAGACGAAGACTCGGTTTGTCTCCAGCTGGATGAGATTGTAAGCAGGACAGTTAAAGCTAATACTAAAATAATGCTGCTCAACGTTTGTGTGTCACGACTATTAAGCTTTTTGCTAATTGGTCTTTTCTAGCTGTCGAAAACTGCACATGACTTGAGTAACATGGCGTCCATCTACATCGTTGATGTGGATAAAGCTCCCATCTACACCAGATACTTTGACATCAGTTACATCCCCTCCACCGTTTTCTTTTTCAATGGACAGCACATGAAAGTGGATTATGGGTGAGTGAAGGTATTATGTACAATTCTGCATGTTACAATTATTCAAAATAGTGAATCTGTTTAGTATTTTCTCGCTTTACTAATACACTGGTCTTGAGTTATAAACTAAAAATGACACATTTCCTAGAACCCAAATAGACATCTTTGAATTGTTTGCTTGGTCTAACCAACAGTCCTTACCCCAGAGCTTTGTAGAAAAGCAGCCAGGTTTGTATATTTCCTTTAAAATAATGTTTGAATAATTTCTACTTCAACTAGACGACCCCCACTGTTGTCACAGAACAGGCAGGATGCATATCAACACATACACAAATTTTAACTTGCCACCAGTGTACACATTGCAACAACAAACAATAAGATTGACTTTATTTGGTTGATAATTGCTTTACTTTTTTTTATCTTTCAGCTCCCCAGATCACACCAAGTTTGTCGGCAGCTTCAAGACCAAGCAAGATTTCATGGATCTGATTGAGGTCATATACAGAGGAGCCATGCGCGGGAAGATGATTGTCCAGAGTCCCATAGATCCTCAAAATATTCCCAAATATGATCTCCTCTACCATGGAATTTAGATTCAACACAGGCATCTGAAGAAGTTTTTTCTGATTTTATTTATTTCTTGTGAAAAGGCAGTGTTATCTTGATGTTTCCCATGGAAAAGAGCTGCATATAAGCAGAGAGATACAATTAATGTATGCAATGTACTTTCTCTGTTTTTATAATAAACTTGTACCTTTTATCTTGCATAGAAATATGTATTCATTTTTATTAGTTAATTGGGAGTTTGGATGTAAACTGACACTTTCTGTATGTACAGAGTAGCAAGGAAACACTCTGAGGAACCACAAAGAGGGAATTTCAGCTTTGGAAGATACCCACAGGACAGGAGAAACAATGACAGCAGCCAATAGCCCTTTCAATGTGGATATGGTCATGCTTGTACTGTTTTCAAATAGACTTCTACATCCTTTTAATGGGAATTTTATTACAAAATAAAATGCCATGATCTACTTGTCAATGAAGCTGTGATGCAACATGAATATGGGGTCATAGTGCCATTGAAATATCTGTGGACCAGGTTGTGCATCAGTGGAGACAGATCACTGCACTCCCATAAAGCACTAGAAAGATGGAGCAAACTCACCAGCTTGTTACTGGCAGCTTCCTTTTAAAGGGTAAATGTTGTAAGACTCTTTTTTTTTTTTTTATACTTACATTTATGCTGCAATACTTGGTATGTAGGCAGTTCTGTGAAATGTCCAGTCAGCTGTACAATTTCACTGTTCTGTCTCTTACACAAAGCTGTGCGTCACTGGACCAGCCAAAGAGGTTCATCACACTCTTTCTATCTAACTGTATTTTCAGTATTTGTGGTTAATTTTAAAATAGAATTCAAAGTAAATGGCACTGCTGGTGTTGTGTCATCTGCATCAACATAACGGTTTGGTCAATGTTCAGTGTGTGTGTGTGTAGGTGTGTGTGTGTAGGTGTTTGTGATAAGAAAGATAAGATGAGAAGAAAGTCTCATGTGCTTTTATTTTATTTGCAATAGGGCTATTGTTGTCTGGCTATCTGACATCTGCAAATTAGGTTTATAGTGTTTAGCCTCTATGGTTATAACTAATCTAATTTCTATGTACAGAAAGCTTTTTTAGAAATACCAGTGAAAGAACCCCTCTATGGAAGGTAGTCTAACATGGCTAACAAGTGATTGCTGACTGTTGTATTGAATATGGACAGAAAAGAAAAATGTTTAATCTTGGAAAGAGTAATAAAGGAGTCCTTTATGGTTATTATACCTTTGCACTCTAATCAAACCAATCTGTCCGTTTATAATATAAAAAATATAAATTAATTAATAATATAAACCCCCGTCTGTCTCATACACATATTTAAATTGTAGTCCTGCACACCACATATATTAAATATTAATATACAAAGAGACTCCTGTGCCATGTGCCTTTGTAGAGTTAACGCTTTTATTTTGAAAAATACATGCACAGGAAGTGTCTCTTCTCCTGGCGGAAGAAAGCTACACAGCAATGGCAGCGACCTTGTAGAGCGTGGTGTCCACAGCAGTTTCGTTAGTTAACCCCTTAAAATGCTCCTACGTCGACCACACAAAGTTACAGTCTGGTGTATATAGGGTCCGTTTCAAGGTTGACACCATGATCTCCCTCGTCAAGGCTGCTGTCGGCGGACTGACCGGCATCTGCAGAGCCCACGGTCACCAAGGTAACAGAAGTTAACGTTATAGTGACATTTGCTTTGGCGATAGGTCACAAAAACTAGCTTCTTTCGGCAGAGTACTTATTGCGTGTGGGGTGTGTAATGTTGTATTTATTCATTTTGTTTGGTTAACAGGGACTGTGCACATTAATAAGCGTTGCTGTGAGTGTCAGACATAGTCAACATCACATTTCATCCCATATTTCATGACATGCAGGACTGCATTGTGCTACTAACATGCACCATAGAAGCAAATAATACACAGCGCAAGCAACACATATAAAATCAAATAATCACCGGCGCCAATAATGGTAAGGTCATAAGAACAACAAGTAATAAATATGGCTTAAATTTGCTGTCCCATTAACATGAAAAATTCACTCAATTAAGACTAAATCAAGTCAAGAGTTTTTGTTTGCATTACCACTGTACATGCAAATGTGTCTTGTAGGGTTCTGAGTTGCAGAAAATAACAATAATAATAAACTGAGCAGGGCTTTATTGGCAGTAACATATGACGGTTCTGTATTAGGCTGAATTTTGCCAAACATCATGCCAAGAAGTGTCTGTTTGTTCCACAGGTCCTTTGCACAGCCACCTGAAAGTCCTAGCTGCTGGGCTGAAGACAGTTAATATCCCTCCTGACTACAGTGGTAATTTATATTCACCTTGTTATTTGTTATGATATCTTACCAATTTCTAAAATGTTTGTTTATATATTATTTCATTTAACACACAACATTTTTATATGCATATATGTTTATAGCATTTGTAGCACAGGGGAAGACAAGGGGGGGAACCGCACTATAGAAAGTTCAGAAGGCGATAATCTTTGTTCAAGTACACGTTTGCCTGATGTTGTATGTTAATGTTGTTCATGATTCCTCAATCTTCTTTTTACCTCCTGAAGATGTGATATTGCCAGATAAACCCAAACTGAAGTTTGTGAACAAGGTGCCTGACTTAAAAAAGGCAAGGAAAGAGATGAAGAAACTGCGTGATATCCGAGGCCCAGCCACAGACGGAAATGCTTTCAGTAATGGGCAGTACGCTATTGTGGTGAGTGTATTAATTGAATGCTGACAAACAATTCCTGTCTCAATTTTTGCAGTGACGTTTTCTCTTTTATACCGTTCATACTTTCCGAAATATTCCAGTTTTTCCAGACGTTTTTTCCCTATTCATTCCATATCTTTCAGATATTTGTGCTATTATTCAACCTTCAAATCTACTCGTCTTCAGGCTCTTCCCACAAATTCATACATTCACATAGAAACTCCATTCAGACTTGAAAACGTTCACGACAGATAAGACTTTTTCATATTAATTGAGCTTCCAAGCGGCAGGAGCACCAACCAACTGCTGCATTAACGTCCATATTAAGTGTCAGAAGAAATTTCAGGATTTATCTGGTTCTCTATAAATACTTCTGTTACAACTGTTTGAAATTTAAGTCTATGAAGATAATATCTCCTGCAGCATTTTATAACTTGTTTTTAATATTAAAACCGTATGTATCTGTATACTGGTAGACTCGTAATGCCAACTTTAACATAAAAATTGTATCTTTTCCACCTAGCTTTCGCCCTCACACCATATATACGTATGCCAAGCAAAGAATACAAATGGTTACGTCATTTAAAAGTGAATTCCCTTCTTTCTCTGTCTCTCTGTGTAATGCTCAGGCCATGGGAGGGGGATACCTTCATTGGGGTCACATAGAAATGATTCGTCTGACCATCAACCGCAAGATGGACCCCCAGACTACATTTGCCCACTGGCGCGTTCGTAGCCCATATAAGCCTGTCACACGTAAAGGTCTGGGTCAACGTATGGGTGGGGGCAAAGGAGCCATCGACCACTATGTGACACCTGTCCGCTACGGTCGTCTAATCGTGGAGCTGGGAGGAAAGGTGGAGCTGGGGGAGGTTGAGCATATCTTGATTGAAGTGGCAAAGAAGCTACCCTTCCCTGCCAAGGTGAGAAAACAGATACTATGTATATAAACGTGGGCCAGGGATAGAGCCCTGTGGAATTCCAGTGTACTTTATAAGAAAGATGACATCTCTCTATCTCGCTATACTCTTGGCAGAATGTCTGCAACTTAGTGCAATGAATAGTTTGAACGTACAAAAACATGTTCCAATGGTGTAACTGTAATAAATATATGCTACACTTTGAATTTTGCCTTTGTTAACTACCTAATAACTGTTAACCCCTAATCAATTATAACAATTTCTCTGCACAAAGTACCTTTAAAACTGGCTCATTTATCCCTACACAAAACATTAGTTGCAATTAACAAAAATGAAAATATAGCTAAACATTTTAACATTTATTCTTGTTGGAATTCAAATTCAGTGTTATTGATTTAAGTTACTGCACTTACTCATATCTATGTGTTACGTTATTCCTTTTTATTTATTTATTTCAGGTAATGAGCAGAGAAGGCCTTGCAGCCCTGCACAAGGAGCAGGCTGATATGGAGCAGAACAACCAGAATCCCTGGACCTTCAAGCAAATAGCGCATGGCAACATGCTGGGTATCAGGAAGGTGCTCAGCCCCCATGACCTTCACAACCATGGACGCTTTGCAGGCAAATTTCACCTACCAGGGAGGGTGTGACAGGCCTGAGGGACAGAAATCAGTAGTGTCATACTGTGACACCATCCAGACCACGCCATTGAGGAAGCAACTTTTAGTCATATTTGGGAATCTTGTTTTGTTTTTTTATGCAAATATATTGACATTTTGTTAAAGATATTAAGATAGTTTCCATTTTCTGCTTAAAAACCTAATAAACAATATTTCAGTTTGACATGCATCTGAAGTTCTTTATGTTTTATTAGTTGTAAAAAGATGTAAAAGAAGTGAAAACAAATCTTTACAGATTTGATATTTACAGAAGCAGAATAATTTGGTTTCCCTTTTTTTTCCATTGTGTGTGTATATATACATATATGTGTGTGTGTGTGTGTGTGTGTATAAATAAGACAAATATAACAAAGATGGCACGACTGTGAATATATTGGGATTAGTGATGTTGTTGCTCATACAGCGACTTTTGCTCGGATTAGGATGCACCAATACCTGTTCTCTCATTTGTTCCAACAAAGACACAAAAGCTTTAAAATGATGTCGTAAATATCAGCATTTTCTTTATTAATGTGGACATTTTGAATAGTACCCTAATGCCTGTAAAATTACATTTCCCTTTGGCTTTTGACTGCACCTCTACACGAAGTGCAACAAAACCTATTTTCTTTAAAATGATACATTTTACGAAGCAATGTAATATGAATAGAGAAACCCCATTATAATGCTTCATGTTTCCCGACAGACTGATAAAACATTCCTATATCAGATGTGTTTAAAAACATGGCATTCCTATTCCCTAAAATGGCTTCAATGTACTAGGTGGACAGTGCTGCCCTGCGTACAACCTCACAGGTAAAGTTTTCGTCCTGCTGTTGTGAACAGTCTGCAACTTGTTCTGCATTAGAGGAAAGGCAGTTGTGTTGGTCGATACGTTAATGAATTACCACATTTAATTTGAGTTATGAACGTGCAGGCTCCCCCTTTCTGGTGTTTGGTCCTGGTGATAAAGCATGAGCGCGAAAGCAGCCTGCCAAGCTGAACTCCGGGTATAACGTCACGATGTAGGTTCAGAGCATGCGCATTGAGCGTTGAACAGTTTTGAAAACAACACCGCGAAAAGTAGCTCTGCTGCTAACAACAACAACTTTACGACATTTGTGTCTTAACGCCATATAAAATGTTTTAGGTCTTACTTTAAACTCAAAGAAACTTCCTGTTCATTGTTGCTTCTACTAGAGTTAGCTTGGCCTGACAATAATACATTGCGTTACATTAATATTTGCTAAATTTGCTTTTATAACGTTAGCTGTTAATTATTTACGTTAGCTAGCAGACATGAAGCCCGTACGTGGTTCTGACCGGGCCGCAACTAAAGCACCTAACTTGAAAAACAAGAAAAAATCAGAGCAGGCGACGAAACAACAAGCAACTGAGCACCAGGTAACGTTTCGTGCTAAAGTAACACTACAGCTGATGTTGTCTGCGTTGTTCTGCCTTCACAGCTGATCATGTTTTACTAGGATCCGGAGCCCAGTGACAGTAACCATGACAAGAGCACTCACCCAAAACCAGCACCGAAGAGGAAAGGTTAGTATGCAGGGATAATGAAGCAGCATACTGTAAGTTGTGCACCACACAGCTAATTCACCAGCTGCACCGATGTCACTTTCTGATGTCTCCTGTTTGTGTTTCTGAGAAGCTGAAGGCTCATCTTCAGTCCCTGACAAAGTCAAAGGTCAGAAAAACTGGAAGCCGATGCCGGTGTCCTCCATCACTGCTCTGGAGAACATGATGGACTTGTCAATACTGTGAGTTTCACTGTTGCACTCAGTGGCCACTTTATTAGGTACATCTGTTATAGCCAATGTAATCCAATACAACAGCTCAGCTATAAGTTCTACCTTTACAAAGATATCAGATTGACGCTGGCAGAGAAGTATTAATTTAACTACTGAGGTTGCTGTTTGCAGTGGTGTTGAACTAATAATAATAATAATAATAAATTTTATTTATAAGCGCTTTTCTAAATACTCAAAGACACTTTACATAAAAACATAAAAGCAGCAAAACAACATAAAATAGTAAAACATTAAAAACACATCAGACTAAGCTAAACATTAAAAGCAATTTTAAAAAGTCAGTGATTTGAATGTTGGAGGGTCGGTACAGTCACGGATGTGTTTGGGGAGAAAGTTCCAGAGGGAGGGGGCAGCTACAGAGAACGCTCTGTCGCCCCAGGTTCGGTGCTTGGTCCGGGGTGGAGGAGAAGGTTTGCTTCAGATGAGCGGAGGCTGCGGGATGGATTGTGGCGATGGAGCAGACTTGACTGCATATTGTTGAGAGAGATTTTTTAAAAACTCTTAAATAGTTGTATTAGATGGGTTGGGATATAATTATACCTATTTAAGCCAGCCATCACTTTACCCCTTGACAAAACTGGCAGGCACTTCGATTACTGTCAGTGAATAATAGTCAAAATCAAGCATTTTCTCAACCCTTTTTATGTTTCTTTTTTCACAGAGCAACTCTTGCTTTGAAGCGGACAGAGAAAAAAGAGAGCCAGGAACATCTGAACATAATGAAAGCCAGGTGAGCAATAAGTCAGATGTTCAGATGTAAATAAATGGCATGAATCCGCTCACTGGAACTGGATGTTAACTGTCTGTATTGGTGGAGTTGCATGTGAATTAGGCCTGACAATGCTAGATATTGTTGAGATGGTAGCATGTGCTAATTCACTGTATCTATGCCAATTATCTTAGAAAGCACTAATGTACTATGGGCATGTGACCTACAGCGTGTTAGAGAAACTGAGAAAGCTTTGGCAATTATATATCTGACTCAGGGTTTCCAAGAGCTGTGTGTATCACCACTGATGTAAAGATCAACATTAGCAAAGTTTTTCACTTACAAAAGAACTTTGTCAAAAGGTGACTTGAGAAAAGGCCATTGATGAATCATCATACAACCCTAATTCTCAGTGTGATGATTCAGACGTCATTAATTCAAAGTACAACATTGTCAGGGATCTAGCTTAGTTGCACTTAGTTTTTTATTTTTTATTTTTTTGCTGATATATTTCCCAAACTTTTTCAGCTTCCTTGCTCAATGTGCACAGCTCAAAGTTCCAGTGCAGAAACAAAAAGATTTGCAGCGTTCATCTCACCACCACCAGGAGGAAACCAAGAAGTCTGTGGTTGGAAAGATGACTCTGAACAACCTGCAGGTGACAAATACTGTGTGATGTTTTCAAAATGTAATATGTTGGAATATTTTAACATTGCAGTTAGTCCTGAAACAGTTAGTTGATTCATCAATTCATCTTTTGATATAAAATGAATTAACATTTTTGTTAATTTGTTTGTCATTTGAGTAATTTCTTAGGTTTTTGCTTGAGATTTTCTGCTTTTCTTCTAAACTTTATACCTTTTATACCTGTTAGATGGACAAATAAGCAATTGTATATCAAATGTTGGTCTCTGGGACCTTGCAATGGGCATTTCTCACCATGTTGAGGCATTTTAAAGACTAAAGTATTAATTAATTATGTAAAACATAACTACAGATTAATCAATAATAAAAATAATCATGTAATAACAACAACATGGTAATCCAACCAGTAATTTGCCCAAGGTATCTGTGTAAATCTGTGTATTTAATTATCTGTTATACACATAAGTAAATGCTGTAGTTGTGTTGCATGATGTATTGTTGTGTAATCTGGATTTTCAGGAAGACTTGACGGCTGTGGTCAGCACTCTGGAGAAGACAGAGGAACAAACTGTCTCTTTACAGCATAATTGCATTATGCTGAGAGACCAGGTGGAGGAAGAGGAGGAGAAAGCAAAAGAGGTGCAAAACACTCACAGATGCCAGTATACAGAAACAAAATCTCTCCTGGTGCATTATTTTCACAACGTAGCCATTACTAAAACACTCCGATGCAGATGCTTTATTGTCAAAATGTTTTTACAGGTTTCTAATATTTATTAACTCTGACAAAGGTGTCTTTGAAATTTCCCTACATTAAGTAATGCATTTCAGTACTTTAGACATCACAATTGTGGTGACCTAGAAACAGAAGTGGTTGACTGCATTTCTCCACACAAATATCAGCCTGTTTGACATAAGTAAGTCTGCACGCTTTTTGTTGATTCAGTTAAAGAGCATGATGAAATGCGGCTGAAATGTGGCTGTTATGTAGGGTCTGGCAGAAAGGGATTATTCGTGCGAAAATTGTTTCCAGCAGTAAGTACAGGAAATGTCAGTCATAATATGCTTGATATCAAAGCAGTGATTTGCAGTGTGTTTTTATTTAGTTCATTTATTAGATGATAAGCTAAAGATGATTGAAATTCACACTTGTAGTTTCTTTCTTCCTGTTGGGTAGATCTTACAGATAACTGAACAAGCAGTTCTCAACCTTCCTACACTACCCCTGCAAAAAGATGAAACATTAGAGGTGAGCACAAAACACCCTTTCACAATATAACTTGTATCTGCTTGACTTGTCACTATTGCACAAGAGCTGTTTTCACTATTAAAGGCATTCATATATCACCTTTTTGTGAATAAGATGTGGTCGAAGTGTCTGAGTTGGAACTTCCTCTATAATGTAACAGGAAAGGAAACATTCTGTGTTGCAATTACTTTGCAATATTGCGGAAAAAATATGAAATATTTCTAACGAAAGGCACAGAAAGAACATGACATCTGTGGTTCTGTATTGTCTGGGTTGACCATATCAGTTAGAGAAATAAGATTTGTTTTTGTTTCAGGGAACATTTCACAAAACACTGCCATAATATTGCACATTTACTAGAAACACAGAGACAGTGGTTAATAGTTTTGTTTGCTGCAGGCTCGGATGAGAAAAATTATACCAGACGGTGACTGTGAGACCACGGCCCAGAAGCTGGGAGAAATCCTGCAGGAGTCAGAGGCCGTCCAGAATGCCCAGGTGCTGCTTCAACAGGCACACAAACATGCTGATCAGCTCTTCAAACCTTCAATGGTGCGCCTTGTTCAGACTGGAACTTCACCAAATCTCTGCTGACACAGGTCTGAAAAAGGCCTTATAAAAACAACCATTCTGGGCTACTATAGAAACAGTCTAGAGGCAGACAGGAAACATGGAGGGGGGTTTTGTAGTTTACGTGTTAACCATTAAAGCTTTTTAAGTTTAAGTATTTTACAGCTTTCAATTTTATGTAAAAGTTGTAATTAAAACAACTGTTACACTGCAGTGCATTGTTTTGTTTTTTGGTGGAGAAAGATGGCCAACTTCTCTGGGTTCATTTGAGCCTCAAGACCAGAATACATAAACTTCATTAAAATAAATACTATACCTGCAAATGAAAAATAACTGGTTGTTCATAATTGAAATTCTGCCACGTTGGACCTTGATGTAATTAAATAGATACCATTTAAAGAAAGTGACTTTTATTTGTTTATGTTTCAATGAAGAAAGAAACTAAATGTACAGTGCTAAAATTCAGTACAGTTTAATCACTATTAAACATCTCTTTTAAACAAACAATACTAATGCTATCTTGTGGAACAGCCACAAAGCGATAATAAACCTGAAACACATTTACTTCCTGTTCAGCATATTGTGCTTCAGTACTCTAATAGCCTATACACATGCATACATTCATTCTTTTTTATGCACAAACGTTCCCGGACATGTAGACTACGACCTGTTTTAATCTGGATTGCAACAGAGTGATCAAACTGAGTCACTGTTCATCCTGATAAGGTAGATTCAGTGTCACATTCTTTGTATATAAAATCTTATTGGTGCATTATCATTCAAAAGTTACCCTGGAGCCAGGAAACGGCATTGACATCATATTGTGATCACTTTGGCATGTTTACCATGAAGGTGTTTCCTGCCCACTGACATACAGACAAGATGATTCATGAATTCATTTTTATGCCCAATTATGACCCTGCCTTGAGCGTGCCGCAACAGAAGCAGAGGCATTTTTGAACTCTTCAGTCATCTAGTTTTACTGATCACACTTATGTCCATATATTGTCTTATTATGAGCTGACAGTAGAGAAATCCAGCATGGTTCCCTGTTTGATTAAATTCTTCCTTCAATGTTTGGCCCAGTTTTTACACTTCTGGTCTGCCTGACAAATCACAGTTGAGCTGTCTTTCTCTGACGTGCTGAAATCATGGCTTCTGTCACCATCGATCCAAGCCTATAAATCAAACTTTCATCCCTCATTGGTGGGAATTTCCTGTCAGAAACTGTTATATGTGAAAATTACAGAAATAGTCAAACTATGATTCAACTAACATCAGCTTAAGTTATATCAAATGAGTCAACAAGATTACATCTCTACATATAGGAACTATAATATGACATTCATTTGCTCTGTCTTTCAGACCCATTTAAAAGGTCCCCTTGCCCCTTAAGCGTTTGCTTCCTTTACAGTAACTGTACAGTAACACATTTCACATTTGCAAATATAAAAGATTAAGACATTATTGACCTCCCGATTACATTTGTGAGTTCTTAAGTGAGTTCTTAAGCGACTTCCTTCGTATGGACTCTGAGGAGTCGTCATTGAAAAGTCGTTCAATAGTGGAGACAAGCGAAGCTCTGATAGCACGGCTTAAGCCCCGGGCAGCAAACACATACAGCACAGGGTTAAGAGCACTCTTGATGTACACCAGGAACAGAGATATGTATTTCCCAATATGTGCTCGATTTTTCATGGCCTTATCCGAATGTCTGACGGCCAAGGCCAGCAGGAACCGACAAACAAAATAGGGCACCCAGCAGGTGAGGAAGAGGAGCATGGTGACGAAGAGCACGTGGTACATCCTGTTCATCCTGCGGGCAGTTGAAGGGGCTGAGGGGGAAGTGGGTGTGGGGGGCATTGCTTGCTTGACTTTGAGCACAACAGCCAGGTTACTTCCCAAGAACACCAGCAGGGGCAAGATGAAACCTGCTATTGTTTCTGTGAGAAACAGTGCCATGTCAAACTCCCCACTGTCCAGGCACTGGTATGTCCCGTTTATTTCTATCAGGACGGCACTGTGGAGGTAGGGGGCAGACAAGGTGGTGGCTAACAACCATAAGATGCCACAGGCCAGAGGAACGGCCCAGGAGGGGCGTCGCAGTCGAGCCCACACAGGCCTCAGCAGACACAGGCATCGCTCCAGAGCCACAGCGCAGAGGAGGAAAGCGGAGGCGTATAACCCCAGGCCTCGCAGGAATATGACCAGACGGCAGAAGACATGGCCAAATGGCCAGCTGTAGTTGTGGGCAATATAGCCCAACATAAGGGGGGTACGCATGAGCAGCACCAGGTCAGCCATGGCCAGGTTCAGGACATAAATACGGAAACTGCTGGCTGCACGAGTCTCCTCACTGCTGCCTCTGCGCACCAGGTGACGATTACCCCGCAGTCCAAGTGCCCAAACCACCAACCCGTTCAGAGATACGCCCACCTTGAGGAACCAAGAGGACCGGCTGTCAGTTACATTCAGGGTGAAAGACTTTTAAGGCAACAGCTTGAAATTTGGGGAAGTACGCTTATGTGCTATATATGTAAAGAAGATTGATACCACACCTGTGTTCGTTAAATAAACGTATTTACTTAATTAGCTTAGGTTAGCATTAAGGGAAAAATAGGGGGAATAGCTAGCCTGGCTCTGTCCAAAGTTAAAAACATCCACCTCCCAGCACCTCTAAAGCTCACTAATTAACACTTTATATCTCTGTACAAAAAACAAAATATTAAAATGAGTTGCAACTTTCTTTTTTGGGGGGGGTGTTATGTGATGGACTGTTTCTGGGCCTGACTCAAGGAAATCACTGCTCCCGGCCAAGAAATAGTCTCACATAAGAACCCTCCTTAAAACAACAACCTCATGCAGATTGAACACACAACGAAACCCTTTAACCAACACATAATCACAACTATTAATATGATGTGTTTCCAGACCTATCTATGCAAGGGTTGTGTAAATTCTCTGGAGACATAGAGGATTTCTCACCAGGAAGATAAGCAGAGTAGCTGTGATTTGGATTCCCTTGTTTGCCTCGCCCTGCCAAGAGCTGCTGGAGCTGTTTGGGCTAGTCTGAAGCTGGCTCATTGCAAGGACAGGAACCTGTGTTCCGTTCATATTAGCCGCTGAGGTGATCACACTGGAGATTACCTGAAACATAGAAGACATTGACTTCATGTCACATAGATTTTGTGGTTGGTTTTTACTCTTTAATCAAAATAAAATAATAACAAAATAAAAGCAATCAATTTAGTAATTGACAATGGAATGATGTTAGGAAAAATGCATGACAAGCATGATTGCACATATGAATATAGATTTCACATTCAGTTGCCTAAAACACAGACACACAGATGTCCACATCACACAAAATGACACCACAAACATCCTTCCTTCCTCAGTTTTGTTTCATTGCTGAGAAGTCTGTCAGAAATAATCATTAACAGATAAATTACAGTATATAAAGTAACTGCAGCACTGCAATCTATCCTCCACCAAACTCCACAAAACACACTGTTTTTATCACGTAAGAGGACATTGCATTGACTTGCATTCATTTAGAGGAGACTCCCCATAACCTTAACCCCCAAACCCTACCACTAACCTTAACCTTAGGTCTTCTAATGGTTAACCATGCCAGGACCAGCCTTTTGTCCCCAAATGAAAGTTGGGTTCCCACAATGTGACTTTCTGATTATATTAATATTCAACTTTTTAAAAATGAATACACACACAAACACACAGACCTTGTGTCAGGTGTTGTATTAGTAGTAATGATAACAGAAAAAGTAATCTCTTATTTATTTTTTTCCGTATTAACCATTGCCTCAAGGCCCTGCATGCATGTATATCTAGACTTGGCCTGTTTGTGTGCAGCTGGAATGAACGCAGCATGCATGCATGTTAATGAACACACCTCAAACATTAGCTGCACTAACCTTTTTCAAAGTTACTGATAGCAGTTGTGGTTCTCTGATTAAAAGCTCCTAAAGTTTAGATTTCTACAATCTACAGTAACCAAGAAGAACGATCACAATATGTGCCTCAGATTCACTTTGAAAAGCTGCTTCACTTCATTGGATGTTAATGAAAAGGGTTTGCTTCTTACCTTTTTTTATTTGCCGTGTGTGTGGGAGAAATGGAGCAGGAGATAAAGAAGAAAGGAGTGTCAACTTGCTGTTAAGAACAGTCTCTCTCTCTCTCTCTCTCTCTCTCTCTCTCTCTCTCTCTCCCTTCTTTCCTGTGTGTGATTGCAACACACACTCCTTCCTATGAACATATCTATGAACATCAGACACAAATAGTTTTGATCACAGCATTAATTTCTAGCAGTAAAAGGGCTAGCTTTAAATTTTATACAATTACAATACAATATAATAGAACAGTACAATAAAATAGAACAAGCAAGTAACCTAACTAGTGTGCTGCTTTCGTTTTACTTCTTTATTCCTTTAAAACTATGGCACTTAATAGGCCCACATATATAATCAGAATAGCAGACACAGTGCTGTGGCTTTAACACTGCGGTTAATCTCTTGACCTGTTGACTAGACTAAAATGTTGCTACAAACCACCTCTATATTATAATGTAGATGTTGAACCCACTGCAGTTGTAATCATGGAGGTGTGACCTTTTAACTGAAATGTGTCAAACTCAGTCACTGACACTGAAACTGAAGGCTGAATATTTCTTCCCTTTCCCCTTTTTTCCACGCGGTACTAATCAATGTATCTAATCACACTACTCATTTATAATCTGAAGTATATTATAAAGTTATAATCTAAAGTGATGCATAGATCTAAAGTGATACATTATGGGCAATTGCTCCTGACACAGAAATACTGCCCCTGTTAACTGAACAGACTCAAGAACTCCTTTGTCCCTCATGCCATCATACTCTTCAACTCCTCACTCGGGGGGAGGAGGAAATAGGGTAAAGAGGACAGAAGGGAAGGAGTGGTAGCCACTTACTGTGCAATAATAATCTACTCACATACATACCTGGACACTCTTCTTCTTTTTTTGTGCAATAACTTAATCCACTAAGTGCAATAATTTAACTTAACTGCTAATTTCTGCTAATGTCATTTAACCACTGTATAATAACACAATGCCATATGCAGTCCTATATAATTATCTTTATTTATCTATATTTATCCTCTATACAGTTCTCTACATTTATTTTATTTTACTTTTAACTCTACTTTCTGTATTTAGATAAGAGTTTATTGTTTATCTTATACTGTATTTTTTTTATACCTCTTCTATTTTCTATACAAGTGTTTTGTAAGCTGCTGGAAATCCAATTTCCTTGAGGGAGTCATCCCAAAGGGATCAATAAAGAGAAGTCTAAGTCTAAGTCTAAAGCTGATTCAGCTTTCCACTTTCACAAGACTATCTGTCTCACACAGGTGTACAGTTTGGTGTAAAGTGGTGCAGCTGAGGCTGTAGCTCAGTGGTACCACTCTAGTTAACATACTACATGTGGGTTGCTAAATATATTGCAGTTACCGTGCTTTACATTTGCAGTTGGTTTATTTGGTACTTTGAGGTCATTAAATGCACTAAAGGACTGCTTTTCAGCTAAAAGGAGCACACAAAATTAGGCCGTGTGTAGCTTTAATTTCACACTAGAAGGCTGGTGATATTCTGTATTTTTGTTAATGTCAACAAATCCCATGTAAATATTAAAAGCAGTGCAATGATATGTTTTTTGCCTGTTCATTTCTTCTGAAATTGGACACAAATACATACTTTTTGTATTTGTAAGAAGGACAGCTTGGCACTTTTCTTTTTAACAAATCTTACTCAAAAAGGAATGAATATTGTAATTGTAGGAGAATATCAATACACTTCCTTTAACATGAAATACTACTACACTGTCAGTGTTTGTGCTGATGGCAACTGACAGCTCTGTTTTGCTTTCCATTTAAGAGGTTTTATTATGATTTTGCAACAACTGACCCTCACCAGTAGATGGCAGTGCTGCTCATTTGGTAAACAATGAATAGCACTAATTCGTTTTTTGTGACTGGACATGTCTAGAATGAATAACACAACTGCTTCAGTCATTTTGACATTTGTGACAGTACTGAAATATATTTTGCAGATGTCTGTCCACTGTGTGAAAACTGAGCTCTACACTTTTATTACTTCATTACAAAGTCACAAAATTTCCACCCAGAATGGAAATATGAGACTGTTTCCTACAGATCATAATTTCACAGAAATAGTCACTGACTAAAAAAAACATCCAGGATTGCCAGGTTACCTGCCAGGTTAGCAACGTATAGAGACATGTTTTAATGTGGAGCAAGACATTTTTGACTGATATTGCTACTCGTCACCATACTTGTGTGTGGGATAGCCAGACTCAATTAATGGTATACACATTCATGTTTCTACAGTCAGCAATGGGAAGTAAGTGCATTTACTCAAGTACTGTACCTAAGTACAGATCTGAGGTACTTTACTTGAGTTGTTTCTTTTCACAACACCTTCCACTTCTACTTGACTGCATTTAAGAGGGAAATACTTCAGTTATTTGACAAATTGAGACTTCTGTACACAAAACATAAGAGCTTCTAAAATGGGTTTAAACTAATCAACGCTATATACAAGTAGAACCAAAGAGATTAATCAATTAGCTGATTGACAGGAAATTTGTTGCTAACTTAGTCGTTATTAAAAGTAAGTTACCATTCAAAAACATTTCATAGTTCCAGCTTCACAAATGTGACAGTTTGCTGCTTTTCCTTTGAATTATTATTTTTTATTACGCTCCCTTTAGGCAAAAAAAAAAAACAACAACAACAACAACAAAAAACAGACAACAAGAGAAATTGCAGAGACAAAGTAGTAGTGACAATTAAAAAGGATTTATTTACAGGCAAATACTAAACATACAACAAAAGGTTCTCAAAATGTGAGGCAGGATTGGCCAAAGCGGTTGTGCCAAATAAAATGGAAAACATGACAAAACTAGACCAAACTAACAACTCGAACTCACTAGAAACAAAATACAAACAAAAGGCTTTACTATCTCACCTACAAAAAGAAGAAGAACCATAACATACAAAAGTGTCACGAACCAATAACATAACTATGTGAATGATGACAATGTGCAGATGCCCCAAACTTACCTAATGTCCTTAACCTCCCACCACATACTTTTCTTTACAGGTTCAATGAATGTGCTCACAGAATGCAACAACAGCACAATCGGAGAGAGCGCGAACTCTTGGGGTTTCTTTTATTGAGGGCTCGGCATGATGATTGGCCAGCTTCAGATTTGTTCTTGTTGCTGAAAGCCAGACTGCTCAGGTGGAAACCAATCAGCCTCTGTTAGCCTCTGGAGAGAACACAGGGGAGGGACAGAGAAAGAAGCAGAAAGAAAACACATGTAAGATTTTTAATAGTTTTGAGTTGTTGTTAAGCATTAAGTACAGGTCCTTTTAATACTTTAGTACATTATCCTCATTATACTTTTAAGTATATACTTCTACTTACATACTTTTACTTAAGTAACATTTTCAATACAGGATTTTTAGTTAAAGTATTTTTACTTTCATTTAAGCAGAATCTAATTAAATACTTCTGCCACTTTTGGCTACAGTCAATCTTACTGTGTGCTTTGCTTATTCTTTAATCATTCTTACATCAGCTGAATGGTTACAGGGCTAATTAGGCTAATGGAAATAAAACAACAACAACAACAACAAACATATTTTCACACATTCATAAATGAACCATATTCATAAATGGTCATTAATTTCCAGTAGGTTTACATTTATTATAATTACATGTGTGTTTTGAAATACATACATTCATACATAATTATCTGAAACATTTTATGCTTTTGAATAAGATACATTTAGATACAGTGTGGGGGTCTTCTTAGTATTTCTGGGTTGATCAGAAATGATGGTTGGCAGCCACTCATTTGTTGTGAACTCATTTCTTTCAAGCACTCAGAAATGGATCAAATTCAATTGTATCACAAGTTTGTAGCGGAAATGTTATGACAGCTGATTTCCGTGATATGAGAGTGACAAAACCTCATACTTGTTTCAAAGCCTATAAGTTTCATACATGATACATATGCACATATACTGTAGGCACATATGTTGTTAGAAATATTGACTATCATGTATGTTTTCTGCAAAAAAAATAATGTATTATAATACCATTAACAAGCTTCACATTTTCTGTCTTTTAATCTAATTTAAAAAATGATGTTCTTGATTTGTAATGACACTGATGTACAGTATGTAAGTTTATAAACCCAGCACGTTGATCATTGCACCGTTAAAAAAAGAGTGTAACATTGAACTTTTAATTAATAATAAAAAAAATCTTACTTTCTTACTTAATACTTACTTACCTACTTAATTACTCACTTAATTCTTACTTACTACACAGACAAGCTTTCAACTTTTCCCCCTAACATTTCCAGTGGTATTATTGTTTGCGCCGCTGTCCCTAAGACCACCAATTGCCATTCTCGTCAGAACCTAGCTCCGTGAAGAAATGATCGACACTACTTTAGAAATAAGAGAGAAGAAAGAAGCATGTTGACTGAAGATGTTAATTCGAATGGTCACAGTTTTATATTGAATTTGGGAACAGGCAAAAGCTACTCTAATGATGAACATTGCATACTAGTAACAATATTGCCTCATACAAACAAATAACCAGCAGGGGGTGGCGTTGGGGTGGAGGGGGGCAGTAATGTTAACATTAGCAGAAAACATTAGGAGAAAAAGCATGTTCATTCATTTAGTTTATATAAGTCAAGCCTCCATTTTCCCAGGAAATATCTTACCTGGTGGCAGACAGAACAGCATGTCTAAAGCGAGGCTGATAGGGAACCAATCTAATTGTGGTTAGAGTCCTTCTATAGCATTACACTATCAAATTAACATTTACGCCCTAATGATAAGTAAAAACCAAAAAGTTTTCGACTTTAAAGGACCAGTGTGTGGGATTTAGTGGCAGATCACACCTAACCAAACACCGCTCATGTCTGATGAACGGGCTGAAAAGTGTGTAGGAGAAACTATGGTGGCTCGGAAACTCACGAAAAATGACATGACAACATGGCAGTGACACAGTCCGTCTCTATTTCCATTCCATGTTTCCATTTCCTGTTTTATTTTGTACTCACCTCTCCTGTCGTTGCAGATCACTTCACTTCCTGCCCTGTGATTGTTTGCCCCGCCTTGATTGCGTTCACCTGTGTCTAATTTGTCCCCACCTCTAGAGTATATATTGTCTGTGTGAAATTTAGTCTGTGCCAAACATACCAGCGACTTCTCAGTGTGGAGTGTAACGCTGGTTTGGATTATTGCCTGTTTCTTGACTCTGACTCTGACTCTGACTCTGACTCTGACTCTGCCCACTGGAGTTGTTGGCTTGTGTTGACTGGACTTCTGTGTACTGAACCTTTAATTTGAGAAGTAAGGACTGTGCTTTTACATCAAGAACCTGTGTCCAGTCGTGCGTTTGAGTCCTGCATTTTGGGTTACCAGTTGTAACAGCCGGAAACCGTTGAAGGTGACCTGCGGCGTCTGTAGATAAAAATGACTCATTCTAAGGTAACAAAAGCACAACAATTCCTATATTCAGGTGATTATACGCTAATTAAAACATACTTATGAATATTAATTTCCATTTCTGCCAATTGATCCTCCTGAATGTTACACACTGGACCTTTAAATATCTACCTACTTACTTAATACCAACTTAAACACCGGACTCAAGTAATGCTTGTGTACATAATAATTATATACGCTATAATTATTGATAGAGCTTTTGAAAGCTTTGGTCTAGAAACTGAGCCTTTCGATTTTCAGTGTTTCAGTGTGTGATCTTCACGTTTCTGTTTGGAGACATGTTTTAATGATAATAAAGGGATATTTTGCTGTGCACATTGTCCAAATACTTAAGTTAACATTATGAACAGTATTTAACTTTAATTATAGAATCAGTCAGCGTGTTTCAACAGTTTCAATAAAATAGTTGGTATATTTAAAGTAGTTTGTGGAATTGAATCATAATCAGCTTTTGGTTTCTCCACCTCTGAAGCTCGCCCACACTTCCTTTAAACCTGCTAATTTTAGATTCAGGGGTTTTGGGGGAAACCAAGCACTCATATGTCACTGTGAAAGAGCAGGAATGAAAAACTCTTTTCTTTGTTGCTAATGGTATGATATTGTTGTGAGGTAAAACAATAGCTGCTTTCTGTCTGAAGCAGATGTTGGTGACGATATGAAAATAATCTATACGTTTTCTGGAGATTCAAATTTTTTTTGTCTTTGTCTGAAATTTTCCCTTTGGTGCCATGTGTGTCACCTTTAAGGACACGTAGATCAAGACAAGGTGACGACACAGAGAGATGGAAATGTTATCAGATCATATCAGCTGTATGTCTGTCAGGCCTCTCATGCATATCCCACATATGACAGGAAAACGTCAGGTCTCAGGTTGCCCACGTGGAAAGACTGAAAAAGAGCTCTGCTGTAGAAACAGAGAGAAAAAGAAAGTATGTATTATTTTTTTTTCTTGTTTTGACTAGACGTAAAAACAACTCAAAACCATTTTTTTGCTGTAATGAACAAACTCTCACATTGGCTGTCCTTTCTGGTTTCTTTGGTAGTAGCTCATAAGAATTGAAAGTAGGTGAGGTTATGAGTTAAGGTGATGGTAGTGATACATTTCTTGACAAAATTGTATGTTTTGTCCCTTCAGTTGAACATCAAAAGAAGACTTAGATCTGCTATCCCCTTAACACCAAAATATGATGTCACTTTCTGTCTCTCAACACAGCATACACATTTTCGCATGATGTGATTTTTTTTTTTTTTTTTTTTTTTTGATCATCAAGACAATCTGGAACCTTTTTTTTAAATGAAAAGGGAAACTTATGAAGCTACTTCTTCACTCATCTGTAAGAGGGTAGACAAAGCCAGACAGAAAAAGTGAGGCTTGCGTTTGAAGCGTCCTCAGCTGGCCTATTACACATTGTGAATTTCCAGTACGTGAAAGGGGGGGGCGTCCCTGCCGCATTTCTGCTTCTTCCCCCGCCTCCTCATGTACTTTCAATTTTCCCTTCAACTACTTACACGTTACAACGTTGACTTGTCTCTTTCAGTACGCTTCCTTTTTAACACGCGCACAGGAATGTGATGTACTTGACAGTAGACGACTGGATGAATGTAAGAAAAAAGTTTGCATGAAGCCAAAAGGTGCAGCCAGCAAGTCAGAAAATGCTATTCGCAGTGCTGGAGAAAAGGGGGGGGGGGATAGGTAGTGAGAATGGATGGGGAGGCACCCTGTCTTCTGAGAAATAGAAATAGTGGTATGACTTGGTTACTGGGTTACCACAAGCAAACACTAAGATTCACGGTCACTTTGTGGCATCTTATATAACAAGGATAGTGCAGGATCAGTCATTTAGTGGAAAAGGGTCTATTTCAAAAACCACGCTGGTGACACTCCCATAACTGTCAAACAAAAATCCAATTCATTTCGTGACCCTGCACAGTCATAATGTTCAATGATTTTACAGGTGCCTCGATAAGGAACCAGCAAAGGTGTGAAAAAAAATAATATGGCGGTGCCTGGTTATCTCAGTCAGTAGAGCTGGTGACCCATGTAATGAGGCCGAGTCCGTGCTGCAGCGGCCCAGGGTTCGAGTCCGACCTGTGGCCCTTTGCTGTGTGTCGTCCCCTCACTCTGCCCCCCTTTCCTGTCTATCTTCAGCTGTCCCTATCAAATAAAGGCAATAAAAAAAAAAAAAATTAAAGCATCACTGTAACTTCAATGAAATGATCACAGGTAGAAAATGTATTAAAATGTTGACACGTGTCTCCTTTATCCAAGTTCAAATTCCTGATCCAAGGACAAACTGTTGGTATACCCTGAAAACACTACTGACTTTTCCTTGAGCGTTTTAGAGGCATATCTCAACAACTACTGGGAAGAGTGCCATGAAATTTGGTACACATATCCAGAGTCTCAGAAAATGAATCCTAAGGACTTTTGACCCCTGATTTTTCATCCAATGCCACCAGCAGGTCAAAGATTTCACTCATCCAGTGAAATTTCTTAACATCTATTGAATGGAAAACTTTGTACAAACATTCATGGTTCCCAGATGACGAATTGTAATGACTTTGGTGAACCTATCTTTTCCCCTGACAGGAAAGGATTGCCATAAAAATTAGCACACACACATTCATGTTGCCCTCAGGATAAATTGTAATCAGGTTGGTGATCCCTTAACTTTTCCTCTAGTTTATGGCCAAATACCTGCAAATACCAGCAACGTATTTGGTTCACCCATTGGTTTGTGTAGTACTGTTTTAAAGCCTTGAGTTTGGCATTATGGTTGTCGGCGTGATAGTTTGTCGGAGCCAGCGGAGGTGACGTACTGTGAGTTGAGCTGAGCTCATTGGTTGCACAGTTTAGACTCGTCCATAGCAGGAAACAATGATGGCCTAAGTCTTGGGAAAGAAATTTAGATTTTTATTTGTTAAGTTTAAGTTAGAATTAGTATGTATTTTAGATTTAGGACATTGCTTCAGTAACATTTCTTAAGGGTAAGTGAGGAATCACCAACCATTAGTGTGTTTAAGTCCTCTTTAATTACCCGTCCATTGTCTTTATTGAGGTAGCAGAAAATGTGAGGAAGGGAAGAGTGAAGTGACTGAAGTGGTGTCCCAAATCCATACTAAATCCCTACTACATTACATATTAATTCTATACTTTCACTGCAAGTTAAAATTCACAAATATGTGTTTAAATATATGTATATATACACATATACATAATCTATATATATCCAACTAATATACATATATGTATATATACGTGTGTGTATATGTATATATACATTATCACATATATTATTACTTTAAAAATTAGTTTGAAGAAGAGGTGGTTCCTCTTGCTCTAACGCAGCCATGCTTTTAATCTATTTTCCTGTCAAATCTTTCACGTGTTATCCGAACATATAATTGAATTCAGGTTCATGATGTCAAACTCCAGACGTCTTTGTGACAATCTCTACTGCTGTCATCACAGTTGACATAATTGTAAAGAACCTGTTTAAATCCAAGAAATCAATACACAGTATTTTCTCTTCTGTAGGCAGCATTTACATATAAGATAAATGACATGTTACTGAAAATTGGTTTTCTTTTTCTAATAGTCATTCTGTTAGAAAGGGGATTTCACATGACTCACACGCAGTGTATAAAAGAGATGTAAACCCACATTTTGGTTTACTGTTCAATGGGAGAGAGAGAGAGAGAGAAATACACAAGGAGGAGAGTGAGACGCTCAGCAGAGAAGAAGGAGAGAGACACAAGTTGCCGAAAGAGGAAGTGTTGTTTACTCGGAAGCCAGGTCAGTAACTATACCATTACATCAAACACACATACACAAACTTACTTCCTGGCAACAACTCAACTTAGATTAACATCTTGATTCTCTGCCAGAGCCGAGATATAACAGCACCTGCTACGTTCTATTAGAACATATTAGAACATAACATATTAATGGTAAAAGATAAAGAGGAGACACCAGGACTTTTACAGTCTTTTAAAACTTGAACATTCGTACAGATAACTCAGAAGGCATTCTTAAACTCTTTAATACCACAGATCCTTTAGAGGGTGACAAACACATATTTCCAATTATTTCAGGCTGAATTACAGGGAACGGTGTATTAAGAAAGCAACCAAGAGAAAATCCCTAAATTATGTCTTATAGCAAACTTGAAATCTAAGTTGTTTCAGGAAATATGTTAGGAAGATAGTGAAAGAACTGGGGTTTAAAAATCTCTGTGTGTATACAGTGCTGTATTTTTGGTTTTCTTTTGGGACAATTTTGTTGGCCAGGTAAGAGTTAAGATAGAAGATAAGATGGATTTTTAAAATATGTGCCTATTAGAAGAGAGAAGAAGAAGAAGAGATTTTTCTCCCACAAAAAGTAAAAAACTAAAATATTCCATTCAAGTTGATGACAGGCAGTTTCCTTGTAATACAATCTTCAAAATCTTTGCAGTTGTAACAGTAATCCAGGTTAACACAAAGTCACAGCAACTTCCAGTCATTGGCTTACTTGTGAATGAAACACTGCAGTTCACATGTATAAATGATATCTTAAAACCAACCACTAATCAGTGTCTGTTGCCCCCTGCAGGACACCCTCAACAGCATGAACACCAACAGTCTAAGGTAAGCATGTGGATGATCACCAGCCGTCAAGTCAAGTCCCAGGTTGAGGTTAATGCTAATCGTGATAGGGGTTGTTCATTACAAGACACCTAACATGTTAGCATTAGCTTCACTCTGGGAGATCTCACAGAAAGCCACCACGGCTACATCCAACACTGAAGCCATCTTCCAACTGAGGAATATAAGGCATAAACAGAGACAACGTGAAAAGTGGACCAACAACTGTGTGTCACCGCTACCAAAGCCTTTCCTGCTCTAAAAGTTTTTTATTCAAAACTTTGCAAATCTCTGCTGGTTGCAGCTGGCAGTAGGGACTTCACCATCTGTTGCCTGGTGGAGATCTGCACTGAACTGGGTGCCCTCTTCTGGTAGTTCATGGGAAAGATAATTACAAAAAGCCAGCCAGCTTTTGTTTTTTATTGTGCCATCCCAAGATATTCAGTGACCCCACCTGGGCAACAGTATGAAAGCTTTCTGGGCACCACTTCTTAAACCATTGCATAAAGGAACACTTTAGTAGTCTGTATTAATGAATTAATGAATGAATGAATGTGTGCCTATAAAGACACAGAGGGTCCAATCACTGTTGGTGATTTTTATTTTTTAAGAAAAACTGAATGATGAAGTGTTAAGAAAACGTAAATATCTCATAAATCTTTGACTTCCGCTTGACAATAAATGCATTGTCACAATGTTGGAAACAGATCTGTTTTCATTAACAACTGATGCTTTGGAGATATAGCAATATGATATTTAACACGAGTTGCATAATGATTTTTATTGCAGTATTTAGTCATTGTGACAGATCATAATCTTCCCTTTGCTGTGCTCAATTTTCCTGTTGTGAATAAATTGCTCCAGCAGATATAACTGCACTGTGTCTGAAAAGGCAGCAGTTCGAGACAAAGAATAGACACAAAACAACTAAATCTCAATCACAGTTCAACTAGTGAAAAATCCTCTGGCCAGTTTATCCTCAAACAAACCAAAAACATGCATTTGTGATGAAATTCACTTGGATATTTTCTCATTTATATTTTGTGCCTTTTGCTTTTGGTTAGTTGAACAAAGCTTCAGACAAAAGCTGGATTCAGACTGTTCCACTGATACCTGACTTTTGTATTCTGTTTGGAATCTACATTGTAATGTATGTGCATGACAAGAAAATAAAATCAATCAAAATCATCTGTGGAATGTATATCTGAAGTTTGTTCTAGCCCAACCAAACGTGAGGCCTGTATAATTACGTGTTTACATGAGAACATCTCTACATCTGCTCTCTCTGTGTAGGCAATGTCAACAAAACTCCCAGTTTAAATGAATTATAGATAGAAAAGATGTTGCTGGCAATTTGAACACATATGAACACAGTTTGCTCCAGACGGAAATGCAGACATTTTATATGCAGTTCAGCCGTCGTTTGTGGTGCTTTAGTCTTGTGACAGAAGCCCAGTGTAATCTTTTAAACCACTTTGTCATTAGTTCAGATTCCCTGTAAATGAGGGGATTACAGCCTTGGCTCCTTAAATGCAGAATATACAGGATTTTAAAGAAAATCCCTGCCAACCCATCCATCTGATAATATTTAGATGTATTGATCCATATTGAAATCATACTTAAAAAACATCAAGCTTGGTAAATAGTGGAGGATTTTGCAAACTCATTTAGTCACAGGTAAATGTAGCCTACTAATGTTTAGAAGTAGGCAGTGGTGGATGAAGTACTCGGATCCTTCACTTAAATAAAAGTAGAAATATCATAGTCATAAAAATCCTCCATCACAAGTAAAAACCCTGAACCCTGTCTCAAAGTGTCAAAACTCTGAGTCATTAGTCATAAACTGGAGCTTAAAATGTCTCTGATTAATGTGCAATAATTTGATTAAGGTGCAACTTTGCTAATACTACAGTCTTTAAAAACTCACTACTATTACTTATTTCATTTCTGTCGGCCACGTACTGTGGCATACATTTACTTTACTTTGTATATATTAGCATATATTGTAAATATTTTATTACTATAAGGTTCTTAAGCTCTTATTATATTTCCATTTTTATTTTTTATTTTTTAGTTATATGTATATACCTATATCTACATTTCTATTCTCTCTATATATATATCTATGTGTGAGCTCCTTGGGTAACTGTAACAAACAAATTCCCCTCCGAGGATCAATAAAGTATTTCTGATTCTGATTCTGAATTAAAAAAATAAAAGAATTATGAGCAAAATGTACTTAGAATGGAATAGAATATACCAGAATGGCTTCTTACAGAGTGTTATATTGAATATCATATTGTTCTGTTTTTATTACTAATGAATACATGTAAGAGCATTTTAATATTGAAATTAGTCAGTGTCGTTTTAGATACTTTGTATACTGGTTAGATTAGTATAGTAGTATAGTACTACATCATAACATACAAGCATATGACACTCTGTTTTTTTATGTAAAAGGTAACTAGTAATAATAAGAGTCAAATACATGTAGTGCAGGAAAATGTACAATATTCTCCCCTAAAATGTCAAATAAACCCAATTTCCGCCCTAGGAAGTATCTTTATCTTTCTCCCATTAAAGGGTGTATCCTCTAGGTTCATTTAAGGTGATCACTGAGTCAGTCAGGTTTCACTCGTCTTTCTATTCATCACCACATTAGTGTTTTCCCCCAAAGGGGACACCACAAAAGTACACATCCAATCAAATCTGTATTCTCTTGCTCTAAACTTCCTCATTTCGTTACTTCATTGACAAGAATTAAAACTTAGGTGTCTTCCTTGAATAAGCCTTTGACCTAAAATGTAATTGTTGTGTTGTTGTGTGTGCTTGGAGCATAGCAACAAATAAAAACATTGTAATGCTAAAACAGGAAAGCAAGCACTGCCATCTGAAATAATCATTTGAAAATGTAATCATAATTATAACTGGACATAACAAATTGCCATTATTATTACTACTACCAGTAGTATTACGGTGTACTGCTGTTCTTCGTGGGGTCTGTCCAAACTGTACTGACTCTCTATTTCATTACTTTCAAATTTATATAATTTCAGTATCACGCAGGCTGTCGATTGTGAAAAGTGTTGAAAAAAAAAAGAAAAATTAGCAAATATTGATGGAAGACCAAATAATGACATTGCAACAGTCTAATCCTAATGTACAGACATGTCCATATTATTGTCAAGATTAAATAAAAAGCTCATCCCATGTGTTCCTGAATTTTTTAATGCTTTAGAATGGTAGGGGTTCCCAGACCACCTGCCAGGTTTGGTCCCCCCTGATGTTGAGTCCTTGCTACAGCCTTGATCCAACAATACCAACAATACACACAGTGGCCACAAGAACTTGTCATTTGACACAGATCCATGGTATATGATGCACATAGCACATTATATCCTCTAAGAGATGATTGCAGACCCACATGAATATGTTGTAGAACATCTATAGCCAATACACACTGTATATTTTACACTTTATCTTGTGTATATAGATATGTTTATATATATATTTATATATAGATAGCTATGTCCTTAATAATATTATATGTTGTATGTAAGTATGTTGTATGTAGATTTGGAGTTGTAACGAAAGTAATGTCCCCCTGGGATTATTAAAGTATTTCTGATTCTGATTCTGATATCCATAAGGAAAGGCTCAGTCCCATTACAGTCAACAGTGATGCAACAAAAAAAAAAACAAAGACTGGAAATAATGCTTTTTTTTAAATAATAATTTATATATTCAAATTGTATTATTAAAAGCAACTCATGGAAAATAAATACAAATTATCTTATACATCATAAGCTGTCAGTTAAGTCAATTTCATTTATATAACCCCAAAACCCATACATTTTCCTCAAAAAGGCTTTAAGAAATAATAATAATGCATTTTTGTTGATCTTGATATTTGTATATGTCAGTATCTTAATGTGAAGAACACGAGAGAGAAATGTGCCAACCAACCCCGGTCTCCCCTGTTGAGCCTTTATATGGGCGGACCGGTCAGTCAGCTGATGACTAAAATACTCCACACAATCTCTGTCCTCAATACACGGATTTCGTCACACGAATGATTTTCCAGCCAATTACGCACAATGTGGACAATTTCATACAACTGCAGGCGGAAGACTCGTAACTTGGTGGGATTTCACTCCGGAATGTGTCCTCTGCGCGCACCTGGAGCAGCCGGAGACATGCAGAGGCAACAGATTTTAGCCCGTTTTCACTCTGTTTTATGATACTGAGCCGCTGTGGATCTGCGATTTATTCCTGTGATGGGGAGAATCACATGGAACTGCGGTGCCGTGATCCTGCTGGCCATCGTTTGCTCATGTCGTGCAGTCACTCTGGAGTCCATCCATTGGAGTAGCTCCAACACAAAGTAAGTGGGTGAATCAGTTTCACACTCGGGGAAGGATGCAACTTTATGCTGCTGTGTCCTTTTCATGTGACCTAATTCATTAAGTTCGTCAGAGGAGATAGAACAACAGCAAATCATGACACTACAGTTTTGATGTTGATGTTTCATATGAGAAGCTTTGATGTAGAGCTGAAACAATATATAAAGCAGAAATGCTAAATATTCTCTGGTTCCAGCTTCTCCAGTGAGAATTTTTTTTTGTACTAAAAATTATTAATGCTGCAACTAACACTTACTTTCATTATCAAGTAATGTGGTGATTTTTTTTCTCGATTAATCACTTAATCTTTCTTCATCTGTACAATGAAAGAAAATTGTGAAATCATCCAACAAAAGATCATCTTTAAATTAATAATATAATCAATATAATCTCAATATATATATATTGAGTTTACTATCATGTAAAAAACTGAGAAGCTGAAATAAGAAGATTTTCTCATTTTTGCTTGAAAAATGACTCAAAGGATTAATCAATTATCATAATGGTTGCAATTGATTAATCAGGTGATCTGTTTCAACTTTTAAATGGAATATATCTTTGGGGTTTGGGCTGTTCCACGAGCAATTTGAACTTGTGATGGGCATTTTTCACTATTTATAATAACAAACTGAGGTTTTAGAGCACTCAGAACTTCAAGATCTTGTTGAAAAGCTCATAAAACTGAATGACACAGTGATGCCTCACTCTGTTCTGCTTTAAACCTCATCTTGTCTCTCCCCTTATCTCACACACAGATTTAGTCCAAATCAGGGTCTAGTCCTGTTTCCTCAGATTGGGGACAAGATGGACATTGTGTGTCCGCGGGCAGATGCTTCCTCGGGGGGGACGGAGGAGTTCTCCCGTGTCTACCTGGTCTCCCGAAGTCAGATAGAGACATGCACCATCGACAAGACGGACACACCCTTGCTGAACTGCGACAAGCCTCACCGGGACGTAAAGTTCACGTTCAAGTTCCAGGAGTTCAGCCCCAACCTGTGGGGCTTGGAGTTCCTCAAGGGGAGGGACTATTATATCACCTGTGAGTCAGTGTGTGTAACCGCACAGGTCATGCTCTCCTCAGATATGATATCTGAGTGAAGTCATGTATGTCCTTTATGAACACACCTTAAAAATCCGAGACACACAAGCTGCTGGTTCCTACAGGTGGAACATTTGCATCAATGCTAGCAACTGTTTTCTTTTTTTTCCTCCTGGCTGAGAGAGGAAGCCATCATCCTCGGCTCCCTCTCAATTTGTCAGTTTGCGTGAGAATCAAAAAATGTGGCCTCGTTATTGGGCCGCTGTCGGTTGAACCAGCATCTTAGTGGCAAGTGATGCATGAGATAGAGAGCAAGTCTGACCATGTAGCCTCATCCACCTCGCCGCGCTCTGACAGCACACTTCGCTCTGGCAGGCCAGTGTGATTCCAAGGGCTTACATGCCCCAAATCACACAAGGCTTTTACAGCATCAGGCAGATTTGATGGGAGCTTTCATGGCTACGTGGCTTGTGGCCTGTGAGATGTTGTTATCTGACCTAAATGCTGCTAACAAGTCTATGTGTGTGTGAGTGACAGGGGTGAACAAAAGTTCTTGATGTGTGTGTGTGTGTGTGTGTGTGTGTGTGTGTGTGTGTGTGTGTGTGTGTGTGTGTGTGTGTTGTGTATATACAGTATATGTGTTTTAGTAATTGCTCTGCTAGTTAAAATAAAAACGTATTCAGTCAGTTTTCCCCCCCACCCATTTGTGCATCTAGAGCTGAAACTATTAGTCGATTCAACAAGAAAATTAATAAGCAACTATTTAGATAATCGAATGAATAGTTGAAGTCATGTAAAACTTTCTCTGGTTCCAGATTCTTAAATATGAGGATTTGCTGCTTTTGTTTGTCTTATGTGATAGTGAAGCAAATATCTTTGAATTTTGGCCTGTTGATTAGACAAAACAAGCTACCGGTATATAAAGATGTCACCAAGAACTTGTGATAGGCAGTGTTTTCTGACATTTTATAGACCAAACAATTAATGAATTAGCATTTGTGGCAGCCCTGGTTGCATCTTTTATGGTTTGTATGTGTTTGTGTGTGAGATTATCTATAAACTGTTTGTAACATTATAGTTTGTGCTATGTGTGCTTTTTCTTCCCCATGTGATGCAACGTTCGGCAACTGGCTAAACTGTCTGCAAAGAAATCATAATGGAAGAACTATGCATTGCTTGATCATCTTGCATTATGATGATCGCAAACAATTATTATTCATGTTTTGCCTCCTGTCTCTGTATATCAGCCACCTCCACAGGCTCTCCGCAAGGACTGGATAATACTAATGGAGGGCTGTGTAGAACCAAATCCATGAAGCTGGTGCTGAGAGTCGGCCAAAGTAAGTATTTTGTGTGCCAGCATGTGTTTAAGGCTGAATGTATGAATGAATGAATGAATGAGAGGGAGACAAAACTATAGGACAAATAATGCTAAATGAACAATACCAACAATTGTTTATTCTGGTTATTATTATAATTGTAATGCAATAATATTCCCATCTCTCTGGAAATACTAAGTAGTTGGATAATGTTGATCATCTATTCAGTCTCTTGAAGAGAGATTGCCGTCATGAATTATCTCAAATCCCTAATTCAAACCACTGGCAGCTTTAGGCCATCAGTATTATCTTGCATGCGATCATTCAGACTGTTTTTTTCCCCCCTGTATTAACATCAGAATAGCCAATGGTCCTTTAAAAAAAATTCAAACACACATTAAAATGTAATAAAGCAGATTCTGAACGTGTTCACTGCCATTACTTTAAATGTCCTGTGTATAAATCGCTCTATATTACGTAATAGTCATACAGAAACATATTGTTTTTTTTATTTATTTCTTAAACTATCCACATAATATTATGGTGGTGTTATTTATCACCTTATGTTTGAAGAAACAAACATTTATTATGGACTTCTGTCTATGGCCTATGTGTTGTATTTTGGTGTGTTATCAAGCTGCACAGAATCAGATAAATTAAGCAGTTGCTGTGTTTATGTGTGAGTTGCTAAAAAACCTTAAAAGCTAAATCAGTGAAAGCCCCTAAATGTAATTTTTTGACCTCAGAAATGTGAAGTATTATTCATATAAATTATTCAAAAGTGTGAGTGGGAGATGAAAAATCTGCATCTTGTGTGTTTCTCAACTGATCATAACTGAAAATATGGAGCTGTTTTCATGCTGTTTACAAACACATGTAAACAAACCTTTTAACAGCAACAGAAAACATTAATAACTCAGATTTAATCTCCTGTTAATCTCTACATATATTAAAACCCCTGTCAATCAATTTGGGAGTTTTGGTAGCATTATGGCCCTTCTGTTTATTCATTTATTTGTTTGTACATTCATGCTAAATGCGATATGAAATTAAATTAACAGCAGTGGTAAATGAATGCTAATGATAATAAAACTTAAAAGACTGCAGCTGAAAATCAGCTGAATGGCTAACGCTGTGAGTTTATTGCAATACATCTCTTGTTGTTAAATGAATCCCAGCACCATGCTCTACTTAAACAGGAACTCCAGTAATTTAGTTTTGCACTTCCAAAGGTGAGGGACCTGCGAGAGATTTAGAAAAGCAGTGGTGTAAAAAGTATTCAGATTATTAACCTAGGTAAAAGAAAAAGTAAAAGTACCTGTATGAATACTCCATCACACGTAAAGTACAGAAGTATTATGAGTGAAATGCAACAAATTAAAAGCATAGTAAAAGTATTTGTTACAGGGGTTTTCAACCTATGGGTAGGGTCCCTCCAAAGGCAAGACAAAACGGATGTGAGATGATTATTGAGAGAGGACAGAAGAAAAAACAGAAGTTCTGCCACACAAGTTTGTGTACATTTTTTGGGGACTTTGGGTGGATTTTCTTGTGAAATATTGAATAATATTAACTCATCTGGCCTTGAATGGATATTCAAATGAAACCAAATGAAAGGTTTAGAGGGAAAATGTCTCTTTGGTGGATCTGCTAACAGCTTATAGACATCTAAAATGTGAAATGTGACAAGGGGCATTAACTACACACAAAACATCAGGAAACTGCTGGTTTAATCCTTTACAATATGTTGTACTTTTTAAACTTATATTTTTTTTTATGTAAAATATTCAAATGAAAAGTAACTCGTAATAACTGTCAAATACATTACATAAGTGTAGTGGAGTAAAAAGTATGATATAAGTAAAAGTATAAAGTAGCATAAAATGGAAATACTCAAATAAAGTACAGGTTTCTTAAAAGTGTACCTAAAGGTCCAGTGTGTAACATTTAGGAGGATCAATTGCCGAAAATGTAATATAATATTTATAGGTATGTTTTCATCATTGTATAATCACCTGAAAATAAGAATTGTTATGTTTTTGTTACCTTACAATGAGCCGTTTTATCCACAGAGGGATCAGGTTCTAGAAAGTACCGGGGCAATAGATAGAAAACAATCCAAGCATCAGAGAGAAGAAATCCTGACCATTAGACCTTAGTATGGGCCAAGCTCCAAAAATGCTTCCCATAATGCAGTTCTTTCATTAGACCATCCCTGCCTGGTAAATGCCATAAACATACGGGGGTACATTTCCCCGCTGTTTGCAATGCAGGGTTAACTTAACCTATATCACATAGTTACATAAAACAGACAGCGAAAACAGAAACATTTGAATTGGATGAATTTAGTTATAAATATGCAAACAAGTGTTTGCAGTCAGTTTCTAGTAAAAAAAAAAAGAGTTCTGTTCTGAGTCCCACTCGTGACTCAGAACAAAACTCTCTGTGGTCTGATTAGGTTAGAAAAGGGAGATTTTTCCTTTTCTGTGACGCACCTGAATGGCGCAAAATAGTCAAAGAACTGTTATTGCTTTGATTTTGATTCACCAATGATTCAACAGACGTCATTATAGTTGCAATAGGACCGTTCTGACATGACTTTACCCCACCTACATAGTGTTAAAACAAAACAGTGAAAATGAAGAGATGTGAGGTGTGATGCTAGTAGCCATATGTTGGGATTTTATGTCAACTGTCCTGCTTTATTTTCCAGACTCTTCAAATCCAGCTTCAACACTCCAGGAGTCCCCCACCAGATTCCCACCCACAAGACCAAAGTCCAAGGCTAAGGACCCCTCCGGGAAAGAAGAGGATATCAAAAGCAAAACTGGTAAGAAGACATAAATATATGTTTGCTTGGTGTAGCCTGTAAACTACAATTTAAACTAAATTAAAAAGATAATTTTTGTCATTGTCAACAAATTTCATGAAAAAAAACTAAACTAAACTAAAAAAAAAAATAGTAAAGATTTCCACACAGTTAGGTCCATGCAGTAAGAAACAAAGCACTGTGTTGGTGTGCCTCTTAATATTTTCCTACTTCCCTGCTGGGTCTGTAATACTCGGCCCTAAGCCCATTATTTTCTACTGAAGATATACATTTTTACTTTTTAAGAAAAAAGGCTAAATATATTCGTTTTTTGCAAACATAAGTAAAAAGTTTGTTTGTTAAGGACCATTTTCAGCCATACATTTGCAGCAGCATGGTGTATATAAATAAACTACAGTGTTCATTGTGATGAAGGAACATCTCACCCAGTGCAGCAGTGTAACTCATTAATGTGTATTTAATTGTTTTTTAACAACACTGGAGCTCTATGGCACAGAAGAATAAGATAAATGAGGGTTTGGATACTCAGACGTTATTGTTGGTAGGATCACTTCACAGTTGGTTTTCGTCTTTTCACTGGATTGTTGACAATAAGTCAAAAAAATGTAATATCACCGTACGTATCATTTAGCTTTACTGATGAACTTGAGTTTTCCTACAGGAACAATACAATCCTTTAAAGTATGCTTGAGGTCAACAAACGTCCAAAACACAATACAGTCCTTTTGCTTTACTCCAGAAAGGGAACGATTTTCAACTCTTTATCAGTAGGCATCCTATGAATCTGCACTGATGAAAATGGACTCTAAATAATTTAAAATCGATATGAATTGTACCCTCGCCTATATATAAGTAATAAAAAAACAATCACAGATACTACAGACTTATTCTAATCAGACTTTTAGTATATAATGACACAATAAAGTATACTGATAACAAAATGGTCGAATTTTGCGGGAGCTTTTGATGAACACTGTTCTCCCACAATGCAATGCACAAAGGGAAATAAAGGAGCAGCTAACAGCTGAAAATAATTAAAATAAATTGTTCTTGGTGGTGTAAAAAGCTCCAAAGAAATCTAGGAAAACAAAAAAATAAGTATTAGTCTTGGGAAAAACATTTTGATGTCTGTTTGTGAAGTTTAATTGCTTTCCAGAGTTGCAGTCGGATTGACCACCAAGGTCACACATATTATATAATTTCCTCTTAGTTTAAAATGGTAAAATATGTTGATTTTTTTGGTATACTAATTAGAATGAATTATAGATTTTCGGACACAGTGCTTGTGCTCAAACCTTCCCTGATCTTGACTCATTGGCCCATTCAGTGACACAGAAAGACACCAGACTGTTTACCAGTAAGATCCTAAATATTAGAGCATATTCTACAGTGTCCAGCTTTCACTGAGGTTTTTTATCTTACTGATCAGGCCTCACCAGGGCATAAACTGTGAGTGTTTTTAAATCTCTGTGTCACGTGTCCTGCTTTACTCTTTCATCTCAGTTTCTCTGTCCTTTTTCTGACTCGCCTCTGTTTCAATGTTTCAGAAACAGGACAAACAAACCCCAGTGGCAGCGATGGCCCAGAGACAGGACTGTTCATGTGGGTTGTCTCTGGCTGTGTGATCCTCCTTCTGGTCATCATAATTCTACTGGCCTTGCTGTGGAGGTACCATCGCAGCCGCTGTGTCCCAGATAGCCAGCAGTCTGCCTCCGTGTCCCTCAACACTTTGGCTGTGCCAAAGCGGGACAGCATCAGCAGCGACAACAACGGCTCCGACCGCAGCGATGTTGTCTTTCCTCTGCGGGCTTCTGACAGCATGATCTGTCGTCATTATGAGCGTGTGAGCAGTGACTACGGGCCCCCTGTTTACATAGTTCAGGAGATAATGCCCCAGAGTCCCACCAATGTCTACTACAAAGTCTAATATTTGCTGCTCTCATGCCAGTCTGTTGCAGGAAATCCTGAATTTGAACTGTCGGGGACACCCAGGCAACAGACAGTGACACAACACTTCCATTGCTTTTGTTTTAAAGTTTGTGGGTGGTGTGAAGAAAAGACAAAAGTCAGTCTTATCCTCTTGTCACACTGCACTAAGTGCACAAAATCCTGTTGGACTGTTTTGTTTTCTTGTTATATTGAAATGACAATCAGAGAGGAAATTGATGTGTCATAACACATCATTCAGTCGTTATGGAAGTGTGCAGCGAATTCCAGTGGTGGTTTGTACATTACTAAGGTACTGTACTCAAGTACAATTTTGAGGTTTCTGTGTCCAGACAATTTATACTTCTGCTCCATTACATTTCAGAGAAACATATTGTACTTCTTGCTCCTCTACATTTATCTGACAGCCATAGTTACTTTACAATTCCAAATTTTAAAGACATTTTTAAAGACCTTTAATAATAATATATGATGACTAAACAGTTCAAATTTGACCTTAATTGGTTAGTTCATAAATCAGTTATCACAAAATGTATCAGCGACTGCTTCGAAAACTGACATAGCTAAACATTTCATGGTTTCAGCTTCTCAAATATGGTGATTTGCTGGTTTTCCACATCTTAAATTACAGTAAACTAAATCATTTAGAGGTTTTAACTGTTGGTTGGACAAAACAAGACATTTGGAGTCATCACTTAAAGCTCTGGGTAACTATGATGCATTTCTCACTATTTTCTTAACTTTTACAAACGGATTAATCAAGAAAATAATCAGGAGATTAATCCATAATGAAAATAGCAGTATTTCACACTCATATAATCGTTTTTTCTGTAATGAGTCATTTTACCTGTTACTTTTGATACTTGAAGTACTTTAAGTAATTTTCCTGATAATACTTGCATAGTTTTTACTTAAGTAACATTTTTAATTCAGGACTTTTACATGTAATGGAGTATTTATTTTTAAAGTGTCTGAATACTCCCTCTACCATTGGCAAATGCCAATTTGTTCATGATTTTATTTTTCAAAGAAAATAAATCAATTATTTCTCACTGCCACCTCACATGGCAGCTTCACTTGTACAGTAAGTGTGCATCTTATTTAGTTTATTGATGAATCTTAAAAAAGATTGCACTCCAACACACTACATTTGCTAGCACTTATTAAATATGAATTTATCACAATTTAATTGTGTAAACTGTTCAGTGAAATGAAAATAATGATTTTGTGGCTTTCATTAAAGTTAAACCATTTCAAAGGATTTCACCCTTAATTTGTTCTGCTGCGGGCTGCTTTAATTTATACATTTAATACTGTGTCACCTTCTTTTTTTAACAGAATTATTTATTGTTATTTAACAGCATGTTAAATACACAAAGATGTCTCCATAGAAATGTAATTACTCAAATCTTTTGTTACTTGTTAAAGGTGTGACGGTTTTAAATACTGGACAACAACTCCTCAGTAGTCTCTTCTTCAGTCTGTCTCTTCCCTCTGCTTTCCAAAAGACGAGAGCAACACTGAAAGTCATGGAAGAAAATGAAGAGAATAAACTGGTGAGATGAAAGTTTGAATCAGGATAGACTGCAGATAAATCACAGCACACGCTTTCAACTTTCCTTGTGGTTACAAAATTACTAAGCAGCACAGTTGGCCTACATGATGATTCAGACAAGCAGCATCAGTATTTGCATATAACTAATGTTAAGACCGCCATGGTTTATTCAGAAATGATCGCCTCTGTATTATACTTAAAGGACTTTTATTCATTTTAGTTGATACACACTTTATCTATGGTTGTTGTGAAACTAACTTTAAACTCAAAACGGTTTTCTGAATGATTTTGGGTGGGTAGATTCTGCTCAGAGGAGCGTGATGCGTCATTACTTAATGGTGCTCATGGGATAGGGACTGTCATTCTGCAGTGAACAGCACCATGAGGAGGTTTTCACCATTAGGTTGAACGGACAAAAAATGTCATAATGCAAAACGCAGTTTGATTTGGTTTGTGTCAAAGTGGATAGTTCTGGAGTATATTTTGTAAGTTGTTCATATATTTACTGTCATAATTGTAATATTGTACCCACTAAGACACAGGATACAATAAGGCCAGTCTGTGTGTAAAAATCTCAGACTGGATCTTTTACAACTTTCACTGAACCTCTCTATCACCAACAGCTGCAGTGTCATCCTTACAGATCGACACATTTGTGTAATCTGCCTACAATCTATTTTACTATCTGTAAAGGTAAAGGTAATACAAATCATTTTCCCCCTCTTTTTTGCATTAAAAACACTTAGCAGTTGATCATCTCATAGTCTCTCCTGTGGCCCTGTGCACAGCATCCATGGGTGAACATGTTTCATGCTCCTTCAGCCACATCATGCCGCACATTTTCAACCTGTCAGCTTCCATGAGCTTCCTCTCCACCAGGGACACTGTTGCCTCTGAAAGCAAGAAGCCAGACTGCAGGATCTTGAGCACATGTGCTCATGTGCATCAAAAAACAAAATTATTCAGCTAAAATGCTACAGCTTCTACACAGAAAACTTGAATAAAGTGGCGTTTTTTAAAATTAGTACTATTATTATTACACTTATTTTTTGCAGGAAAACATGGTGCACTTTTTCCACAGTGCACTACTTCTTTGTGGCCTGCAGCCCGATATATAAACTTTAATAAAAAGCGGCAGATGACAGGCGCGGGTGGCCTCATTCTTAACCTGCAGCAAAATGCAATTTCCCTCTAGCAAGAGTATTTAAAATATCTGAGGGAGAATTAGAAAATGTGTCAAAGATACTTCATTACTACTTTCTATAATTGACTTCTTTAATAGACCAACATGTCTCGGCTAATTTAAACCTCTCTTAATGTTTTCAATAAGGAAACACATCCTGACTGTACAATGAACTAAACCACATTGCGTTCATTCCACCCTTTCATTTAGGTTTTTTAATCACTTTGAACTACTCGTACATGGCTCTAATATCTTGCTACATTGTGAAAAAAACCATATAACACAAATTAGCTTATGACTCTGAAACACTGCATAGCGTGTTCGCTGCCCGTGTGTGTGTCTTCCCACCCCCTCGCTTGAAGTGATCCTTGCTCTTGTGAGATGTTTTTGTCCTACGTGAGGCTTCACAGCTGAATGGGCTGTGATCGGACGAGGTGAGTTCAGTTGACCTCTGGGTCACATGGAGACAATGGTGGCCGGGCTTCTATAGGAAGAACAAAAAAAGAAACCCCCAGGCACATGGCCCCTGTCGTGGGAGGGGCTTGGATATGGTAGGCCACTTTAGAGAAAATGGGAAGAAGTGGGGCTGCATCAGAGGGGATGTTTTGGATTTCACAAGATTCCTTGAATATCACAAGCGCTACCAGCATGTACATGCATGTGTCTGCTGAGTCTTTTCTTTGCACAGTTTAATAGTGCATAAATAACAAAATGATTTCACACCTGCATGTGTTGCTACAATGTCCATAGGCATGACTGCATTTCCTTTATCTTTATCCCAAACAATAAACTACCATCTTAAGTGTCCTAAACTGCTTTTGCAAGTGATACCTGCTCTGATTTCAGCGCGCAGATCTTTAACTATCATTTGTGCAGAGAGCATAGAGCTTGAAGAGGAGGGGGGGAGGTCTGACAAGGAGAGCTGTAAGCTTTTATCTGACCCCATGGGACAATGTGAAGTCTACAACCTCCCTGCGTCCACCCACCCCCCACCTCACTTCCATATGCAGAGGAACTAGCCCCACCACTGGCTTTGTGTGGGGGGTTGGGGGTCATGACTGAGCGCTCCCACTCCCACAGTGTGCCCAAAGAAGTGGGGACACAGATATTCTGATATTAGAGTGATAAGTTGTCTGTTTGTTGGTCAGTTGGAGGCTTAAATCAAACACACCTTTTATTTAAGTGAACATCATCCCTGTTTGAGGACATTTAAACCAAGATGAATTTACAGCAACATCAGCATGCAGAAAAAGAGATTTCACAGTTAAAGAACTATAGATGTTGAAACTATCAATAAGCTGCTTTATACATCCCCTCTCCTCTCTGAAACTCAAAGGGTTGCATAATTTTTAAAAAACAGAAAATCAAGTGATGGGGAAGTTGTGGTTGGTGCATGCTTCCTCTTACAGTTAAATGTCAGTGTACGTGTAGTACAGTATTTAGTTTGCTAGTTCCCTCTGCTGGCCAGCGACCATACTGTATCACACTCATGTTTGTGACAATTTACAGGATTTCAACAGATGATAAAAAAAAACCAAAAAACTGAAGGTCAGCAGCAGATTGTGTACTCTTCAATCAGTTTGAAGCAACTCAAATTTGTGTGACTTCTCAGCACAACATACCAATAACAATGAACTATTGTGATTCCAATAATGTCCATTGAAAGGTAAAAACCCTCTTTCTGCATTTCATCAAACCTCTATTATACTCTTAACTACTCATGGGTTTGCATTTAACAGGGGGAAAGGTGATGCATTTGGAAGCTTCCAAAGGGATCATCCCTTATTTCTTTGTTATTAAACACTATAGAAAAAGTCCTGAAACACACTTCTTTTATTATTTATTGAACTGTATTTCTTTTGTGAACAAAGACAACATTGGAAGGATGTATTCTTAAAGCAGCAGTAAGGAACTAATACCAGCACATTTACTTGAGTAAAAGTAGTAACAGAACAATGTTAAAAATGGAAATATTGGATAATTTTACCTCTTTAGGCCTTAAATAATTATTTAGATGTAAGAAGTTTAGAGGGGAAATTTCTATTTGGTGTTACAGCTAACCAATCACAGATCTATCTGAAACATTACAAGGTTACAGATTTTGTTTAGTATTTTATACGTTTGTTGTGTTTTTTAATGTAAAATCTCTTTACTTGAAAAGCAACAACTGGCAGATAAATGTAATGGAATCAAAATACAATAATTCCCTCTACAATGTGGTGAGGTCAAAGTTGGGCTAAAACTACCTCAACAGTGTATTTAAGTGTAGTTGAGCACATCTTCTTAACACAACATCCATCTGAAAATGGTGCAAAAATAAAGGAGAGTGAGACGTGCCACTTCAGTTGGCATTTTATTCATTTCATTCAAGCCAAATTGACTTAAATCCGGTCAACTGGTAAAATTATCTTTAAGATTTTGCCTATTATAAATAACTTTAACTCTTTTTGATCAAAGCACAAATTCAAAAACTCCCATCATAAACATTAGAAAACAAAAAACTCGTAAGTTTAGGAGCTTATAATCAATATAATCCACAAAAATATCTCTTTGCACAAGGGATTGTCATTTATGCGCAGAAAAGTCTGCATCAAGCATCTGAAACATGTGAAGAAGGTTCGTATTGATCTTTTGCTCTGTATATCTCATTGTAAAGTATTTGAACAATTCTTTGGTTTCACACATTCAAATGGATCTCATGTTGAGGTGCTCAGAGAGATATTACACACATACTACATCCTGTCTGGGGGCCCCAAATTTGCTGCTGTAGCTACTCGACTGCTCTTCTATTGTGGTTTGATGGCTTGTGCTTTTGGTTGTCAAGCCTCCACAACATCCAGCCGTTTTGTTTTAGATCTAAGAAAAAAGTAAGAGCAGGGCATGAGCAAATTGCTGCCTGTAAGCATGTAAGCTTACAGATATTTTGGTTTATTTCAAAGTAAAACCACTGAGTCACACACACAGAAAAGAATTACTACAAGTTTTTTTTTGTTTTAAATCATCTATTGTAAAAGAGGTACTGGTGTATTTTGCCTTTAACTATTCTGAAGTAAAAAATATTACAAACTAATGTTAACAGTTTTACTAACTTAAAACAATTGTTTAAATTACATAAAAAAAAACTTTATCTGTTTCACTTTTACATTTCACTTATTTTAATCATTTTTGCAAAACCCTAAGAATTTTTGTGGAATTTCTGTTGAAGTGTTACTCAAAACTAATTAAACACATTTCCCCAAAACAGATAATTTGTAACACAAAACTCATTGTTCTCTTTTTTCCCCCCAAAGAAGTAATCCAAGACAATACTTATCCCTGAGGGAAAAAAAACACTTTTGATGGACCTTCATCGCCCTGTTCACAACCCACAGACCTTTGTTGATTCTTTTGTTCTCATATATAAATATATTAGTTTACACACACTTGAATATACAGTGAGAATAAGAGTTTAACTTAACTGTAATAGCATTGCATCTTTAAAGTTGGCCTGAATTACAACGAACAATACTCTGTAAAACTTGCTTGATTTCAGAATGAGAATATATATATATATAACAAAATTATAATAATCAATTTTCTTTTTTCTAATCTTTCTGTAAGGAGCCCGAAAAAAATTAAACAAATATATGTATATAACCTACAGATAATGTTTTTTTTTAATGTGTTGTTCAGCAGCAACAGGTTAATTAGTGGTTATATTTTATTAGTGAAACGAACATACAATGCACCTAGAGAATGTGCTCAGTATATAAAATAGTTTTACTACTCAGCGCCATTATTTTGATTCAAATAAAAAAACCCATGGTTTTTAAATTATTTATTTTTCCATTATAATGCAAAACTTTACAAGCCATAAAAAGTATAATGCTAAACAGGCTGTTTTCCGTTATATATGCATAAATATATATTTTTAATGTATTAAAAAAATGAGTTGAAAACCGCCGTGATCCCTGTCTGTTTCCCTCTCTCCTTCCTTGGGAGAGGTGGAGGCTGTTTGGTTGGAGATGTGGGTCGGAAGTACCGTAGTTTATGTATGCTAATGGGGAGAGTTGGGGGTTGTAGCTAGATATTTACGTTCAGTGGGAGCCGCCCTTCATTCACCCACATGGTTACCAACTGGTCGCCTTCGCGCCACTTTCCTAACCCTGCAATCATTTTTAACCAGCGTATCTAGGCTATAAATTGCCTCGCAATCGGCTGGGATTTCACTTTATGTTTCGGTTTTGTCCCCCGGTTGAAAAGTTTTCGGATTAGTTCCGTTTTTATTTCTCTCTTTTGTCGGTAAGAGACTACACGGCAGCCCAAGCAAGTGAGCGAAGATGGTGGATTTCGGCTGGTGAGTGTCTACCGAGCGCATGTTTATCGGCAAGGAAGTCGGGTTTTGGGTTATTTCACATCCTCCGTGTTGGTGAATGAAACCTCCAACCGTGTGATTTACACCCGTTTTACGTGTCTTAATATACTGTTGGCGGCGATATCCAAACATTAACACCTAAAACGATAATGCTTGCGATGAAAACAGTACAACGTGAGGCGCATGGCAGTCCCCTCCGCTCCACCATTGAGGGAATGAGGGAGATTTGAAAAGCTGTCCGGAGCTTTTCTCCGCTGCGCTTTAGCAACTAGTTGGGGAAAAATCTGGCCTCCCGACAACAAAACCCGAGTTTGTACAAACACGTTAGTCCGATATTTCCAAAAGTAAGTTTGTAAATCTGGTTAATTTGTTGCTCAGACTCGAGTGCAGTGGTGTGTGAGTTAAAGTGCCCCCCAGAACAAAGCAGCAGCACATGGGGCAGTTACAGGCCGCGCGTTTTAGCTTAGCTAGCGTTAGCCTAGCCGCGTCAACTTTAAAAAAAAAAAAAAAAAAAAAAAGAGAGAAGTTGTTTTGCGGGGTGAGCACAAGCATACCGTTTATTAATACGGACACACACGGTTGGGTGAAGATGAGGAGTGGGTGAATACAGCCGATCCAACGGGACAAACGCACCGTTGGTGTATTTTCTTCAAACGTTGGGCTCGTTTGTTGTTGGCTAACAGCTAACCAGTGTCGTCAAACTCAAAACCAAATTTCATTAGCTTTTAGAGATTTAAAGAAAATGAGCACACTGGTTGGTTTTTTTGTTTTTTTTTAAAACTGAAAACACCTCCAGCTGCTCCGGTGCCACCTCCACTCATAGTTAGATAACTGCACTAACTGCGGCTTGCCATGTTTTCACCAAGCTAACACCAGCAGCTAAGCTACCTGCCCAACCTGCTGTTTGCTGCTAGCCTCTGTTTCCTACGGTAGCCGTGGTTTTTTTTTTTCTAGGATGTCCGAAACCGCAAGCCACGGTGTTTCCTCCTTATTATTATTATTTTTTTTAAATTAACAACACGCAATTGCTAATTTCAGTGTGAAACACTACGGTGGCGTATAGGTTGATTGATTTTAAAGTCATTTATGCTAAGGTTGGCGCACTTCGAGGCGCCATGTTAAAGACGGTGGGGGAGGGGTGAACAACACCGATCCCTGCGCAGGCGCTCCCGTGTCGCAGGGAACGCGGGCCGCAGGCTGTGCTACTCATTCATGTTTTTCAGTGACCTCGTGCTGCTGTAATAAATCATAACATCTTGTCTCACAACAACTAACAAGTGTAAATATCGACTCATCAACTACAATGGCCCACATTTCTGATGGCGGGGAAGGCGAATTCTGCGATTTAAGTACAAGGAATCCGCCACATGTGCGCACACATCAACCTGCGTATTTAACTTGTTGCAATAGCTTAAAAAAAAGTCATATTCATTGTTTTATTAATCTTTCACATGTTTTTTTTTTCCCTTCTTCAGATCCACCCTGAGGTGCAGGACCTCCAAACAAATTGAACATGGAGCAGTGTGACCATCTCTTCCGCAGAGGGCAGCGAGGCTTTAATCAGTCTGTGTATTGTCAAAGTGCTTACAGTGCAGGTAGTACTATGTCATACCTACTGCAGTGGAGGCACTTACAGCAATACCCTGACACTGATGTGCAGATCCTTTTTGGTGTTAACATGTCATTTGAAGTACTGTCTTTGTGCTAAGGTGCATCTAGTGCAGATAGTGAAATAGACTAGCACCTACTGCCCTAAGTGCTCCTTCTGGCATAAGGGGCTGTGATATGCGCCACCAGACCATTTTTTAATTTCTAATTGGGCTCAAATATCTCGCAGTTCTCTGCTAGTTTTGCATAGTTGCACTACAAGAATAGATGAGTTGTGCAAATCTATGCAAAACTGATGGTGGCCTGCTTGCTCTCCACCTGTTAAGATTTTTTTTGGGGGGTTTGGGGGTGTCGCATCAAACACAATGTGATTGCAGAGTACCCCTGTAACTCTGTTTACAAACACGCTCTCGTCCAGCGACACAGTTTCAGCAGTACTAAAGTGCTTATAGTGCAGGTAGTTTTCTCCTATCTACTGCAATGTGAGCACTTGAAGTACTTCTAACTAACTGCATCTTTCTGAAGCTCTGATGTTTAATTGTCGTAGGTTCGTCTGTTGATCATCGCACTGTCAGTTTTGCTGGTTTGCATTCAGCTTTAACTTTTGTTTGCTGTGCAAATCCATGCAAAACTGACTATGTTGATGAACTTTTCATCAAGATTGTTTTTTTGTTTTTTACTGGTGGGTATTTACTTGGATGTGTGTGATGGTCTGGATATTTGGAGTTGTCCCTCTCTGTGCAGGTGGGGATTAGTAGCAATGCTGTGTAACTAGAGGTATTGCACTTGTCCCGGCCTGTGTGGGGATGAGGAGATGGAACCGACCTGGATCTTGACCTACGTGTTGATTTAAAAAAACAAACTACTTGTCCTGTTTTGGCCAGTTTCATAAAATGCATGCAAATACTGATGGGATGAGTCTAAAGTGGTTAATTGTAATGTTGCTTGAAATATTAAATTTTTAACACGTTCTTTCTCTTTGCTTTATTATAACAATGTCACAATTAATGGGTTGCAAGTGTTAAACATACGTGGGTACGTACATGTTTTCTTGGTGTGAGGCGATTTCTTTTTCCCAAGTTGATGTATACATCCCGGTTTCATTTTAGGTTGAAGCTTTTGATGAGGCTTGAAATCATGGTATTTTACCTTGTAACCACCTTTTTATAAGAAACTAGTTAAAACAAGTGCAAAAAACCTAATTTGTTCAACAATGCTGTTTAAAACCAGTCACTTTCTACATTTCCTAATCTCTTGAGTTTGCAGCAGTGTTAAAGTTTACAATGATTCCCAGATAAATTATTAGAGCCCAGTCCTGAGTGAGCAGGTTTATCACCTCCCACATCCAAAAGCAGCACTGGTTCTACAGAGGAGAAAATATTTGAGTAGTAGAGGAATTAATTTGACTTATTACTTCTGTGTTAAACATGGGATGTGCTCATACAACACCTTTTACGTCACCTAAAATATAGTACGGTTCGTGTTTAGGTGTGACAGTTTTTGTCTGGTTAAATTACTGTAGCACACAAATTATAATCACATGTACACAATCTAACCAACCCTAAAATTAATTCAATCTGGATACAATCCCCTCTTAAAATTGGTTGGAATTTACTGAAAGTAATTTGTTACTTTTTAATTTCATGAAATATGATACATAGACATTGCCATTAAAGGTCCTAAAATGTTTCTGTTTCAGGCAGATGTTCAGGCCTAAGCTAAGAGGCTTATATAGCCTATCATTAAGCAAAAAAAAGTTTTCCCAATTGAGAAGTACTTATGGTTGTCACTTTTTAATTTCGCAGAATTTTAGATAAAGGATATTTAAAAAATCATAAATGAGTTCTGCCTTCAACTATCTATGAATAAATCCCTTAAAAATACAGAACTAGTAATTTTGAGGTAATTTAAACAAAATAAAAACATCCCTTTTAACTTATAATTTTTAATTTCATAATTTCTGTTTTGAGGTGAATTTGCAGTTCACTCTCTGTAGCCGACACAGTATTTAACTTGTCATTATAAATAAATCAATAAGTCTTAAACTGAAGTCGAGGCTCGTCCACTAGATGGCGCTGTCGGGCTACAGGTCGGCTGCACATCCAGCCGCGGAGTGCAGGTAACATTACGGTACCGCCTCTGCTGTCGGTCCAACCAACTTGGGACAACATGCCGCTTTCAAACAGAGTCACACCGCAGCAACTTTCCCTCTGTGTCTGGATTTAAATGATTATCCGGAGCGTCTCCTCGACACAAACCGCGAACCCCACATGGTCGACGCTGAACCCTGACTCTTGAAATGTGGACCGAACTCACCTGAGAGGACTGGAGGTTCAAAGAAGACACATTAACTTCCCCGAACGGGCTTGTTTTTTTGTTTTTTTTTGGGAAGTATTAACCCGCGATTTTTTTATTTTATTAAAATGGGTGTGCTGTGGACCAACTACATTTTCTTCCTGGCGTGTTGCTCAGGATTAGGATTTGGAAGCCCGAACAGATGCGACGAAGTGCGCAAAGTTTTCCAACTCAGACAAATTGGACCAAATCAATTATTGCCTTTAAGTCCCAGACCAGGTATGTTCCAGTTCCAGTTCCAGTGTGTGTTTTTTCCTGCAGTTAAATTCCCACAAAACAAATCAGCGGTACACATTATGTAACATTTCTTCTACAGCATTTTGTACATTTTCTTCATTTACATCCTTCATGCCAACCGCTTATTCCAAGAAATATAAGCTTGAAAAGTTATTCACCACACTGTTCCTCCAGAGCTCATTAACTGCACTGTAGCTTTTAACCTGTCATTTTCTGCCTTCTTGAAGTGCTCTTTGTAGTTACAAAACACACCTTTTTAAACACATTTTAGAGGCGTGTGTGCAGTTATGATAATAATATAGACAGTGGAACTGAAGAGCTTTGAGCTGTTTAAATGGCATCTTTTTGTGTGACTCTTAAATCAAGATATTTAGAGGAGATATTGCATGAGTCTTAAATCACTGCATGAATACATCTCACAGTTGAGTCCATTCCTTTTAAAGTGATATCTTTGAGATATCTTACTGTAGTTTATGTTCAGCAGTATGGCAGGTTCATGATGAATATGACTATATTATGTCATATCTCAGATACTGTGGATGATTTTCATTGCTCTTGAAAATCTGCTTTCATTGCACTTAATGCTGAGCAACAGGATAGGTGCGCAGATAGATTTCCCTTGTGTTTGTACAACAAAACTGACTATAAAAGGTATCACTTTTTGCTTACTTACACTTTATTACCAGCAGTGCACCGGCTCATATATAATGTGCTGTTTTAATCCCATGAAACTAGGAACTAAAGCTGCTCAGATTACTTGTTGGTCATGACAGGGGAGAAAAAAAAACCTCTGCTCTTTTCAGCTGCCTAAAGCAGTTAAGTGGCTTGCAGGGATAAACAGGAATTATTTTGTGTAAAGTTAGGTAAACTAGGCTTCACTTAACTTCATGAACACCACCCATAATGTAATTCCCCATGATACTTGTCCACAAGATTTGGGGGAATTATGGGTGTGGATATTGCATGTGGGCTGTCATTGAGTGGACTGCTGCTGCTGCTGCTGCTGCTGCTGCTGCTGCTGCTCTCTGTGCTCCTCTTGGAAAAGTAAATCTAAATGGTGTTGACTGCCATCCTGCCACAAACTGCTCCCTATAAACTTCACCACCCCTTTCCTCTGCTGCTGCTGCTGTGAGGAAGCTGATTCAATTGACAGAAAACCCTCAAATACCCCTTGAACCTCTAAATAACCCTTGTAATGCCATCACCGCTCCTGCCCCTGGAATAAGCCTGTGCATGTGGCTTCGTGGATTTAAATCTCTGTGCTGTTTCTTTGCAGAAATTGCCAACTGAAAAGTACTTCTCTGAGATAAAACTGTGCAGTGGGCATCACTTGTAGTTTAAGCGATGATAAGCTCCTGTAGAAACACTTGCTACTGTTTGTAACTGCACCTCTACTGACCTTTTCTGGCAGCCCAAGTCCAAATACATCTTTACATTGGAAAGATGTAAATCGTTTTCTTCGATGGATTGAGATTAATATAGTGAAAGGCATCAGATAGGATCATAGCAAGAGGTGTAGTCGATCCTAGAGCCTGATTGTAGAAGTTCTCTATAATTGAGTGTGGGCCTGTGAAAAATAACCTCCAGAAATTCCAGGAATCCGAGAGAGAGAGCGAGCTGTTTCCATGTAATAAGAAGTGCCAAACAGCCTCGAGTTTAGGTCAGAACACAGTAAGTCAGAAGTCTGTCACTTCGGCCAAACAAAGCTGATGTTTGTGGTGTTGGAAGTGGAAATATTTCTGGGAAGCATTAAAAAAAAAAAAAAGACCTGGGGCACTTTCAAGTTGTCTTATCTGGGGGGAGTTTGAATTCCTCCACGTGTGCCATCGCCTGCTCTGCTCCCTCCTCGCACAGGGAGCTGATAGCGTCTCTGGCAACAGCTCTGCATGCTCTGCCTAGGCATGTCAGAGAGGCTTTTGCAAAGTTTTGGGTCGCTTTTAAGATGTTTTGATTGTCCCGTATGTGTGCAGATTGCTTACATTTTGTTCGTAGTGGAAAACCTGAGACACATCACTTGGAGAGGCGATAACGCTCTGATTCAGATATACTCTCAGGATGTAGGGGTCTTCTGCACTAATGGAAATACATGACCTTTTTTATGTTCCTTTCACCTCATGCAAAGAGTAGTCCTAGTATTCAGATTTGTTGTCATGTGTTTATTTTTTATGTACCTTGTTCTTGCTAAACTGTGATTTCTCTTTATTGGCAATCTCTGTTCGGTCAGTCAGTCCACCACTTTGGCTCAGACTGAAATAGAGATTATGGGTGACAGTTTTTAAAGGAAAAAACAACACAAACCTCCCTGTTTCTGGAACCCTCTCCCTTCTCACAGGTTTTCAAGTTATTTGAATCATTTTTACTCTTATCAAATCATGTAATGTCCTGCGTGAAAGCATCTGCATTTGTCATGTTTCTCCACTCATTCGTTCAAGATTTTCCTTTTTAATTAGAGATAGATAAGATAAGATGATCCTTTATTGATCCCCCTGTAGGAGAAATTCAAATCAGACACAGCAGTATAGGGGAAAAAGTACAGAAGTGTAAAAGTACAATGGAGAATCACAAAATAAGAATATTATAAAATATAATAGAAAATATAATGAAATATATATACACTATATGCAATATGCAATAACATGGGGTGCAAAATAGTGTGTACCTGTCTGTATATCCACATGGATTGTCATGAGATCTTGTATTTTTGACTTTTCCTCTATAGCGCCAGCAACAGGCTGACTTTTGGTGGTTTTGAGTGAAACACCTGGATAGACACAAGAAGCACTTTATTGATAAATAAAAAACTTAAGGTACACACATCCATGCCCCCCTTGAGGATGAATTGTAATTGTTGGTGTCAGTTAGTGACCAAGTCCGAATTTAAATGTATCCAATACCAAAGTGACTAAACACCTACAAATCTTATGGCATTCCCATCAGCCTCGGGCCTCACACAAAACTAAAATGATGAACTTGGTAAACATTATACCTACCTAACATGAACATTCTAGCGTTGTCATTCAGTGTGTTAGCTAGGGATGGGATGATATACGATATTATTGCATATTGCATTTAAAAACTGATTAATTGATAATTGTGAATCAGGATAATTATGAATTATTCTCACATGGCTGTCTAGCTTGCCAGCATACAGTCCTATATTGAGTATAGTATATGTATATATTTATATAACATTTTCATTATTGTGATTATCATGCTAATATTGTATAATGCAATTTTTTGGCCAAGATAATTATTGTCATGCTGTTGTTAGCACTGAGCTCAAAGCACCGCTGTGCAGCCTCACAGAGCTGCTAGCATCGCTGTAGACTCCCCTCTTGCTGCTGAGTGCTACCACAGGCAGGAAAGCTGCTTGTCAGTTTGGACAGTTTCCAGTTTATCATACAGATAATACAGAAGATACTTAGTCACACTCACTTATTCATACCTTCGGGCAGTTTAGGGTGTCAAATCCACCTGACTTGCATGTCTTTGGAATGCGTAAAGGAAAGTGGAGCACCTTTAAAGAGAGCATGCAAATCCTCTGCCCCAGTTTATGCCTCTCATGTATTAGTATTACCTTGGAGTCACAGAGGTAAGCATTCCTTTGTCTGAAAAATAAGTACCTGGTTATGTTTGAAAAATGCTGAAGGTCATTTAACAACTTGTACCTGTTGTTTTTTTAAACCTTTTAACTGGTTCCTGTTCTGAAGGCCTTTCCATAATCCACAATACTGTCTAATCTTGATTTAAAAAAAAAAGATTTTGCATTTTCCAAGTCTCCTAATCCATCTTTCCTAATGATGTTAGCCGTAGGTGATATGTCTTTGCTTGAGGTGAACCAAAAATGTAGTATGTACTCGTATTTGACTATACTGATGTTACTTTCCTTACTTTATATTATATTTCTGGTGTTGGACAAAATGAGTAAAGACATATGTCATTTCCAGCTCACTGGATTAGGAAATACAGTTGCAATTTGAGAAATGGGTCAGCCAGATGGTTAGAGTCTTTGAGGATTGTGGAAATTCAGAACAGAGGTAAATGTTATTAAAAGACCGTTTGGGGTTTTTCAAACATTGCTGGGTATTTATTTTGTCACAGAAACAAATGCTTATCTCTGGGACTGGAATGTAACGGTAATACACGAGAGGCACAAACTGGGGCCGTCAAATCCCAGCAAAAGATGGAAACCGAGTCTTTCTTACTGGCTGTCTTAACCCTGTGCTACCCTGCTTCTTAGTTTTGTCCCATTGTAAATCCAGGCCCCTGTTTTATGTTTTTAATCTGAATGCCTCCTAGGTTCAGACCTTCAGGTGTGCGTGTCCAAGAACCTGACTTGCTGCACCAAGAAGATGGAGGAGAAGTACCAGGTGGCGGCCCGGAGAGACATACAGAACATTCTCCAGACGTCCAGCTCCAGCCTCAAGTTTCTCATCTCGCGCAGTGTTGCTGCTTTTCAAGGTAAGCGTTAAGTGGTTTGTGTGTTGTTATTTATGTAGCACTATTGGAAAAACAGAGTTACAAAGTGTTGTATGTACATGAAACCAAAGCAAAGCAATGAAAGATACGGGGAAGAGAGACCAAGTATGAGTTTGCAAAGGCAGTATTACAGAGGCAATTACAAATATGAATGTAAAAACAAACCGGACAGAAAGTAAATAAGTAAGTAAAAATTGGATCGCCTGATACCTTCAGACAGGGCAATCTAAAGTCTGGGGTCTCTAACAGCAAATCCAGTCACCTTTTCAGTTTTGAGCCGTGAGTTTGGAGCGTGTTTAGGCGTCACTGTTGTAGAGTTTAAACTTCATAAACGTGTGCTGAGGTGAGAGCGCAAATGTTTATGTGTATAATTGTATGTGTGTAGACGTTTGTGTGTCTTCTCCGAGTTGGAGTATACATTTAGGAGTTTGGGTTTGTGTGGGTGCTGTAAAAACAGTGGATGAGTCAGTGTGTGTGTGTGTGTGTGTGTGTGTGTGTGTGTGTCGTGTGCGCGCGTGCAGTGAGACTCCACATCAGAGCAAACAGAGCTGTGTCTGTCCTCCTTCCAGATCTACCGCTACACTCTGATCTTGAGATTAGATAGGTTTGCTGTTCCTGTAGGAGACTGAGGAGGAGGAGGCGGTCTGTAAGGGTGAATGTCTGTCAGGGACGTGTACTGGGGGGTTTGCTAATAGCTTCACTTCCTACGCACTTATCCCATCATAAACAGTTGGCTATCCATCCCCACATTTGTTTTCCATTCGGCTCCATCCTTTCACTCAGCAGTGACTGACAGTCGACTTACAGGGAACAACTTGCCTCTCTCTGTGCACTCTCCCTGTCCAGTGTGGGGTGTTTCTCCCACTCCAGCTGATAGCTGTCATATGACGGCTGAAATAGGTGGGCAACAAATGCGGAGCTTATGACATGAATTGTGCAGACGTATCATTAGACCAATCCACTTTAACGATGTCTCTCTCAGTTTAAAGACGTGCTGTTATCCTCCTCCGAAACTCAAATGATTTATAGAAGAGTCTTGCATGATCACAGTGTTTTAGTTGAGGTTTGCAGGGGCAATGCCTGTTTTTTGTCGTCAGATGTTTGATGTGTCTACTCAGGCTCTGAAGTTGAACTAAAATACTCAGCATTTATGATCAAGTTTATGGAGCATGCCGCCTCTAAAATACTGTCAACTTAGAACAAAGTTGCAAACAGCCTTATAAAAGTTGTTTGAGTGCAGGTTTTTTTTTTTTTAGTTTAAGGCGTTATTTTATCTATTTCTTATTGTAAAATTAAGTTTCAAGTTATGTGGGAGCCGGTGGGAGCCGAGCTCCCATTAGAAGGGGTCTGAGTTCCCATGAAAGAAGTAAAAATCTTACGTCTGTGGGGGTTGCATTACCAAACAACCATAATTTTAATGCATAGTTCAGTGTAATGAGTATTATATCTCTCTGTATTGACTGCTTGCTCTCTATTGGATTTCCAGCTCAAAACCCAATGTATCCTCCCACTAGTAGTGTGCTACATAGGAGAGGTTACTGCACACCCACAGTCAGCAGTGCGTAAAAAAGTGACGCCTACTTTCATATGATACCAAAAAGGATGGAAATGCGTTCTCCCTTTGTGATGGGTCTCGGTTGGCAAATGTCGGTCTATTGAAACTTTGTTTGTTGCAATCTACTTGATACAATTGTTGCATTTAGTGTGTGTGTGTGAGAAAGTGTAGGCTATTACTTTTTTTTTTATCTCCACCCCTAATGTTGCTTATTTTAAACAAAGCTCAGATGATAACTCAAACCCTGTGTAAAATCCCATTAAAAAGAACAAAATCAGCTAAATGTTGCGTCATCTCTCAATACTTGTTGACCTCCCAACACTGTCTGTGGCACTCAGCCCCAAATTGAAGATGTAAATCTTTTTAAAAGCATAGGCACAGATGTATAGCCCCCCCTCATGCAATTTTAAGCAAATGCTACTTTAAGCATCCGTCAGGAGTACATTGTTGGGGACTATTTCCAGCAACGGATTAAAACATATTTAGTGCTCTAGTGAGTATTTACAACAGCAGGACGGTGTATTTGGGATTGACTCAAATGAAAGAATATGTCACAGAGTTACAAGAGTGCTCACTGATGTGTTTTTAATAGGTTTTGGACAACAAAGCAGCTCAGGAAGAGAAGAGTAAGCAAAATCAGGCTTTGGCTACAAAGACAATCTGTGTTACTAGGATCAATTCATTGTTGGTTTTGGTCTTTTTGACAGTTGGAAAATATATAATATCACCAGCCTTTTCCTTTGATATGCCTCCTTAAATGTCTGAAGGTGTGTTTTTTTTCTTTTTCTTTCTGGCCCTTAAAGTTTTCGTAACAGCCTAGGAGCTGGCAGGTATGTTCACACAGGGCAAATCAAACAAGGCTGCAAGAACTGGTAGCTGTTTAAAAAATCCTTACAAAATGAGCAGCGCTCACATGGTTTCATCTGTGGAATGGCAGCCAGTGTGCGCTCCTGCCAAACCAAACAGAGTTCCCTGTCAACATCGGCTTTCATCAGTCAACAAACATCGACGGCTGCTCCCAACAACCAGGCTGCATAATACAAGTGGCAACAGACGCTCAGCAATTTAAGTCTCATATTGGAGTCACAGCAGCAGTATAACTGCTCTGAGTATTACATTTATTAAGTCATTATGTCATGTTCCCATGGTGCTTTTGTGATTTGTTTAATTACAGTTTAAACTACGGCTGCAGCTACGTATTATTTTCATTACTGAATAATGTGATTTCTTGGTCGTTTAAATAATTGTTTGGGCTCCAAAATTTTAGAAAATAAGGAAAAATGCTCTTCACACTTTCCCAAAGCCAAAGTTGGCACATTCAGATTGCTTGATTAGTCCAAGTCCATGTTCAGTGCATTTTCTTCCTCCATAAAACATTTGCAAAGCTGATGTTTAATATTTTAAATCCTGAGTTTACATCTATGTTTGCTTGCTGGCAGTCATCTTCTTCGTTGACTTTGTCTGGACATTACTTTGTTTGTTGGCTCCTTACGCCATCAACTGTAGATCAGGGGAATAGCGCGTAAGATGCATGCATGTGCCCCCTAGTTTGTGTACATGATACAAACAAAACAGGGAACTATTCAACATTGCATCATCTTTTTAATTGACTAATCCTATCAGTTGTAATCCAAACATATCTTGCCTTAAAAGTTATTGTGTAATCATTATGACAACTTTAGTTAAAATACACATGAAGAAATGTGTACCACAAACTAAACTATTCTTCTTCACCTGTCCAACATTGTTTGTCTTGCTATTGAAGTAAATCTGTGTTGATGAAAGCTGATACTTGTTCAAATGTTGATGCAGACTTTTTGAGACTTACAATCTTTCGTATCTGTTTACTCACACACAGACAGACACACAGACACACAGACACACACACACACACACACACACACACACACACACACACACACACACACACACACACACAAACAGAGAGAGAAAGAAAGCCACCCACGTGGCATTGTTCTATTTGGCCGTAGAGGTTTAAAGAGTCTTTGTCACATGGAGAAAGCACACTGTGGCACCATATGTATGGGAACCACGGAGGGACAGAAATGTCTAGTTGGTTCTTAGGTTTTAACAGAGTGTAAAAAAAGAGCTATTTTGCTGTTCATGTGCAGACATAAAAGAAACACAAGTCAAGCATTTAATTTCTCTTTCCTATCTAGGCAGTGTTCAATGATGCTGACTTAATATGAGTAAATTGTTTGTTATTCATCTTGTGTGACTGTTTCTTTTGTTTTGGGTGTTTTCAGATTTTAATGGAAGTGGGAAAGGGCCAACAACTTTATGGATCATCTTGAAATTTGAATAACATTTCAGCATTAAGCCTACCGTTTTGCTTCACTATAAACAATTTTGTGAAGTACAAGATTAAAATAGACAGGAGGTGGGTGGGTTGGGGTTTATGCAGAAAAACAAGTCCCTTAGTTTTGGTCTCCAAATGATTGGCAGCCTGGGCTGTAATTTGAGAGACAACAGAGAACAAGCAGAGTGTATAATGCATTACAACCACAGACAGGAAGAAGGATGAGTTAAAAGGGGGCAGGCTAATGTGGTCATTTGTTTTGCGCAAAGCCTTCAATTAGGCATCTTTATATGATGCAGCTGAAGGGAGAGGGGGGGATGAAGAAATTAGAGGAATGTAGATGGATAAAAGTCTGAAACACTCAGGAGACACGGAAAAATAACACCAACCAATAAAATGCTATTTAAAATGTTTTTTTCCTGGGGGACTTGCTGGTGTTTTTGTGCTTGTAATGGGCCACAGTTCTTCCCAAATCTTCAAGGGCCTCTTTTATGTTGAAAAGCGCTCAATACTTTAACATAATGAGTAACACGAATAAGCTAAAACAAGGGCTAGAGCTGTTAATTACGAGTGGAGCTTCAAAGCGCAGCTCATCCCGCAGTAATGGTTCATTACATTTTTCTCTTTTCTTCAGAGAAATTTGCCACAACATTTTAATATCTCGTCCTAAAATGAACCTGACCGCTGCCTTTCAAGTCATTTCACAGCCAAAAGATAGCTGGGCAACTGTGGGTGGAAAAAAATAGAAAGAATAAAGACTGAGCTGATGGCATACTGTCAAGCAGACGGCCTTTGAGCTTTCCAGCACATCTTTTTTTTTTTCTTTCTCTCCCCACTTGCTCATGGTCTGTCAGTAAGTCCCCCAGGATTGCATGTTTTCATCCACCGGTTGTGAGGTTCCTGCACATCGTCCTCACAATGCACAAATATGTAGCCTGCTGAGCGGGGCTTCAGGGGAGATCTTTTTTCATTGTGCGCAGGTTTGTCTTACATCCATGGCAACCGACCTGTGCAATCCCAGCTCCCCGTAGGGCAGGAGTCAAATAAAACTCAGAAACAGAACCCACAAGGAATCAGCTGTTAAGATGGCTGAGAGAATGTCTGAGG